TATATCAAGTGAATTGGTATCCAATGCATAAAGAGTATGAGTTGTGCCTCCTTGATTCATATTCGGCAAATTACGAATTGGAATCATGAAAAAATGAAAAAAATTCAGAATGTGCATACATACGCCAAACCATAACCACTATTTTTAGAATTTGAAGAAAATCCAATTGCGATTTTTTTTTCTTTATTTTTAAGAGAGAAAGTGAATGTCGTTTGAAGGAGTGTTCATCCATTGTATATGATCAACACCTTGAGTAGCTAATTCATCTTCAGTAGTACCCTATTTTCCTGTTCACAAAAGATTAAAAGAAAAAAAAAACGGAAGAATAAGAAGAGAAAACAACCAACTTTGGCATGTTAAAATTCATTCCATTGTCAATAATTTATCCAAGTTCATCAGAGCTACAGCAAAAACAGACCACATATACAAAATCTATTCATTCAATCTAATCATTGGATCCCATAGACAAAAACGTATATGAATTTTAGATTTTTTTTGCCTTTAATTGTTATACCAGAATAACTTGAATACATCACTTTAATTGATAGTTAAACACAATCCGTTATAATGAAAGACGGGTAACATTGATGGAGACTACTACCTGGAAACATTTTAAATCCAACCTAGGTGCGATGTTAGCGGCGTTTTTGTCGGTCCTCGTCCAGATTCAGTAAGGAATTTGTCGATTCTGTCTTGCTTCTTGGCCAGCCTCTCAATCATGAAACTCTTGTGACGGCGTCTATGGTTGCTTCTGTTGTTCTCTCAGCGGACACACTGGACGAAACAGATTTCATACAATGATGCGACCTAAATAACAATGAAATGGAAGGATAACTGAAAGTGGTTTTTGGGATTAGATGTGAAATTCAAATGCCGGATTTGAAGCCAAATTATTGCCATCAAATGTAGTAAATCGGCAGATTTTACATCTGTATTTAACTCTTTGTAGATCTAGAATTTAAGTTTCTTATTTGGATTGATTTAACAGAGAAAAAGAGAGAGAGAGAGAGAGAGAGAGAGAGAGAGAGAGATTCCATAACCATGATGCTAAAAAATAGCCCGTTATTTTGCTGTATACTCCAATAGTCCCAGACAAAGAGAATTATTATCTCAAAAAAATTAATATACTCCACTATTCCCAAATCCCAAATCAGGAATGATCTAAATGAAAAAAAAACACTCATATAAACACACAAATCGTGATTATGAAAGCAGTCGAACAAAGAAATAGTTAGAGGCACTCACCAATTCCAAAAATTCTTCAACTCCAAAAATTCTTGCCCTCTGAAATTGATCGAATGCCAAAGATAAAAGAACTATCTTCTACTGTTGCAATTTGATATTGAAGAACAACCAAATCATCAAGTCTATCTTTTCGAAGGTTGCAATCTCATCATTGATTTTGTCCTCCACCGTCGTAAGAGAACCATAATTGAGAGGAGAAATCGAATCGGCGGCAGACAACAAACCAACACTAGTAATAACACTAATAAAAGAAGATAGTGAACTTTAGCAACAAACAGCAGTAACAGCAGCCAAAAAGAAGATCAGTGGCCAACAGCGGCAAACCGAACGAAACAATGAAAGCCAAAGAAGAAGTAGAAGAACAACGAATTGATCGAGGATGAGAGCCGACAAAGAAGAAGAAGACGGAAAAAGATTATGTTTTTGATATTTGATCGCGACATAAAAATGGGGGTTTTGAAACACACAGAACAAAGCATCCATGGCATCCACTTACAAAATAAAAACAACAAAAGAGGAGAAGGGTAGGGGTCACGAACCTGAAATTCCTCCATCTGTACTCCCCCACCAGTGATGATGAACCCAGTAACGTGTTGAGGTCGGAGCCAAATATAAGAGGAGGAATCAAGAACAGAGAGCATATCGGATTCTTTATTATTTTGAAAATTGAATTTGATTATCGGAGGTCCCCCACATTTAATTTCTACATTGTCCTCAATGTAGTCTATTATACTCCAACAAAAAAAAGTAACCAAGGAGCTAAACCAACATCTTAATGTGTGAGTACAGTAAGAGCATCCACATATTTAAATTCAATTTGCTCAAATTTAATCCCCACAAAGCAACTATACATGTAAGTTCAACTTTAATAAAGCTTAAAGCAAGTAGTTAAAATGAACTTCGGACCCAAATCACCAATCATGCAAAGAAATCATTCAAATCAAGAAAATAATGGAACGTTTTCTAAGCCCAGTAGTATTAAAAGTTCCAGCACCAATTCAACACAAATAAACTTCAAACTAACCCAATCACCCATTAAAGCAGTAATAAAAATGATACTTCTAAATATATACATAAGAATATAGTTTCGAACTTCCCTGAAAAATGTTCTTCGAAATTGGATCACTGAAACTGCTAGAATGTAGGTGTAGGCCGTCTACAACACCAACAATTTAAGAGATCAGTGCATGTGCATGTTGAAGTGGTCTGATGAAGTCACGGAAGTTCTATAGCGGCGACGAAGTATTCCAGAAAAAGGTTTGGACTTCAGCCGCGGAGCTCTGGATGCAACTGGTGATGGCGAGCTCTGGAATGGCAGCAGCAGAGGCACGTCGGCAACAGAGAGCACCGGAATTGAGGGAAACGCTGGAAGCAGAGACGTATCGACTGCAGACAGTGGTCAACGATCAGCGATGAGGAGGTGATAACTACTGACGACGGCGGCAACCAGCAGTAACAACCGGCAAGTGATTGGTGATGGTGACGGATGACAGCAATTGGCGGCAGCTGCAGTTGATTGGAGTGGGACGTAGACAACGGTAGCGGCAATCGACGATGATGATGGTGACAGCGGCAGCCAGATTGCACGAACCCTTGGACAGCGATAGCAGAGCAGCAACAATCGGAAGATCGAGATTGACAGGAAGAGGACAGAGCAGCGGACAGCAACGGCAGCAACTGGAGAATCGCGATTGATGATGGTGGCTATTGATGGATCGACACCAACACGGACAGCCAACAACAACAGTGACTTCAACGGCAATGACAGACAGAATAATGATTAATAGAAGCCACCATCATGATATTATAAAGTTGATCGTGATATTTTTTCCTATTTTGAAAATCAAATATGAAAATCCCGTAGTGAGTTATTGAATCTTGATTTGAGGGATTTTGTTGATGATGAGTGATTATTGCCGATTGTTCGGAACAATTTGAACTTTAAAAATTTGATTTTATTAACTAATGGAGAAGATAATGGGAAACTGTAATTTAAAACCTTTATGAAAGTTGATTTTATTTTAAATACCCTTTTCAAAATTCAAATTAATTGTAATAACCACATACTGTAATTTTCTTTTTAACATTATTACGGTTGTAATTTTTCTAGTGCATTGAAGCAGCCACGTGTCAAATATATATGGCTCTTTTTTTTGTACCGTAGAAGTGTTGAGAAGCTTTGGAAGAAAAATTTTCATTCTGGAGCTGACATGTGTTCAAAATGTTTGTTGCTTTAAGTAAGTACACTAGATAACAATAATACTTGAAATTAACTAAATGTTCTAGTTTTCAGTGAATGAGGTAGAAATATACTTAGAGATTTATAGATAGAAAATAATTAATTATCTAACATAGGACTTAGTTTCAAAACTTCCCAAAAAATAAAATGTCCCTATTGAATTGAAACGAAGGGAAAAATTTTTTTCATTCAATAAAATCTTTACTATTATTAGTTTCACTTCATTAATATGACTTGGACCTTCATTTCAATCTTAATTACATTTTATCTTTTGTTAAGATTATAGTTGATAACGGATTTTACATCATTATTTTTTGGAAAGTACATAAATTAATTAAAAAATTTGTAACTTTTGTTTTTAATATATTTTTATTTCATAATGCCCAATAGTTTGACATTGTTTTTCTTTTTACATAAAATAACTGAGAAGTTTCAAAAAAAATTCATAAAGGTGTGGAATAAGCCAATTACAATTTTTTCTTCAATAAATTTTACAAAAATAAAAAAAATTAAAAAAAGGGAGGGGTGCGGCCGCACCGGCTTGGCCCCTCCTAGGCTCGCCCCTGATTTTTCTCGTGTATTATGTTTCGATTTAAAATAAACTGACACTTTTTATAGTTGAGTATGATATAATATCCCGAATTAAGGCAAATCCGTTACACACTAGACGGGTTCCAATTTCATGTACTCCTCCCATTTCAAAATAAGTGTCATTCTAGAGTTTGCACACAGTTTAAGAAAACAATTAAATATGGTAGCTAAATTACTAGAATATCCTTAACCAACCCTATTAAAATAATCCTCGACAATATTATTATTTCTTTTGAGGGTATGTTTGAAAATTTTTGACAAAAAATGAATTGGAATCCAAAAACGGCACTTGTTTTGGAATTTCTCCATTTTGCTAGAACGACACTGAGGAGACAATCATTCTATAGTTAATTCAATTTAGACTTCGTACGTAAACTGAGGAGACAATTATTCTATAATTAATTTGTGTGTCGAATATCTGTTTTACCCATCATTAATTGTATTGAAATCATAAACAAGGCTAAATAAAAAATACTTGTCATTATTTATTGAGTGCAAACTTGGAAAATTAACAATAAATTTGTTTTAAATTTCTGAAACGAATTATATTTGGAAATATTTCTCTAGATCTAAAACGACTTATATACTGAAATGGATAGAGTATTATTTTGATTCAAAATCACATTTAAATATCGTGTTACAGATCATTGTCTGTTTAAATACACGGAAAAATTGTTTCAGTGATATGAGTGAAAGAAGTATAGGGAGTTGTAGCTAGTGACACACAAAGGGCTTCCAAGAAACGTTTTTGAGAATCTGTAAAAGGCAAACCCAAAAAAAAGTTAAAGACGGTACACTCAAAGACAACATACTTTGAATCCTTTTATATACAATTATTAACTTTGAATAATTTATATATACACTAATTATATAACTATAAAAAAAGGAGATAAAAAAAAAGTTAGTTAACATTATTTCTGGACAAAAAGCTTCATTTCAGCTCTATAAATATCACCTAAACTGATCACTAGTTACTAAAAAAAAAAAAAACAAACCAAAAAAACTTCATCGAATTCTTCATCAGTTTGATCCACCAGAGAGAGCACATGGCTCCAGTGGGATTGCCTCCTGGTTTTCGATTCCACCCGACTGATGAAGAACTCGTGAATTATTACCTCAAGCGAAAAATCCATGGCCAAGAGATCGAGCTGGACATCATCCCTGAAGTCGATCTCTACAAATGCGAGCCATGGGAATTAGCTGGTATATCAAAAAATCCACTGTGTGTCTGCGTGTTTCTTTTTTTCTTTTATTTTCTGGAGACATTCTTGTAATTATCTACTTCAAGTCTCAGATCATAACATCCCATTTTATCTTTTGATATATATATCCAATGACAAAAATGTGGAGAAAATAATTCTTGTTTTTTTTTGTTTTTTTTTTTCAATGGGTTGCAGAGAAATCATTTTTGCCAAGTAGGGATCCAGAGTGGTATTTCTTTGGGCCAAGGGACAGGAAATACCCAAATGGGTTCAGAACAAACAGAGCAACAAAAGCTGGGTACTGGAAATCCACTGGCAAAGATCGAAGGGTTTCCAGCCAACACCGTGCCATTGGGATGAAGAAGACTCTGGTGTATTACAGAGGAAGAGCTCCTCAGGGGATCCGAACTGATTGGGTTATGCATGAATACCGTCTTGATGATAAGGAATGCGAGGATACTTCTGGTCTTCAGGTAGTTGTAAGTCAACACTTACTTATGTTTCTTAGTGTGTGTGTGTGTGTGTGTGTGTGTTTTTCCTATCAATTTTACATCAATCCAGTACTTGAACCCAGATGAATGTTCTCCTTCATTGGGAATTCCACTTCTCTCTTATGTGTTTCTGCATTGCTGTATTCTAATATCTGAATCTTGTGTGATTTTTTTTTTTATAAAGTTGAAAATATTGGGTCATTTTTATCTGTGATTATGTGAAATGATTGCAAACCCTTTGCGAAATGGAATGGTACTGTTCATTTATGCGATCTCTCTCCATTTTCAACGTTGAAGAAATTCCCTTTCGATGCAATGATCATAGACTTACAGATGTGTCGAGTGTTTATTGCCTACTTAAAGTTCAGTTTTCTTGGGAAATGGATTTCATGATGATGGATATGTATGCCCCTCTGAAATTTATTTTGCTTTCAAATATTTTTGTTAAATGCTCGATTTTGCTTTTTGTTGGTGTTCATGATTTCAAACTTTTTCTCTCCAAAAGAAAATGTCTGTGGATTGATTTGCTAGTACACCCTAACTCGGTCCTTACCCTATTGTATTATTGTTTTAGAGTTCGATAAAATATGAATTTCATCTTGGGACGAATTCATGGCGTATTCTATGATACCACCTTCTTGTTTTAGATGTCATGGTCGCCGTTTTGACTCCTCAGAAAACATGAATTTTCCGGTCTTTGGGTGGGGGCTGGGTGTAAAAATTAGTTGGAAAACGAAAAGCAAAAAAATAAAAATAAAAATAAATCCAAAGCATCAGTTTCATGATGAATTTTCGGGCCTTCTTTTACACAAAGGAACGAGAAGAAGAAGATAGATAAGAAAAGCAAGGATGATGATTTCCACTTTAACATGTGCCCCATGTTTTTTCCTCCAACATTTTTCATTAAATTTGTGCTTTCTTCAAGGAAACTAAAGGTTACAAAAGCCAACCCCTTCAGCCCCTTGTAATAATAATAGTACGTAACGTTAAATTTTACGCTAGAGACAACGTGGGTTTTGCATGGCATGCATGAAAAGCTAGGGCTTTAGAGGCGTTTGTTGTCATTTCTCCTTACTTTATCTTTTTTTTCTTCTCCTTTTTTTTTCTTATTATTAAATAGTATTCAAGTACAATTAACAGATTAAATAGTGAAATTGATAAAGTAGTTTAATTAATTCGATTTAAAAAACACAAAAGAAATATGAAGCTGACAACATAGATATTCGTTTCTTGGCATTGGCTTAGATCTCTTGATTTGTGACAAAGGTTTGGCATCATTGCTTTGTCTTTCTGTGATATGAGACAAAAGTATTATCTCCTCATATGGATGAATCTATGAACAGAAACAGCCCTTATGAATTTTTTTTTTAAAATTTTTCTTTTTCAGTTTGGTAAGTCATATGTTCATCTAAATCTAATCCAAAAATCAGAGATTCTTATATTTGTATATATAAATACTAAAAAAAAAAAATCAGTTTGAAGAAATAAAATATAATTATAACATAAAAGCAGCTAGCTAGAGAGGCCCTATGAGATCACTTTCTTCTCTTTTTTGTAATGTTTTCTTCTCTTCTAACTTTTGTTAGGGTTACTTTTTCACTTTATTCCCATTAGTATACCTGAATAAGCCATAGACAATAGAGAGACCACAATGTGTTTCCCTGCGGTATTGAGAATATTCACCCAACTTGATGTGTCCACATTGTATCATGGTGATGATGATGATCTAGCTAGCCATTGTTATATGCTCTGTGATTTTTCTTTTTGTTCGTTTCCTTTTTACTATGCTGATCTTATTAAAGCATTATACAAAGCCAAAAGCAAAGAAAAGCAAAGATCACCAATATATAGTATAGTTTTCTTCCCCTTCTTTTTTGGGCGTGACAGATTAAAATCATGTTTTAAATCTGTCTCCTACTAAGATAGATTAATTACGAGGGTTAGGAATAGAGGATGAAAAAAAGATGTAGAAAGTATAAGAAAGTGACATGTGTGATAGATACATAAGGATGGAGATCGAATCATATTTTTATTATATATATATATATGTCGCTATATTACTATAATATTATGCATGCATGAGACTAAGTTTACACCTTTTTTTTAAAAAAAATAAAAATGTAAGATTTAGCGTTATGAATATTATACTCACGAAATAAACAAAGTAATAGTCATTGTGAATTAGTAGATTATTATCATTGTATCGTGTCACCTAAGTTTTTAAACCTTCCAATTTTCCCCACACACAGCATCTTTCTTTTCCCAGTTTCTGAGTGGTCTAATCCTAGAAGCCTCAATTATTGACTGGAAAACAACATCTCTAACCTGGGATTCGTTTGTTCTTCTCCAAAGGGAAAAGGGCCCAGAAAAAAGGAACATTAACAAAAACTAAAAATGACAAAATATAAATGGTCCAGTTTAATAATACTTTTTTTCTTTTTTTTTTCCTGCATGCAGGATTCATACGCATTATGCCGTGTGTTCAAGAAAAATGGAGTATGCTCTGAGATTGAAGAACAACAACAACAACAAAACCACCACCAACAACAGTTTGGAGGACAATCAAGCTTCTCTGCATCATCTTCATCATCAGCAGCATTTCTAGATTACACCAGTACCCAAACTCATCATCATCAAGTCAATGTGACTCATGAATACCAAACTCCGTCGCCCGTCGATGCTCAGTTAGCATCGACAACAACCTCCGCGTGCATGGAAGAAGAAGATAAAGATGATTCTTGGATGCAGTTCATCACTGATGATGCATGGTGTTCATCCTCAGCTCCTCCGTTCGCCGTCGGCCATGAAGGGGTGTCTCAAGTAGGGTTCATAAACTAAATCATAGCTGGGATGGATTTGGTGGGAGAAAGGTCATACAGAAGTTTACAAAAAACAAAGCATAAAATTCAGAAGAAGAATAATAATTTCACAGAAAAAAAATTATATACTTTTGGGTCATTATGAAATATCTTCATTATCATGGGATTTGTTGGAAAACTTGAATTTTTCTTGGGATTAATTTTTTTTTTTTTTTTGTGTTGGAGATTTAACGCTATCATCACATTGATGATAGTATGATTATCTAATTGTATCTAGGTTTCTGCTTAAATGATTTGGATTTACAGGTGATCAGTTGTAGACGTTTATGACTTTACAGAGTTCAAGTTTCTTTATAAACCTCTTTTTAAAAGTGAAGGCTGCTAGGTGTAACCTGCAGAATGACGGGGTGGTTTCTTTGATGTTTTTCCTTATAATATTGCCGATATACTTTTTGGCAAAAGACCTCTCTCGACGTATCATTTATATAACTGACTTCACATTGTTATCGTGGATATATGATTTATATAACTGACTCTGCATTGTTATACAACTGACTTTACATTGTTGTCGTGTATATATGGTTTATATAACTGACTTCGCAGTTTAATCGTGATTTTTGTCATGGATATATTATTTATATAATTGACTCCACATGTTTATACAACTGACTTCACGTTGTTGTCGTGAATATATGCTTTATATAACTGACTTTGCATTGTAATCGTGATTGTTGTCGTAGATATATGATTTATATAATTGAATCCGCGTTGTTATATAACTGACTTCACATTGTTGTCGTGATGCTTTATATAACTGACTTCGCATTTTAATCGTGATTGTTGTCATGGATATATGATTTATATAACTGACTCCGCATTGTTATACAACTGACTTCACATTATTGTCGTGAATATATGCTTTATATGTGACTTTGCATTGTAATCGTGATTATTGTCCTCGATATATGATTTATATAACTGACTTGGCATTGTAATCATAGACACAGTAGTTATTGTTGTCGTGCCAAAATGCATTTTGCTTCATGGATCAGGCTGAGAAATTTTATACATAGATCAGTTCATTTGCCATGGATTTCTATAAGGGATGAGATGACTTGGATGGCACGGACCAATTAAGAGCCTAATTACCAACTCAATACCATACATACATATATATATAGCGTCTGTTTTTATCTATGATCTCACTTGTTGGGAATTTCACCAGTAACTTACTGTTCTAGAGAGATCCAAAACATGGAAGAAAGCAGCAAATTTATGACCATACCCAGCAGTTGAGGTTACGCAATAATTTCAGTGTATTGTGACTCTTCACCTAGATTGGAATTTAGCTTAAATCATCCATGTGTGGAACTTATAAATGATCCTTAACTCCGGGAGATATGGCTCAACCTAACACAATACAAGTAGTATGAAATACCGAAGATCAATGACAACATTCTCTAGCGATACTGATAAAACGATGGAATCTTTATAACTGCAATCAATGCAATCAGGATGAAACTCATGCATGCATGTGTATATCCTTCCTGAGTATAATCTTATGCATAAATAGCAATACTCGTAATTTCATAGATCATGAACAACCACAGAAACGCACTTTGAAGTGTACCCTGAAGGTATCCATATAAAATGGCTAAACCTATAACAAAACTCTATTGGTATGCAAAAAGACTCTTACGTGTTTCTTTTCTTAACATATCGTAAAATGAGAGGCTAAGGCACTTAAATCCTTCGATCTAACTGCTGCATTTGATCTAGATGTATAGATGAATCAACGGCCTGAGTTATCAGTGATTCATATACCATCTACAAAGACAAAAAAGAAATAAAATTTGATAGGGACTAAACTGACACCAACGTCAAACAACACCAAGATCACTCCACTTCTCAAACTCAGAAGAGGACAGCATGAATGAGCTAGCATTTCGATGACCTCCACCACCAAATTTCTGCATGTCATTGCATGATGCATCAGATCTAATTGCAAATACATATACATTTCACTACTCAGAAAATTTTTTATGACTGAACAAAAAGAGAAACCTTTGAGATTTCCGTAGTGTCCTCATTCTTAGTACTTCTGAGGCTTATTTTCAGCAATTGATCATTTTCAAGCTCTGGCACCTGGTAAACAACAGCTCCTATTCCCCTAGTGGACATTCAACAAACTAAAATCATCATTTCGATAAAAGAAGTCAATTGCACGGAAAGTTAAAGCACCACGATGAAAGTTCAGTAGTTCTAGTCCAAAGTGAAAAAGAAACAAACACATTGAAGCAGTACAATAGTTGTACAAGTTGAGAATTCTCATAATTACTGAGAGATTCTTATAACTGACAGAAGCCATGATACTACCAGTTCGAGAAAAGGATATTGAAAAATTTGCCAAAGTTCAGTGTTCCAACTTACTAATCTGAAGGAGCAAAAGATATGGAATTATAACTATAACTATAAAATTAATGCTAAAAACCCATCTGGACGAGGTCAATGGAGTCATCACAGAATATTTCTTAGTACTTTATTTTGCATGGTCTTTACAATTTGGATTTATAGGGTACCATTTGAATCTAATTTGTCCAAACTCCGACATCTTTGGGTTATTAATGTGACAACAGATTACAGGATCAAACAAATGCATCGTAAGGATATTCAGTATGATAAATTGATAATATGGAAAGCATAAATGAGAATCAAGAAACAACAAACCTCAACTTCATCTCCTGGCTTTTATCGGCTAACTGGTGACCAAGTTCGCTCCTGAGCTCAGCAACAGAATCTGCATTAACAGCCTACCAGAGCAAATGGATATAAATGGCTGATCTCAAATGAAATTGACCATAAAGTTATTCACTAGTACTTAATTAGGTCAAAAGAGGCACACTGAACACCTAGCACAAACTTACCAGACAATGGCCAAATGCTCCACCTCCAAGTGCAATTTCATATGATTGCTCAAGAGCATCATGTATCAATTTCTGCTTCTGAGCCAAACTCGCTGTGCCTTGACTTATGATATCCTCAACGTCCAGTGAAAGCAACTGCCAAGATATTTAGAAATGATTTCTATGAGGTATAATAAGAAGAGAAAACGTTCACGTGATTTTTGCAGTTTTCCCAACTTCAAATTTCAGAAATCTTTTCCCTTCTGATGTTCAACTTAAGTTTCATGGTACATTGAGTTACAGGTGGACAGAAGCTAACACGAAGATAGTTGTAAAGTTTATCATTTGCAGATAGATGATCACATAGTGAAATGAAGTTATTTTAATTGTTATTATCATAAAATAAATTGGGATTCTATTTCAATAATTGGACATCTTCATTACTATTTGAACTACATGCTGTCATTTGCAACACATATTGGTGTCTGGGTCCTAGTTAGGGCAAGTCAGTATCTCACTACATGTAATCATTAGGTGATTATTACCTGTTGAAACAAAGAGGGGTTGACTCTAAAGTCAAACTCGATGTTCATATCTTTCAAGCCACTACTGAAAGCTTTACTGTTGGGAAGGCGCCACCTCCACAAGTCTGCATCCTCAATGTACTCAAACAATCTCCTAACTCTTTCATATTCAGCAACCTTCACTGGCTGGTCACCACCAATATTACTTCCATCTCCTACTGATAGCTTCTTGGTGAAATAATCATAAGCAATTGTAGCACCACTTCTTTGCATGTCTATCACTTTGATCACATTACTATGTCCATTTACTGAAATTTCCGTACCTAATGATTCAAGTGCAGTTTTATGATGATCTAAAATGATGACCCTGCACAAAAAGAAGCCGTATGAAATTATAAATCCAATCAAGGAAAAACACTGAGATTGCACTCCATATGTTTGCTTGATTGACTTTATTTTGAAGATGGTAATTATACTAGTTAACTAAATCCAAAGTGAACTGCTGACTTGCTGCACAAACAAAAATCACGAACTCAGTCTACGTTTAAACTTGCAACAAATTGATTAGGGAAACAAAAAGCCAATCCCAAACTATAAAGCTCGATTAAGTCCAATCAACAGAAATCAAATCAAATCAAAATCAGCCAAATCATGCAATCCCAATTTTTTAAACTCCTTAAATGATGCAAAACCGGTTGAACCAGTGCAAGTCTATCTCAAAGCAGACAAAAAAAAAAAGGCTCCTTTTATAAGAATATCAAAAGCAGAGTGGGGAATATAAAAAAAAACCAGCAGAATAGTAAAAGCTAATAAAAAAGGAAACGCCACTAGTTGAAGAAATTGCACCTGCTAACTTTTGAAGACAGTTGATCAACAAAACCAGATGGACCCACAAAATCCAATAGATAAACATGGTCAATTTCATCCAGAGGAAGATCTTCAGGCCTGAAAAAAAATTCAAAAATTGCGGTCAAAACACAAAATCATTGAAAATAGAAGCTCCATTAACAATACCAATTACCTTAAAAACCAAAACCCATTAAGGAAAAAAGGATACCTGAGAGGGGAATAGACGGTGTTGGGGAAGAACAGGGCAGGAGTGGAAGAGGCAGAGAAGTAAAGATGGGCAGCCAATGCGGCAAAAGCTCCATCCGGGCATGGATAATGGTACAGTACAGCGGGCATCTTCTCCTTCTTCGTCATTGTCATTGTGTTTCTGGGAGTATTAGCAGTGAGAAAAGGGCTGATAATCTTGTTAGCTATGGAGGAGGTACGAGTTGTTTTCTGGGATAACAATGTTGTTGTACACATCAAAGCCCTCTTAATCATTTTTTCAAACAGTTATTAGTCTCTCTCTCCCTGGACACAAAAAAGTGGCTTGGAAGTCTTGGAGTGTGACGTCTGTCCTCCAGGTTTTAGTTTAGTTGGATTTTTTTTAAAAAAAAAATTATTAAAAAAATCATAGATTTATTTTCGGCATTTAAAAAACAGAAACAAAATATGGAAATACAATTAATTTGGGGTCCTTTTGGTTTTGGTGGTTTGTTTATTTTGTAGTTTAAAAAATTCCCATAGCCATGGGCCTCAAGTCTCAATTGAAGTAGCTAAAGGGGTGATTGATGAGGGAGTTCATGGTTCACTTAGGTTGGTTTAAAGCGAAAACGGATAACTTTCATTTTCATTTTGATATGATTGTATCTTATACATTCATTATAAAGTTTATATTTTTTCTCATTTATTCTTACGCGGCATGGGTATAATTTTTACGTTAATCTAAAACTATTCCAGACACTCGTTGTGTTACAAACATATTTGAATAAGTTGAAGTAATTATTGAAAATTGTAAAGTAAGAACAGATGTAAAGGTAGGTATAAATTTGAAACGTAATAAAAATTGTAAAGGAAATGAGAGTTATTGAAAATCTTATCGAGTTCAAATGACTATTAATTTACACTTCTCCCATTCGTAATCGTCTATAACTTATTTTCTTTTATCTGTTTGATTAATCTGGAAACAAACGATGTATCAAACCTTGTAAGATTCAAATATCAATACAAGGTGCTATCAAATACAAGATGCTTCATTGTATACTCTCCCACAAGTCATAAAAGCAACAAAGGAAGGCGGGAAATTTCCTGTACAAGTACATATGGAGGCGCGAAGTATTGATTATGCTATATATATATATATATATATATATATATATTTTTCGTTTTTTTGAAAACACTATTATGACAGATGTTTCCATCAATGTTTTGAAAATAAACCTTAGCTAGGGCAATTATATAATCACAAACGAAAATGATTTTTTGAAGGTGTTTGCTTTCTCTTTATTTTTAATTTCATTTTCTTCAGTATTCTTCTTGTGTATAATCTGAATTTGTTTCATTATTTTACGTTCATGATTTGCAATTATGCAATTCATATACTACTGTGGAAGATTATTTAAATTGTAGAAAAATTATTCCATACAGCAAGAGTATCCCCTTTCTTAGTACAGCAACACACCCATTATACTGGAAAATATCATGGTCCTCCTAATTTTGTGGTAACTTTCTCGATAAAATTATTATTTTGCCCTATTTATGTGTCTAGCTGCACAATCCTACGTAGTACATCAGTTGTATAGAAGATTTTCTCCAAATTGCATTTGTACAATTTAAGTTTCCCTCGTCTTAAAATTTAAGTTTTAGTACAATTTGAACTAAAATAGAAAATTCAAATTAGATAATAATTTTGAAACAAGACAGAATAAACGATACTACTATCATGTTCACATAGATTTTTATTTTTGGTTTAAATGATCGTACGAAGGGGCCATATGGCATATGAATTACGATAATCTGTAACTACGATAACTTTCCATTAAGTTTCTAAATAAATAAATAAAAATCATGAAAAAGCTAGAATTAAAAGCAAACTTAAATAAAAATTCAAGAAAAACTCATTTACCATTTGACACATCTAATCATTATCTATAAATACAAAAATCCTTTAATTTGTAGACATCAATTTCTTTTCTTTGATCATTTAGATGTGTGTGCGTTCACTTATAAGATTATGTACTCTTCCCATCTCCGTCTCAAAATTGTAGTATTTGCTAAAAATAAAAAATTTAAACTGGACAAATATTCTGAAAAATAGTCTGTAACATTTGTATGATTTTTTCGTGTCACAATTGTTTTTATAGTGTGAAAAGAGCATAAAAGCACAAAGACATTAAAAAAGGAAAGTGAATAATATTAGTACTTGTAGTTGGGGGGGAAAAGATAAAAATTAGGTACATATATTGGGGAGTATGATAGACAGCATTTAATTAGTATACCAAATAATGAAAGAGAGAAAAAAAAAAAAAATCCTTTCCAAACCGTTACCCTTCTTAATTCCATCCCTCAATAAACACACCCATAAATATAATTTCGCTAATTTCATGCCATAACGGTAAGTTAAGCCCCAACTTTTTTCCCCTTATATTTATTTTTTGACCTTTTTTTTTCATCATTATTATTTTTATTACTATTATTACACAACATATCTTCCACCTTCCCTCGTACCCTAATAAACAACATCATCATTTTTTTATTTATTTATTTATTTATTTTTCCCTCTCAAACAAAATTTTTTATTCTCTTGCTCTCCTACTTCCTTCTTCATACATTTACACCTCTACTCTACTACTCTCCACTAAGATCATCATCATCATCATGAAAAAACACGCAGTCACACAGTAGTTGTAATATAACTACAAACAAACAAACATACATACATACATATGCATAGTTATTATGGGCATAGCTGGCTTTGGAAGAAGGAGAGTTGTTTTGTGATCCAATATTATAAGTACTGTATCACTTGTAACTCTTATTACACTAGTAGTGTTGAGTTTGTGAAGAGTATATTCTTGTGAGTATTTTTTTTCTTTTTTTTTTTTTTATTTTTGTGGGTCTCGGAATGATGGAATTCGGTAGTGGTGGAAGTGGGTCGGGCCACGGCGGCCATCTCCACCACCATCACCACCACCAACACCACCATGATGATGATGCCTCGCCGGATCCTCAAGGCGGCGGACGGAATTATAATGATGATAAGAAGAAGAAGAAGCGTTACCACCGCCATACTGCTCACCAGATTCAGAGACTAGAATCGTAAGTAGATGATTATTCAACTTGCATTAGTATTGTTTTGTTATTTTTTTTTTATTGATGGGTTTTTTGTTATTTTATGTGGGTTTGTGGATGAATATGGGAAAGTATGTTCAAGGAGTGTCCTCATCCAGATGAGAAGACAAGGTTGCAGTTGAGTAGGGAGTTGAATTTGGCGCCCAGACAAATTAAGTTTTGGTTCCAAAACCGAAGGACTCAGATGAAGGTTTTTGTTTTTGTTAATCATATCTCCCTTGTTTTTGTTTGTTCGCGTAATTTGGCCTAATAGATGAATTTTCCATTATTTGGTTTTAGGCACAACATGAGCGAGCAGATAATTGTGCACTCAGAGCAGAAAATGATAAAATTCGATGTGAAAACATTGCAATCAGAGAGGCACTGAAGAATGTTATCTGCCCTTCCTGTGGTGGTCCTCCTGTTAGTGAAGATCCTTATTTTGATGAGCAGAAACTCCGAATGGAAAATGCCCAATTAAAAGATGAGGTTTTTTTTTCAAGTTTTAGAAGTCTTTGTCAGTTGGATTTTACTTCCTTGGATGATGATGATGATACTAATCTTTAGTTTTTGTGTGTGTTTCTGGGTATATTATAGCTTGATAGAGTTTCAAGTATTGCTGCGAAGTACATTGGGAGGCCTATTTCACAACTACCACCAGTTCAGCCTATTCATATATCTTCACTGGATTTATCAATGTCTACTACTTTTGGAGGAGGCCATCATGGAATGGTTAATGTTGGTCCTTCCCTTGATTTCGATCTTCTCCCGGGAAGTTCATCCGCAGCTATGATTCCTGGTGGTTTACCTTTCCCGACCCCAATGGGGTATAATATTTCCGACATGGATAAATCCCTTATGGGTGATATAGCTGCCAATGCCATGGATGAACTGATTAGGCTGTTGCAATCCAATGAGCCCCTCTGGATTAAATCATCGGTCGACGGGAGGGAGTTACTCAATCTTGAAAGCTATGAGAAGATTTTCCCAAGGGCTAATACAAGGTTGAAAAATCCCAATACAAGGATTGAAGCTTCAAGGGATTCTGGTGTTGTGATTATGAATGCGTTGGCATTGGTTGACATGTTTATGGATGTGGTAAACATTTTTCATTTCTGTCTTCATTTTTTTCCCTCTTCCTTTCTCTTGTTGAAATCATGATGAATGTTGTTTAATCATCTGAGATGAATCTTGCAGAATAAGTGGGTAGAGTTATTCCCTACAATAGTTTCAAGGGCAAGGACAATTGATGTAATATCATCTGGAATATTGGGGAATCATAGTGGTACACTGCAACTGGTATACTATCTTGTCTTAACTTGTACTTGTTTCTTGCCTTCTTCTTTGATCTTACTCATTGATTTGACTTCTTTTTTTTTTCTGGTCTCCCATTGTGTTCCTTTTTTTTTTTTTTCCGCAGATGTATGAAGAATTACAAGTTCTTTCCCCCTTTGTACCGCCAAGGGAGCTCTACTTCCTTCGTTTTTGTCAGCAGATTGAGCAAGGTTCATGGGCAATAGTTGATGTTTCATATGAACTTCCCCAAGATATCCAGTTTCCTTCTCCTGGTAAAACTTACCGGCTTCCTTCTGGATGCTTGATACAGGATATGCCCAATGGCTACTCAAAAGTAAGATTTATTCAATGATTCCATTTCCACTACATTAATAATACTAATTTCTTGTCTTTTAGTTCCACTTTTTTAATTTTGATTCATAAATGTCATTTAATTTTGTGCTATGCCATATTAAGGTAACTTGGGTGGAACATCTAGAAATGGAAGAAAAAGCTCCTGTCCACAGGCTCTTTAGGGATGTTATTCAGAATGGGTTGGCATTTGGTGCTGAAAGATGGCTTGCCTCTCTTCAAAGGATGTGTGAAAGATTTGCTTGTCTCATGGTAACTAACACGTCAACTCGTGACCTTGGAGCAGGTAAAAATGACTACATTACATAAATGGTGAAGAAAAAACTGCCGCGTGTATTGACCAAAAAGAAATATTTGTGTGCAGTAATTTCTTCTGCTGAGGGGAGAAGAAGCATGATGAAACTTGCCCAACGAATGGTGAGAAGCTTCTGTGCAAGTATCAATCCTTCAAATGGGCAGTGGTCACAGGTTTCTGGATTGAACGAATTCGAAGTCCGAGCGACCCTCCATAGAAGCACTGATCCTGGTCAGCCTAATGTTGTTTTTCTTAGTGCAGCCACCACAATTTGGCTCCCAATTCCTCCACACCATGTATTCAATTTTTTCCGTGACGAAAGAACTAGACCTCAGGTGAGTCTTCTAATATTAATAATGATGCATTCTTAACTTTAATTTTTGTTCATGAATACTTATTGAATTAACCTCTGCGCGCAGTGGGATGTTCTCTCCCATCAGAATCCTGTGCAAGAAGTTTCACACATTGCAAATGGCTCTCATCCAGGAAATTGTATTTCTGTTCTAAGGGTAACCCTTTTCAACTGATCATAGGCCTTCAAAAAGTTTTGGTGAAGATTATATTACATTAAGTTAATGCATTTCGTTTCGATAAATGCAGGCATTCAACACAAGCCAGAACAACAGGTTAATCCTTCAAGAGAGCTGCATAGATTCATCAGGAGCAATGGTAGTATACAGTCCAGTTGATCTAAAAGATATACACGTAGCCATGAGCGGAGAGGACCCTTCATGCATACAACTGGAGCCATCCGGTTTCGCCATATCACATGATGGCAGATCAGAAAGTAGTAGTAGTAGTAGTATTATGGATGGAGTTGGAGGAGGAGGAGGAGCATCCACAAGTTCTGCAGCATTATTAGCTTTGGAAGGTGGTGGTGGAAGCAGTAATGATGGTGGAGGAGGAGGTAATAGGTCTGCTGCTGAATCAGGATCAGGAGGATCACTTATTACAGTAGTACTACAAATTCATGTGAGCAACTTACCTTCAGCTAAAATGAGCCAAGAGTCAGTAAATACTGTTAATAGCCTTATCAGTACCACTGTCCACCAAATTAAAGCTGCCTTGAATTGCACCACCACTAATGCTACTACTACTACCAATACCACTTCTTTATGATTCATCATCCTCCCAAACCCATCCAATCTTAACATTCAATTCCATCATCAACATCATCATCACACACCAGATATATCTGTTCAGATTCACATTCACATCAGTTAATCCAGCCAACCCCCTCTTTTCCTCTCTTGTTTTTCTGATGAAGATCAATTGATAACACTGCATGCATGCAAAAGTACAACTGGCCATCTTTACTTCTTGTGTTTTTACCCATCTTTAAATACTATATATTAGTACAGTCTCAGACTCCAGAAAGATCAAATTTTTTTTTCTTTTTTTCTTTTGTGGGTGGCTGGCTGGCTAGATTTTTTTTAGCTGCTGCTAGATGGATTGGATGGATGGGGGTATTAATATAAATTGAATGAAGAGGGAGAAGAAAGGGAAGTTTATCAAAGTTGGTTGAGGAGTATGAATGCTACTATAGAGAGAGGAGCCATCATTCAATACCTGATGAAGCTGACAGAAAAATTGCTGCAATCCATATGCTGGCTGCTCCTTACTGCTGCTTGGTTCTGTTTTTTAGCTGCCAAAGATTCATTACCAGTTCTCAACTACTTTAAGTTAATTTCCATCTTCAACTATCTTTCTTTTTCCTTTTTTCTACTTGTGTGGGTTTTTGGTATTTTGGATTGTTATTTCTTTTGGGAAGGGTGGATTTTGAAAGAGCAAGTCAAGAACGCACCATACTAGTATTTCTTTGCTGTGGGGGACCTCTCTCTCATTTTTTTTTTTTTTTTTTGGGATATTTTTCTCTGAAAACACAGCAAGGAATATTGTAGGGTTCGGGTATTGACTTCTCAATTTACATATGCAATTTGATGTACTATTTCTTTTTCTTTTTCTTTTTTTTATAGTGAAAGTTCGTTTTCTTTCTCTTTAGATTTTGTCAACTATTTATGAGAGGTATTGACATTGGCACCAACCTATATTAGCCTCTCCCCCATTAGATTGTGTACCTTAGCACAACATAACCGGGCATATCTATTTATTGCTCTGGTACAATATGTGGTAATCCTACATACATACGCTCTAGCTAGCATTTAACAAACTTTTATTGCCATTTCCTTTCCGTCCCAAATTACGAGTCTTGTTTGCTTTACTTATAATTATACTCAAATTATATATAAAAAAAATGTACTTCTATCTGAACATGATTGTATGGTTCTAGATTTCATTTGTTTTACATTACTAAAAGTAAAATCTCAAACTGGACAATAATATTTGGACGGAGAAAGTAAATAGTCTACAAATTTCACATCATAAATTTTTAAATCATTCCCCCATTACAAAAAAATGTTTCACATTCTCACATATTTACCTTCTAATGATAATGGAAATATGATCATTTAAATTGCTCCAACTTTGAAACGACTCTTATATACATCATGTTCCAGTTACGGCTTAATTCTTTTTATGATAATGGAATGTGTACTTGCCATTTAAATTGTTCCAACGATTTTTATAAAATTGATTACTTCGTGTTCCAGTCACGGTTTAACTAAACGAATCAAAAGCGTAGTACCAAGAATTGGTAGTAGCACCCGCTTCTTAGTGTCATCATATATATGTGGTCCAGATGGGGGGCTTTGCTGAGTGTGTGTGTGTGTGTGTGAGAATAAAGACGGGGCAGGAGTTCAAAGTCATTGTAGAAGGGACCACCAAAACAAAATTGACAGATTGGATAGCTTTTTCGTTAACATCAATTCAAAGAGAGTCCACCACCACCACCACCACCATTTGCTGGCTTTTGTTGTCTGAATCAGATGAAGACGGGAAAGCGCTTTAATTCGACAACAACGTCGACTGATTAATTGAATATTGCATTTATCACCCAACCGTGTACCTCAAAACTCAAAAATGCATTACCTCCCTTCTACATTTACTTATAATGACGGTCTCCATTGAGTCGTGTTTCGTGTTAATTTTTTTAATCGACATATCTTATCAATATGTGTATTTATCTAAGTATAATTTGGGTTACGTTTTTATATCGTGTCACGTATATTAGACGCATATATAGAACCATTTCCCTTTGCTTAAATGGTTAGGAAGTGAGATGTTTTAATCCATCAATCTATGGGAGAAAATGATGTTTTAGGTCCATTTCATCAAACTCTTCTTTGATCAAATTCATTGTTTTTGAGCCCACACAACCAAATGTGGAATGGTCATATTCACACACAAAAAGAAGCTAGGGTTTAGTTATCATTAAAAATGTAACCAACAAATTGCCGTTTCAAGACTATTCTTTCATATGATATTTACATGTTCTCTATGTCCATAAATTATTGTCCAGTTTGAGACTTCACTTTTAGTACAATTTGAATTAAAAATAGAAACTCAAACTGGACAATAATTATGGGACGGAAGGAGTATTTACTATTTGTTGTCTTATAATAGAATACTTATTTTGGGGTTTAGACAGTGTAAATTAGGATAGTTTGAGAAGAAGAATAATAATAACGTTCTGATGAAATTTGTGGAAATTTAAAATTTGAAGTAAATACTATACGTTTGATTTGACCAAATGGAGTTTAAATGCTCAGGTTAGATTGGATATTTGAAATAACTACATGGGATATAATTTTTGAATGATTGTCTCATTTAATTTTTTTGTATTGAGTTTACGTTTAAAGTTTTTGAAAATTCCATTGGTAATTAGTCTTAAACCTTTTTGTACTATTGTACTACTAGTAGCTCTTTATTATGGAGGGTGGATTTAATTCTGCGCATTCATATGTTGATTTATTATACAAAAAAAAAAAAAGAAGTTGATTTATTAATTATTATTACTGTTATTATTTGCTTAAATTCTTGAAACCAATGTCCTTGAAGCTAAATTGACTCTGACCTGCCGGTGAAGTATAATTCAAAAGAGTTTTGACCAATTCAATTAAAAATCCATCGAAAGACATAAAAGATACCTATTGGATGTTTTATCAGCGTCCGAAAAACCAATTACTAACGAGACTCGTATTCTGAAATATATAGGAATAATAATGTTTGATTTTAAGATGTTCAGTTGGGCGAATTTTTAGATTTTTAGATTTTTATCAGGTGTTCACTGTCGTTAACAATGACTAAATTTTATCATATCATTAATTTATAGACGTTTTGATGTGTAGAACAATTCACTAAAGAAAGGATTTAAAGTTCCTTCATATGGAGCTTATAATTAGAAATGGAGGAATTAGAAAAAAAAAACAAAAAAAAAATACTAAAAAATCATGCCACAAATTCTAGGTCGTGTTTAATAATCTAAATCTCAATGATAATAATAACAAAGAAGTTGGAAATGTAAAATGAATGAAAAGAAAATTATCATTGATTAGTCATCGGAAGGATCGTCTCTTCTATCTCAAAATCCTACATGATGCGATGATATGTACTAATTGGTAGAATAACAGTCCTACAATGGATTATTGATGTGTTGTGGGAGCCTAAAATCGAGCCCATGGTGTCAGATTAAGGAAGAATGAGACGTGACCCAAATGGGCAGTCTGCATTTATATCCAAAAAGACCATCACACGAGGGAGGCCCATTTTAACTCCTAAAACATTAGTGGTGCATAAATTCTCTGCATGCATGTACAGTATTCTGGCAAAACTAAACCATTAATTAATTAAATTATAATGTAGTGATGGAGAGAAAAAAAAAAAAAAAAAAAAAGAAAAAGATGCAAAATACAATAATACTTCTTTAGTGCCAAACTCAATACATCTAATAATTTCAGTACAACAGTGTTGGTGAATGCAGAACGTGAGTACAATTGAGGGGTTAAATGGCAGACTAGTAGTCTTAGCAAGAATTAAGTAAAAACATAAACATTCTCAAGAAATGAGACCATTTGCTGCAGATGGATCCTTCCCTCTCCAGATTGCTAGGACTTCGTCGGTTCTAAATCGCTGTGTAAAAGTCGTTTCCTCCAATGGAGTAGAAAGTCCGTGAGCGTAAGCTAGGAGGCCAGTGTAAGCAATCATTGCCCCATTATCGATGCAGTACCTCTCATCCGTCGCGTACAACTTCCCACCCCTCTCGGAGCACATGACCCGCATCATCTCCTGTAAACGCTCGTTGCAACCCACACCACCAACAATTAGTACGTCCTTGGTGTCACAGTGAGCCATTGCTCGTTCTGTGATCTCCACGAGCATTGCAAACACAGTTTCCTGAAGAAATTCCAGAAATACGAGAAATGAGCCTTTTGTGTTTATTTGGTTTGATGCAAGTAAGCAGAAAGCACTGAATTTGTTTCCTCAGACATTCCTACGGGATACATAAAATTTGAATTGCGTGAAACTTGCAATGATCACCTGAAGGGAGTAACACAAATCAGCAGGTGTGCACTCATTGTTACTAAGCTTCTCTTCGGCAGTGCCTTCAATGTAGCTAAGTAATCCACTGAAGGAAACATCCATTCCTTTTACAACATATGGGAGCTCAATAAACTTTTCTCCTTTCTTTGCAAGCTGGTAAGAAATATAACCAAAAAGAGAATCACTGAAAGCAATTTATTCCAATTCAAATAAGGACCAAGATCATACGTGGTGCTCAGATTTCAGAGAACCCGAAATTATAAACTGAAAACACTAAACACAAACAGAACACAAAATATAAGGAATTACTTACCTGCTCAATATTATATCCTGGACTTGGATCATTGGACAACTTGAGAACTCTTGCAAACCTATCCAGACAGTTTCCAACTGCAATATCAATGGTCTCCCCAAAAATCCTGTATCTTCCCTCACTATATGCAATAACCTGCAAGACTTGTTCAGACATGGTATTATTAGTACCGACTACACCACTAAATTACGATTTGATATTTGTTAAATGTGCTCCAACTTTAGTTGAAGAGATCTCAGGTAAAGAAGCAAATGACAACTTAAAACTTAAAAGTGATAAAATACTAAGGGCAAACTGCCATTGGCAATGACTTTAGAGAATGCCACGACAATGAAGTTTTCAGTTGGAGGTACTCACTAACAATGTATTATATAATCAAATATGACAGAAATATGAAGTGTTGTATCAAACTGCCTAGTCTACTCTTCTACATTGCACTAGCTAAAATACCTTACTACAGTTCACTACCAACACTCAAAGCAATTAACGGGCACACCATAAGATTGTGCACAATTTTCCATGTTCAAGTAAAAGGATGTAGCAACTCGGCTCAGAGCAATAAAGCCGGCTTTCAAACAATAGTAGAAAAAATTTTAGATTTCATCTCACATTAATCTCTTTTGACCAAATAAATCACACGCGACATATCTCTACCACAAAAAGGTTCTAGATTTCATTCATAAATTGATGGACAAGGACACCTTGTGTCTTTATCTCTTGGTAAAAATAGGATTCAATTATTTACACAAGAAGTGATATGACATCAAAATATAGCTAAAGAAGAGTACAAAGCCAACAAAATTTTAACAAGGTTAATGAGTTTAGTACCTGTGTATTGCCTCCACTAACATAGAGAACGACTGGATCATCAGCTCCAGTAACAATGCGGCCCATTTCAATGTGGGCTACACAATGATTCACAGCAACAATAGGCTTATTCCACAGTTGGGACAGGACACGGACGACCACAGCAGAGACCTGGAGGGGAGCACCCATTCCAGGGCCTTTAGTGTAGCAAAGGCAATCAATATCATCAGCTGTAATTTTTGCAGTCTCTAGCGCAGATTTGACAAGAGGAAGAACATGCTGAAGGTGGTGTTGAGCTGTTTCCCTTGGTAAGAAGCCATGACCTGGTGGAGTGATGTAAGTGTGACGTGGATTGGATAAGATAGAGCCATCAAGTGCAACAACTCCAACAGCAATTTTGTTTGCTGAGCCCTCAAAACCTAGGGCTATTAGTCTCTTTTTGCCTTCCATGCCTAACGGAGGATCAAAATTAAGAGATGAGGAGAGTAAAGAAATTAAGGAGAAGAAAGAAAGTACTTACAACGTGAATAAACACCACAAAATTTGTCAATATCAATTGGAAACAGCAGATAAAAATTAAAAAACTTAAACTACACCCGTATGAAGGAAATTTGGGGGTAAAACATGGAAGACAGTGAAACAATATGAAACTTTCAGCATGAATGAAGCAATCGACAGTAGGTCTAATCTCTCTCAAAACATCTATGCATCATTTCAACCAAAACTATGCACTTCATCAGTTTAATTCTTTCTCAGTCTCACAATATATTCTTCAGTTTCACTCTTGCCGCCCATCCTTCCTTCATTCTTCCCAAGTTGAAAGAGTGAGAGCATTCTTCAACACACAAATACAAAATTTAAGTTCTTTTTCCAACTATTCCATTTGGTGGTAGTCATATCACTTTCTACACCAGAAAATACAAAGTGCAAAAACAAGATTACTAGAAGTTCTATACTCCACACCAGGACCCATTAAAAAGGATATCACCGCAATTGTTTCTTTTCTTCGAGAGTAAGAAGTCCAAACACTCTTTCCAACAAAAAGTGGACAATGGCAAACTTAGAGTGACGCAATTGAATCTCAATTAATTTATATCATAACTAAGAAATATCTGGATCAAGAGAAGTTGCACATTTAGTTTCTCATATGTTATCTTTTATTTTCTATTGATCTTCTACTAAAAAAGACAAAAATAAAAACATGCTTTTGCGGAAGACAAATTCCCTCTTATATTCTTATTAACCAGTAAAAGTAAAAGAGATTTCTATCACATCAAATAAAAGGAAAAAAAGGAAAGCAGATTCCTACAAAACCATCCATAATATATAGCTAAAAATCCGAACTGATGGCATTTAACCATTGAAGGCAACTCGGAACTCCAATCTGATTTTGGTTTCTACATTCTAGCTAGAGGATGTGTGGCTCAAAATCAAAATCCTTAACCAGGCATCAAAACGTCCAGAATCAAAAGTTTAAATGCAACGAAAAAATCACGAAGGTTCACGAGTTCAACTTCTGGAATATTATTGGAGTCCGACAAAGTTAAGAGATGGAGAAAAGAAGAAGAGGATAGAGTTATCTCTTAACCATCCCTAAGGTTACATAATACAAAATTCCTCAACTAGTAAACTTGAAAATAATCAATTGTTTTTTAGTTTACCTTACAAAAATACAGAATGAGTTTATAACTTGGAAGCTTCACCTGGTTGCCACTTTCCAATTTAAAGGCCAGAAATTATGCTACTTAAAATGATGAACTAAAACTGCCCTAAAAAAATGAAGCAGCTCATGCAATCAAGGTAAGTTTGCAGCCATGTCTTTGTTCTCCTTAACTTTTCCCCCACTCTCCTACCAGAAAATCCCCACTGCAAAACCAAGTACTTAAATTTTCTAACAAAAGCAAATTTATTCTACAATATTTGTGGTATAATTCATGACTTTCCTAGCTCATGAAAATTCATGGGAAAAAAAAAACAAAAGTCTAAGCAAATTTATCTGAACTATGTAACTTTAACAGGCCCAGCTTTTTTTTTCTGAGTTCACGCATCAAAATTAACTAAATATGCTACTAATTCAATATAGCCCAGTTAAGCAAATTTGCAGGCAAAGTTTAAGTTAAACAGTATAATTCAGAAAATTAAAGAAGTTTTTTTCATTACAAGGAAGCTAAAAAAATCGTGGAAGAAAGCTTCGGCATACCTCAACAATGGCGGTTTGAGCTGACTCTGTTCCCGTTCTTTTGGAATTGAACTCCCCCCGGCGGCGCTGGCGCGGTCTTTATTTCGAGCGCCCCCACTGGATTTAATTGCAATTTAAAAGAGCCGTAGGGGCTTATAATGTAATTTGGCAAACTTTAAACCTAACAGAATTATTCCATTTTAAAGCGGTTTATTTATTATTCGTTAGAAATCTGTCCCCGTCCAGAAGCCACCGGAGTAAAGCCGCCGGAGGAGTGCAACTTAAGGAACTGCGTCAGTTCATAAGTGAAACCTTTGAGGTACGCCAAAGTTCTCTTTCGCTGTGTAGTTTTCGTTCAATTGCGAAATGCTATTTTCATCTCTGATTCGGACTGTTTTAACTGAAATTGGAAGTGAATTTTCCCGACTGCTTTCACGGGTTACTAGCTGTGAATTAGCGTATTTTAGCAAACTTTATGTGATTATGCATTTACTGATTGATGGGATTGCCGATAAAAATTTGATCTTGGTAAAGTTTTTAGTTCGGATTGAGAGGCATTTCAGTGATTCGATGCTTCTGGGAGTTTTGTCCTTTGCTTGACCTGACATCTTTAGGAAGGAGATTGAAAAAATACCACAGCTTTTAGAGAAACATTTCCTTTACCAGTGAATTTATTAGCCAATTTTTAAGTATTTTCTGGAAAGAGTTGGGGATCTAAAGGGCTTGGGAATGGTTAGTTGGTGTGTCAGTTTTATGTTGGGAATCTTGCTTTGATTCGGGTTCGGCTTTTACCTGCTAATGAGAAATGGAAATGGAGTTGATTCTGTGGGTAAGTGAGTTATTTGTTCTTGTTAGAATCTATCATGGGGATCTGCTGGAAAAGATCTCCATTTGATTTATTTTTGTTTGCAACCCTGTCAAATGACTGAACACTCGAAGCTGTAGGATGAGTGAAAAACAATTCTCCCAGTGTTCTTTCGGTATGATTTCATCAGGAGATTTTCCCTTGGCTATCTGATAGATACCTATGTTCATACTTTCACATTTTATGGCTTTTCTTTTGCCCTTTTGGCAGATGTCATTCATGAAGCATCTTTGTGATGACATGCAGCACCAGTTTGTAGCTCTAATTCTTCATGGATCTCCGACGCTTTCAGGTCTGAAATAAGTCTTCTCTTATAACTCCAAGTTGTAGCGCACAGTGGTAAGGTTTCTAAATTGAGGCTTCTTCTGTGGAATTGCAAGAAATGACAGAAATCTTCAGTTATACGGCATGCATACAGTTGTTGCAAATGTTGTTTGCGGTCTTCTTCTTCCATGTTTCAGAATACATTCTTGCGATGATCATTCATGGAAAATCAAATGTAAACCTGACGTCTCTTTTGATCAGCAAAAGTTACGTCCTTGCGATGATTTTCTCCTTAGTAGAGTATATTGTGGAAATCTATTTCTCCCCAGCTTTAAAGGAACACTGGTGGATAAGTAATGCAGGTCTTGCCATGGTAGTTGTTGGTGAAATCACAAGGAAGTTGGCCATAATTACTGCTGGCCGGTCCTTCACTCATCTCATCAAGGTTTATCACGAGGAGCATCACACATTGGTAACTCATGGAGTTTACAAATATGTCCGCCACCCTGGATATAGTGGTTTCTTCATCTGGGCTGTTGGCACTCAAATAATGCTATGCAATCCTTTATCAACCGTTGCGTTTTCCATTGTAGTTTGGAAGTTTTTCGCATCAAGGATACCATATGAAGAGTTCTTCTTGAGGCAGTTTTTCGGGTCTCGGTATGATGAGTACTCTAGGACAGTTCCTTGTGGGATTCCATTTGTGAGCTAATGACTGTGTCTGACTGTATTTGAATAGGTACCTTGTCTAAAGAATCCTTAACGTGGGGAGAATAAACTATCTGTAGTTATTTGGTTCTGGTTCTTCCCTTCACTTCTTGTAATTTAATCTCTTCTACTCTCTACATCCAAATATTATTGTCAAGACAATAATTTTGCGACGGAGAGGGTACTACCTTGTAACATGGTCTGAAAATTATTAATGCAGAGAATTTGATGTGGAATTTCGACTTATGGTTACTATTAGTAAAGTGGTAGTTTCGGTTCCATACAAGTCTGGAGTCCACGATTTTTCAGAATTTCAATATTTTTTTCATACATTTTCCACTTATATAATTCTAATGTAGAACATCTAAAAATAATAAACTATCCGGGACAAAAAGGTAAGACTAAATATTACTCTACATTTTCACTGCCACCAAAATTTGGAACATACTGTAGTTCTGTATCTTTCTGTACAAATAGCCTACGCGAGTATGAATGACCATATATATATATATATATATATATATATATATATATATATATATATTATACAACAATCTATGCTCCCACCACTATTAACTAAGAAAATAAGATGATAGAATACATCTTTCCCTCCTCTCTGTACTCTGTTAGGCAAGATCCAAGCGTAAAGGCCAAATGTAAAGAATCAGTAGTTTGCATATTGAGCGTATTGAAGAAACTCATGTTGTGGGCTGGAGAACTCTCCTTTATAATGCCGCTTCTGCCAGGACCTCCACGCTACTTGAATCCTCCTCGCAGCAAGGGTTCGCCAGTAAGGAGATTGATATCTGCAATAAGAAAGTATGCCCATTGTTAGTTGTGAGGAGACAAATTTGTGACGTTCGGAAATGGAGATTGTCAATTGTCACTCCTGCGCAGATTGTACAAACTCACGAGTATTTCATACGGGCAGGGACAAGAACAAAGACGATGAATTAAATATGAGTGACATTCTGGGAGAAATGACTTGATTAATCTTAGATGTTACCTTAAAACTCCTTGAACCCGTGGATCCCTTAGGAATCTTGGTAACAGATTTGTAACTTCTTGCAGATCAGTGGACCGCAGAACAAACGCTTCTACATTGGTCAAGCATCTGACTTCTCTATTACTCACAGTAACAGGTCCCGGAATCCTGATCTTTCTTCCATCTGAAATAATAATTACTTAAAAGTGACCTACTGGTACAAAAAGGCTGCAAGTGTAAGTTCCTGAGTAGTCTATGCCCTCATTTCATGAGGAATTATGAGTTTTTTGTAATGGGATGGCTTAAAGACAAAATCTCTCACTTGCATCCTCAACCCTTGCCATCCAACCAACCCTTTTTCTAGCTATTATGCAAACATAAAAGAAAAACAACCTTTAAATACCTTTGTTTATAGAAGAATGCTCAAGGTACGATGTCAAAAGTTCTTCACCAATAACATCACCTTCGCCCAAGGAAGCTTTAATTCCATCTTCTCCAATATTTTCAATTTTTCCACGGATAATAAAGACCATTTTATCAACAAGGCCGCCGCGATATAGAATCTTGCTCTCTTTTATATAGGTTTTTTGCCGTAGTCTCTCACAAATGGCATCTAAAATGGGCTCATCCATAAGGGTGAATATTTGGACCTGCAAATACAAACAGAAGAAGCGAAAAACAGGGTAAGTGAGTACCTTGCTTTGTAGCCAATAATTTTTTTTTAGCCACTTATTTCACATGTAAACCAAGCTCTTAGTACAAAAAAATATATATATACATATATAAAGCGCAATGAATTGAACATGACTGGAGCCTGAAATAAACTTGGAGTGCTGGCACACTACTCAATCTCTAACAACAATGATGATAACAGGAGAGGAAAGCTTTCTTCTATATCTGGAAAATATTTCTGAAGTAAGAAGACAAGAATTCTCTACAATTAGATCAAGGAGAGATTTAAATCAATAGTATCCGGCAAAGACATATTTGTGAATTATGAATCCCTGCTCCCTTTATCAAATTTGATTCCCTTATTAATTTTACCTTATTTACACAGATTCATTGAATTAAGGACATCATTTCATGCAGCATCCCGGGACGAAGGCGGGTGTGTGTGTGTGTGTGTGTGTGGGGGGGGGGGGGAGGATGGTGTTTTGTTTATTCCAAACTATTGAGGCACAACATGCACAAGAATATCTAGTAATTCACATTCAACAAAGACGTTAAAACCAGAAACAAAAGGCTCACCTTCTTAACAAATTTAAAGAGATGACGGCGTATATCTCTTTGGAGATCTTCAGGCAGGTTTTCCATCAACATTTCTTCATTCACACCTCTGGTTGCAGCCCAATTATACCGTTCTGCTTCCCGTACTTTTCTGCATGTTTTAAATCCATTTTCCCATGAGTTATTGTAACTACAAATTTACCCAACATCACAGGTACCAAATATGACAAAAAAGCAAAGTGAAAATGGGCAAGAAGGCAACAGAAAAGAGAACTACAAGCTGTTAGCAACGCGAGATTTTTAGCCTGGTTTCAGAAAAATCTTATAGAACTAAGGAAAGGAAACATAAGAAAGAATGTAGAACCTCCTATTACAGACAGACTTATATTTACGTTTCCAAAGTGATGAGAAATTTTCCATTGTTGATTGACAACTAATTTCTGACCAGTGGTGCTCACAGGGAGCCAAGGAGTTTACAAACCAAATGTCCAGGATGACAGTTCTTAGACGTAAAAGTGACCTCAAATCATTTCGCAAACTAGTAAAAGACCTCAAAGTTTGAGATAAAATATATAACATCGTTAAAAAAGGTCTCAATGAATACCCAAGAAATTATGAAGATCATAAATAACAGCTGAAAAAGCAATAAACTCATTAGGTCAAAAGACATTTAACAAACAAGTCCAGTTAACCAGATGCCACTTCCAAAGAATGTCTCTTTCCTAGATAAAATCCAAGAGTTGTATTTCCTTAATATGTACTGTTTACCACATATCTTAGTAAACAAGTCATGACAAACCACTTCTTTTACTGTCATATTTAATTAATATATTAATCTGCTCATGAACAACTTACAAACATCATAATAATCTCTTTACCAAGTAAATCAAGATACAGTGTCTATTTACTGCATAAGATAATAAACCAATAACACAGTAACTGTTCCAATAATGCGCAACCACCCAGAGAGCCATTGCCAAGGCTCCCCATCTAATTCAGTACTTTCTACTCATTTTAAATGGCAACAGAACATGGGGAAGAGATGCATTCACAAAATCCAAAGTATGCTGAATTTAAATAGTCACAATTCAACATTCGAGTAAGACACATGGAATCTGGAAAAACGTGCAAGTTAAGAGTGGAAAAATGGGACAACCTTCTCAAGTCCTCTGGCAAGCGGCGATGGCTCATCCACTGCTCAACATCACGGCGTCTAAGAGACATTTCTAGCCTCCTAAAAACCAAAGCATCACATAGGTCAGTAGGATCCTCAATTTAAGAAATAAGATACGAATAATATCCTCCATTTCGTCTTGTCCTGTGTCACACAGGGTTGGTTTGGGGGTGTTGGGGTTGTGTTGTAAACTAGAAATCTGTGGGGTATAATTTGCAGGCTTTTATTTAGAAAAAATTAGTCACGCATTCTTCCAAAAATATCCAATGCTCAGAACAACTCCATTTTCTTAGTTTCACCACTGTGTTCCTTTAGTTTCTCATCGTATGGTTTTCTCCACCAAGATCAGAAACAGAATTTCAGAAGAATCAAATAAAAACTCAATGACAGCAAATTCATGATTCTTCACCAGTAAATTGCAATGCGGGTTTTTCTTTTATCAACATTGTAGTAGTATGTGTTTTAGAAGATAAGCACGAAGAGAGGTAACACAATCCCGCCACAAACTACAGAAGTTACAGCAAAATAAGTTACAAAAGTAGATGAACAATAATTGATTTGCAATAATAAAAGTTGTACCTGCGCCCAAGCGACTGGAGAAAGTTTTGCATGTTGCCAATAAGCAAAGCAAAAAGTAGAAGACCAAGTCCTATGATGGCCATTGTGAAAAGAACTTCCCAGATAAAATAGCTCGGAATCTGATTCCCAGCCAGGGTACTTATTTGCTACCAAGGAAAAAAAAAAAAAAAACCCAATTACTTCAAGAATAAACACATTCATAAGACCCAGCTAACCAAATCTTATAACATCCAAGTGTTTCTTAAAATCTGCGCATAAGGACCAACTCAGGTATATCATGCCATAGCAATTATAACATGAAAGGACTCATACAAGTCTTTCCTTTCTTACTTCCTTCCACAATTATCGAACTTCCATTTTCAAGTTTCGTAAAAGAATGACAAATTTGATTGATATTTTCAAGAAAAGTGCTTCAGTCTTCCAGAATTGACAGAAAGAATAAGTAACTAAGCTAAGATTGAGGTAGACGCACAACTATACATCTTCTAGCAGTAAAAGAAGCTAAATTGAATACTAAAAGTCAATGAGAGAAAATTAAGCAATTATTGTTCACAATAGACACTTGAAAGTTAGGACCTTTCAAAAGGTGTCTGCTTATTTTATTTGATAAAAGTACTCTGTAAATTCTTCTATAAAGATGCAGAGAAAAAGAAAGAGCACTACGGTATATAGCAATTTCCATTCAGAAGCTCAAATGGATCCCTTATTATACCTATATTACTTGGGTAGCTCCGGATGGTTTAATTACACAAATAACTGATGCCACAAAAGCCCTTTCTTATCCAAAATAATCCAAGTCTCAAAAGAAGAAAATTAAGTAGAAGCAAGCAAAATACCTGGAATCCCCAGAATAGCGCATAGGTGTATCTTGTTATAACATTCCCTTTGGTGGTGAGGTTTACGGCTTGAGCATAGATCCCATAGTCGAAATTACCATCAATAAAACAAGCAGTGGCATTGACATTGTTCGGCCATTGTTGCCATTGTGGAAACGAAGAAAAATTTCTATCTCCATGGCCACAATCTATAAATTTATTGCACTCTGGAATACTTGAGCTCCTACAGGCATCTCGAAGACATTGATTCACCCTCTAAAAGAAAAGGTCTATCAGGCTACATTCAGAAACTGAATATTGATGGAGGGGAGTGCAAGCTTACTTAGAAGAGATCAAATATAGAGAAACATGGTAACAGGTTCCACATGGGAGACAAGCAAAACACAAAGGAAAAGGGACATCAGACTCATGCAAATTAAAATCACGCGTGTAAATCTGAAACCTGAAACTAAGGGGAAAAAAAAAAAAGCAGTTTCCTGGCTGCTTTCATTTTCCCAAGTTACTTCTACGTTATCTTTCACCTTTATTTATTAACAAATTTCTGTGAAGCCTCGGCTGTTTTCACCTTAATGACCAATATATCAGACCTCCTGACATGGACACTTAAACTTGCATCTTCTGCTGACTTTTAAGGGGGGGAGAGGGGCACCACTCACAAAAAAAGCATGCAAATTAATGATGAGTAGTATTTCAGTTGAGTTTGAATCTAAAATCATGGAATATTAAACCCCAAAATGAAACAAACGTGAAAGCATTCTGCATAAGCCATAGATTCAGTACAAAAAATTTAAAGATCAGAAGGTAGTACAATAAGCTGAAAGCCTCAGATCAAAGCATCGAGGTGCAATTATTAGCTTAAATTATTTCTTTCCTTGTTTTTTTTTGGTTAACACATTACTTCCGTTAAAATCAAGAGAACTTTTTTCTCCCACCAACCTGCAGGCCGAAGAGATACCAACATGATCCCACCACATGGCTTGATAGCACAAAAGTCAGAAGGTTTATGATAAAATTTGCCCATGCCGACTCGAATACCAAGCCAATTGGAGATTGACCAGCCAGCAAAGGCAGAAACCTGTATAGCCTTGGAATATACTGAGCCAGAATTGCCGCCCTTAAAAGATTCTTAGCATAATTTGCACCAGTTTGTCCAAGAGACCGTGGTAAGATCAGCAGTATAATGATCTACAAGAAGCAAACAATTATCACTACATATTCTAGAAAGATTTTGCAGCTGAAGATAACTAACTAGGGTAATCGGTCTAAAGATTTTCCCTCAAAAAAAAAAAAGTCTAAAGATTTTCTCATAAAGAAAAGAAGAGAAGTCCAGCTGACTTTGATAGCTGAGATAAATCTGGCAAATGAGAAGTCCTGAAGTTACAGGGGCATCACTTCATTATGAATTGGTAATGACTGAAAATATACACAATATCCAATGAATGGAACTTGGCTGTCTCAAAATCCTCATATTCGATCATCAATAGTTTCTTATTGAGCACAAATTTTATCAAGTACATTGAAGTTAGAATTAAAGTCTTTTTCCAAGTGCAAATCAATCTGATGCTAAATTATCTTTCATTCCTAAATTTTAGTTGGAGGGGAGAAAATATATTGTGCTCTACATCTCTTTTAAACCAGATGGATAAAATTCATTTCTGAACCCTAGCAGGGAACTGATTACCTGAGGGGTGACACTAATTCATTTCAACTTCTACACAAGCCAGTAGTATGTGAGCTACAATCTTTTTCTATGGGAAAGGCCATCAAAGAGGAAAAATTGAACATATCAACATGATTGTATTGTAAAGAGGAGAGAGATTGTTTCTTACTTGAGGGAGTGGCAAAACAATAAACAAGTCGAGACAGAAGTATCCAGAAAGATAATGACGCGCAATCTTTTTCGGATTATCTACCAGATCACCAGCGCCCACTACTCTGGATTCAGAATCCACGTAAGCTAGCCTGAACTGCAAACAAAGTCTAGGACGTTTCTTAACTTGACACCAAATAAATTAACCAAATACCAACCAGAAGAAGTAAAAGATTATAAACACACTAGGGAAAAAATAATATTACACTTGTGTCAGTTAGAGATTTTCCATGTGTGCAAAACTTCACACAGATCAGTTTTGAGTTTAACATTATTAGTATCCTAGCATGAAAACAAAACCACAATAGTAGGAGACAGCATAAAGATAAATGCTACAGTCTAAAGTACACTGTAGCTTACAACAAAATCAAACGTCCTAGTCGTTCCTCTAAAAAACCCACAACATATCCATTTTCACCTGAAACAAAGAATGTCAGAGAGATGATTTTTCTTATGCCACCAAGAATTTGTTCTTCTTCAGTCATTCAGGTGAAAAAACCGTGACTTGTAATCGCATTGGACAATAAATGCCACATGCATTCGCATTTCCTGTCTCTCCATGGATTTGCAATCTCAAAGTTATATGAATGATAATGTATGAGCATACACAAGAGTTTACAAGTTAATTTCATGGGAGTATAGCTACCTGGAGAAGAATGTGTATGAAGTACACCAAATCGGCCAAGCTCCTCAAAACCACCAGTGTTTTTGTCATGGGCCAATTGAGAGAAATGCACTTATTGTCCTGGTTACAAATACAATTAGACATCAAGCAAATATCAGGACAACAGTTGCTTAGTTAATGAAAAGAAAGCATCAATTCAGAGAGTTAGCATCCCAGAAAACACCCCACCCCTCCCATGCTGAGAGCAAGTAAAAAACCATTTTATGAATATCTGATATTTTCACGAGAACGTCAAACTCAATTTCCATTCTTTTTGCAAGACGTATTGACCACGGAATTTCTCACCATCTCCAATAGGTGGAATATCTATTTCATCATAAGACCATCGTATTTCTTTATAAAATTACTCAGACAGTAATCTTCATATGAGGAATTAGGAAAAAAATAAGTATCTCATGGAAGATAAATAGACTCTCAAGTAGTAGAAAACTCGCCCAGAATGACACGTTTATTCTTAAGAAAAATGACAGCAGGTCTAGTGAATTCCAAAGTAGTAGAAAAGTTTATAATAAGTAAAGTCTTCACAAAAAAATATCAATCCAATTCATTAATCCGAACATAATAAGTACCTGCTGCACATAAAGCAAGAAGAAGAACAACGGATCCAGAAAAATTGCAAACAAGCAACAAATGACGAAGAACTGATTCCACTGTTGAACAAATTTGGTATGAGGATTCATGACGGGCGGAATATAAGGTTGAAGAAAAGAAGCAACTTTCTTCACCCAACCTTTAGCATCTCCATAAAGCATATAATGGAACTGTAAAAAAAGAAGATAAATAAGCTGCATGAGCACATTGAAAAACTTCATTGTAATACTTAAACATAGGAAAATAAGACGATCGATCCATCATTTCACAATATAAGGGAAATAAACAAACGAGTCCTTATCATAGCTGACTTCTGCATCTCCAGAAACCAGCGTTTTAGAAAGGAAAGAAAAAAAAGGCCACTACATAAAGATGGTTTACTATTACAAAACAGGAAAATCCATCCGCCCAATGACATGTTCATTCTGGGATAACAACTGCATCTGAAATTATTTTACTAGAAAAGAAGAATAAATCACTGGTATTCTGGAATATAAGGACTAGAACCAATATCAAAAGTGAACGGAATCAAAAGAATCATCTTCTTCACCTAAATAGTGGACAAAGAAAGAAATGAAAGTTCAGTAGAATTATAATACCTTTTGATCTGAAAAATCAGATGATTTAGACTTCTTATGATACCCTTTCACATGGTAATAGCTAGGGCATGTAGTGCAGTAAGGATCATTGCACATTCCTAGTGGCCCAGACTTGAGAAGATTGTCACTTTTCCCAGTATATCTGTTATCTGACCGAACAGTCCGGTCCATTCGGTTGAATGAAGGATATCGTTCTTCCTTAGTCTCAGAAGTTTTCTGCCCTGTGGCACCGTTTGCTTGCCAAGTGCTCATCTCTATAACTGCATTTAATTTTTCATTTCTCAGAGGACCGGTATGGCTTATAAAACCCTGTTCACTACCATAGTAGTCTAAAGAGTGCATGGGGATTGATATGGACGCACTTCTGGTCCTAGACGTCAACTTTTGAAATTGTGAGTCGTCTTGTTCATCACTTTGTAAGTCGGTGGAAGATAGCATTGGTGTCACATCCCTTTCAGATGCAGCCATCTTTTAAATATTTCTCCTGCAGAATATCAAGCAAAATTCAGTTATGGGGAAATGAACAAAAATTATCATTCTGCACCCGCACATCAGTCTAGAAAATTAATCAAAATTATTAATCAAAATGAAGTGCACACTGTGAAAGAGCAAGAAAGAGTAATTTAGAGAATCCATTAAACGTCTTGGAATCCCTGTGCTGGCAAATATTCAATAATCCAGCTTAATCATTTCAATCGAACAAAAACAAGGTTGAATTCTTCCTTCTAAGTACGATAGATATTGTGGAAACGACAATGTTGGTTTCAGGCTGCAAGTTTAAACTTTCAAGGTTATGCAGCTATCAAATTTTATAGTGATTAATGATCCCAATAGTGGCAATGCAAATTGCTCGATCTCATTTATCATTTTTAAATATATTTGACAACAACAATCATGATTTAGGTCACTAGAAGTACAATAAGCATCAAATTGTTCATGAAATCGGTCAAAATCATCCAATAGTGGATTCATAACATTCTTTCATCTGAAAGCCTCAGATATTGAGGGTTGTGGAAAACCTAAAAGAGTTTCTAAGGGTATGTCAATCACTAAGCTGAACGAGTGCTAAAAATTACAATCATGGTCAAATATGGATAAATTAGTGGCAGCTGAATGAAGTCACCTGACTACATTCAAAGCCCACAAACTATATTACTCTGCATCAACGTTGACTAAGAACTCTCTCATAAGGTAAATTACATAACCATTTCAAATCAATAAATCATTTTCAATGAAAATCATAGAAATAGTTTTAAAGAATTCCCATTTGAGGAGAGGAAAAAAAGTAAAATATGAGAATCCCATTAAATCAACAGACTTCCACGACTAACATCACACCATTTACCATTCAATATCTCACAGAAGGCTCTGCACATTACACACAGTTTGACTAAGTTTCGAATTATAGTCCAAACAGAACAAATGTGTAAAGTGACAACAGAAATCAATTCAGTTCAATTCAACGACCAAAAAGAGGCGAAAAAAAAACAAACAAACAAACAAACAATCAACCGGCCTTTTTCGAGATACACAAACTTTAATCAAGAAGGAATAAAGGATTGGAAAAAAAAAAAAAAAAGTTAAAAGAACCAACCTGTAAAGGTGCTTTTTTATTCAGAGTGATGACTGAGTCGACAAACTCAACCGACGGCAAACCACCATTCCAAATTGAAGAATTCAAGTTCAGAGGAAAAGTTTCTGAAGAATTGAGGAAATGTATAAATGGCTGATGACTGAAAAGTCTTCTTCAGGCATGAACTCGGGGAGAGTGTTGTTTTCTTTTTAGCAGCCTTTGAGGTTTTAAAGAAGTTTCGGAGAACAAGTTGACGTTGTTGAGCTACTACTGTTTATATTCATTCATATACTCCTACTTGTGAATTTATTTTTTTGAAAAAAAAAATATATATGATAAAATTAATAAATTTGAGTTTGACGAAGACGAAGAAAAACGTTGACTTATAGTAATTGTACCACTTTTAAAAATTAATGTTTATCACTTATGGAACGACATTCTAGATTGACCGAGTCTTTGATGTTTTTCTTCTTTTGATTTCTTATATATTGTTGACCTTTGGCACATTTTGATTTTTTTTTAAGTATTTTCATTTTCTTTTAAATACTATCACTAATCCAAATTTAATTGCATGTTTATTTAATCAAAAATTTGTGGTAATAACTACCATGAATCGAGTCAGACAATTAGGACTTGTTTGGCTAACATTTTGTTTTAGTTTTTGTTTTAGTTTTTTATTTGGATTTGATATGTGATTTAAAATGTGATTTCAGATAAAATTTAAAAAATTATTTGGATAATATTTTATATAAAATATTAATATTTTTATACCGCCACCGGACCACCTCCGCCACCGACGCTGCCGCCGGACCGCCCACCACTGCCGTCACCGCCGCTTGTAAGGGGCGGTTTGGCTGTGGCGGGTGGTGGTGGAGGTGGTCCGGTGGTGGTGGACGAAAATTATGTAAAAATAATTTTTGGAATATCTTTTAAAAGGTAAATTAAAAATTTGTTTAGATAGTATTGAGATTTGTGTTTGAGAGGTATTTTTAAGAGGTAAAATGAGACAAAAATGTCAAATAAATATTGGACAAACAAGACCTTAATTTTATATCAAAACTATTGAATCTAACGATTGTGGATATCTTAATATTAAAATTCAATTATTATCAAATTGAACTAAAAAGTAAAAATTATGTACAAGCTTGAGACAGAATAAGTATGCGATTTTACTTTAAGTAAAACGAGTCATAAATCTCAATATTGCTAAGACAGAATAATAACTTACATATTTTTCGATTAAAACTATCACTATTTGGAGATTGCATCGTGCGATAAAGGATTAGTTTCCCTTTTCCAAATGAAAATTTTTATATTAAGTAAAATAAACGAAAATGCTTAAAACTCTTACCCATCTGTTATTTCTCTCCATCAAATATAGTAGTAATCATGTTTCTACCGTAATATCATACATTATAAATTAAATAATGTCATTTTGTTTTGTTTTTCAATTATTAATTGTTGTTTATACATTTTGGAAGCCACCCAAGTAATAACAAAAATTGCCACTCCTTATAAATAAAATACAAAAGAAAATTCCATTACAAAATATGAAAGCAAGTGTGATCCAGCGCATAACTACGAACTTGGTTACGTATTCCTCTAATTTACTAGTTGTGGGCCCGTGCGTTGCCCGGATTGTGGAAATATTTCGGCATAATTAATGCTGGAAAAAATTTAATAAAAAAGTGAATCATAAAAACACGGCACATATATCTTTAAAATTTTAGAAAAAAAAAAATTTCAAACAGTAAATAAATACAGAAATCTGTAATGGCCAGACATTTTTTCTTTATTACGATTAAATGTGGTAACACATATGTAATATGTTAGAACATATAAAAGGGCACAACATCTTTATTATGATGTATGGTTTCGTTTATACATCGCTTAGCAACACAGTCATCTCATCAATCTACAACACAAAGTTATTGCAGAAAAAAAAAAAAAAGGATGAACTACCTGAAGTGACTAATTCATCTTTCAAACGGGATGGAAATTGACTTTGCTTATGTACCAAACTGCTGTCATTGCCTCTAATTTAGGTTATTTATAGTACATAAGATAACTATGGTCGTAGGGTTTAACATGTTATGGGATATTTTTGGTAAATATTTATATGAGTAATTATATGATTTTGTGGATAGGTTAAAACTTTAGGCTTTACTTATAGAATTTGGAGCAATTAATTAACATATTTGGGGAGTTTGTGAATATGGACGGAATATTATTCTGGTTAATTTACCCATAATTTTTAAAATAAATTTCATTTATTAATTTTCGGATGTGGGAGGGAATTAGGGTGATCAATTTAAATCTCATTATTTTCGAATTTTAAAATCATATCATGATGTGCCATAAATTTAGAAGTCATATTTGGAAATGATATTTATTGTGTCTTTTTGAAAATTCTGAAAGCGTTTAGAAACGTTTCAAAATCACGAATGATGTGCCATGCGTCCGGACCATGTTCAATGTTAACTAATTATTATGTTTTTGATTTACCTTGGTTAATGAAATATATATGAATAAATAAGTTAAATTAAATAGTTATCAATTATTTTTTACTATATCTAATTAGGCTTGATTTGTATGATTGTTTGATTGAACATCTCATTATGTGACACATGTCCGAAAAGCTTATTCTCTTAATATATAGGTTTTATAAACCACAATTTCAGATAATTCAATTCTAATTTATCAATGCAATGTTGAGATTTGTCTGGTTCTGATAATAATTATATGTGTGCCTACCAAACTAAAAAAGATAGACAAAAACCTACTAATTTATAGATTATGTGAATCTTTCTCAGTATGAAAATAATTTAGGAGACTAATTAATGATTAATTCGGTAATGACAATGATTAGCTACCAAACACAAGATTCTAGACAATGCATGTGATTTTTTTCGCATTAAAATGGAAATTTGTTTTATTTTTCACTAATTAAGTTACTAAGTAACAATACAGGCTAAATAATAAATTGGCCAACTTGTTATGGAGGAAGCAAAATTCGGAAACCATCCAAAAGAATAAATAAAAAAATTTAAAAAAATTTGCGTGACCCCGTGTCTAACATTGAAATCTTCTCATTTGGCGCGCTGGTTTGGTACTTATACATCCCCGTTAATTTGGATATTTCAATGTGGTTGATCCGTCTTGAGTTCGGTACTTTGCGGGTTAAAATTACTTCTCAACTCTATTTAATTTGAATTCAAATTAATAAATACAATGGTTTTAAACACCAGAAGGGTAATAAGACAACAAAAATTTGCTTATGAATTAAACTATTATATTTTATGTTCCAACAAACAATCTACTACTCCCTGCATTTATATATATATATATATATATATATTTCTAGAAAAATCATCAAAATCAATAAAATATTTATTAATGTAATTAAAACACAAAAATATCCTCATTTATTATCTACACAATTCATCACAAACCAATAGAAATTCATTATAAATATGGTTTCATTTCCAATACAAGGGTAATACTGGTAAAAAGTTGTCAAATGTATCTTGATTTGTGAAAACGACATATATTTTAAAAAAAATTCATCAAATCCTAAAACGACATATATTTCAAAATGGAGGGAGTAGTTAACATTGAAATTTGTAAAATGTGGAATATTGTTTTATCCAGACACTATGCACATCGAAAGAACTACACAAAAGAAATTGTCGCATCATCGGCTAATTTCATCGACTTCAGTTGTTTTTGGAATATGACGAGTACTCTGGAAGGTAAACAACCAGATTAGGGTAAAGGTGCCTATGATTTTGAGTCAAGAGAAGTCATTTCAATGTCTATATTGGATTGGTTCTAAGGTTTTGAGATATTTCTGTCCTATCTTTTGAGAAGTCACTTCCTCAATACCCTATATGACTTAGACTATACCTCATTTTGTTGGGATGCCTGGTTAATAAGAATGCCATAGGTTAGTGGATCCAACTAATGTAGTAAAATCATGGGTAACTAGTCCACTCACAAAGTGTCACAGTATAATTTGTTAGAATTTTATCTCATCCATTGTAACAAAAAAAAAAAAAAGAATAATGGGCAAATGAACTATAAAAGAAACATTACATCGACCACAACAAAAAAATAAATTGGGACTACTCAAATAATTTTGCTACTAAGTAAGTTTAGCAGTTTTTTAATTATTTTTTATTTATCGTTCTCTATTAGGTGGAAACCAATGGCTTGAATTTACATAATATCCCCGTGAGATTGGAATATAGCATTATGGCTATCTAGTTCTTTCAAATTTTTCAATGGAGCAGTAACCAGAATATGAAACCCGGCTGAACACAATAAAATAAATTTTGTTAGACTGGCGTACCTAATAATTACAATCCAGTCACAGTAATACCACAATTACCCTTATAAAACATATTACAGTCTAGTCCAATCAGAAAATCAACAGCCTTCAAAAAATATACATCTAGTACACTTCTAATGCTTCTAATCCTAATTTATTGAGGCCATGGAATATTCCCAACAGTTCTGAATTCTTTTTTTACATACTCAGGAAGCCAAAAAGGCTTAGGGTATGTTTGGAAGGTTTTTTGAGTGTGTTTTTTTGTATTGGGAATATAAAAAGGTGTATTGGAAATGTAAAAAGGTGCATTGGGAATATAAAAAGGTATGCTGAAATGAGATAGATATTAATTAAAAATTCTGAAAAAATGAGTGAAAAAAGGAACCAAACATAGCCTAGTTACAAATCGTCCTACACCAATAAAGATGAGTTCAAGATGTCCATAAGACTACAACAGATCATCAAAATCCCTATCCAAACTAAATAGAATTGAAGAAATAAAATCCACCGATTAGAGCAGTAACTAGCAAAAGGCTGCATACTTGGTTCCTAAAATCATGATGATGGCCAGTGGAGATCTATGCTTATAGATGATTTCTGATTCTGCATACAGTTCTGAATTCTGATTCTAGTGCAAAACAGAATCCAAGATTCGCACTTAAATTAAAAAGATTAGAGTGGTCTCTCTGTGGCCTAGACCAACAAGAAACATGGCCCGTTAGTAAAAAGAATGGGCTTCATCCTTAAAAGATGTTTCTCACTGTGGATGCATGACCGTTGATAAAACGGAACAAAAAAGGGCCACCAAACAAGCTTGTGCCGAAAAACCCATACAAAAAATGGGCGAAAAAAGGAAACAAACAAGACCATACATTCAGCCCAACCTAACCAAGGAAGTGCTTCTCAAATAGAGGGCTATTATTGTAATTTCGTAGATATATCCCCCCTACAGAATAACGTAAAAGCGGAAAATATATTAAAAAAAAAAGAAAAAAGAAAAGAAGAGTGTGAGTGCGTGCCAAGTCGGCATCTACTAGGGCATCGAATGAGAAACATCCGCGGCTGCTTTTATAGGCTACGCAATACGCACCGTCCGATCTTTTAATCCAACGGCCCAACGAAAACCCTAGCTCAAGAACCCTTCTCTAAACCATTTATAAACCGCGCATCGCCTCGCTGCTCCTTCCATTCTCTCGCTCTTTTGGTTGCTGTCACTCACCAGAAAACCTCTCTCCTGTTGAAGAATTCTTTCGAGCGAGAATCCGTTTCTTAAGGTCATTCTCCTTCCTTCTTGCTTTGTATTCGTAGCTGTTTAATACATCTTGCATGCTCGATTCGATTCATGTTGTGTTTCGTTTTGTGTTTTGTTTATAGATCAATAATTTGCTTTGAGGAGATGTGTTTTTGCTGTTTAGTTTATGGTTTTTGATTGTCGTTTGGGTTGAATATCGTCTGGATTCATGTAGTTTGTAAATATTATCGTTGATTTGGTTTTATTTTTGTATTCTTGATGTTTGAATCTGTCTGTGATCCGAGAATTACCGTATGCTCCCTGTTTCGCTGGTGTTATCGGTTGGTATTGAAATTTATCTTGTTTTCTTCTGGATTAGAGCAGTTCAGATGTTAATCGTTTTAGATCTATGTATATGGATACTCGTTCATGCATATATATAGATTTATCTTGTCTGAATCAACTGGATTAGATGCACCCTTGGTTCTTTTGATGCTGTATTAGATTAGAAGTTTCATAAAATTGTGTTCGATTCTTCTTTGTGAACTATTATGTGACTGATATACCCTGTGGTCTTTATTAATCGTATGAGAGATTGATGGGTTACTGTTTTGGCGGATCTTATTAGAAATTATTTGTTTATATTGTTGATGTGTTTCATATGCTGTGTTGTTTCTGTTTCCCTGGGTCCTGTTTGTTGTAATTTCATCTGAATGTGTTTTTGTTTTTTGTTTTGGGACAATTGCAGTCAGGATGGGTAAAGAGAAAACTCATATCAACATTGTGGTCATTGGACATGTCGACTCTGGAAAGTCCACCACCACTGGACACCTGATCTACAAGTTGGGTGGAATTGACAAGCGTGTGATTGAGAGATTCGAGAAGGAAGCTGCTGAAATGAACAAGAGGTCTTTCAAGTATGCCTGGGTGCTTGACAAACTTAAGGCAGAACGTGAGCGTGGTATTACCATCGATATTGCCCTGTGGAAGTTTGAGACCACCAAGTATTACTGCACAGTTATTGATGCCCCTGGACATCGTGACTTCATCAAGAACATGATTACTGGTACCTCACAGGCTGACTGTGCTGTTCTCATTATTGACTCCACCACTGGTGGGTTTGAAGCTGGTATTTCCAAGGATGGTCAGACCCGTGAGCACGCTCTTCTTGCATTCACCCTTGGAGTGAAGCAAATGATCTGCTGTTGTAACAAGGTAGCCTATTTAAACTTGATTTGATGTTTTCCCCCCACTGTTTGCTATATTCTGGTTGCAGTTCCATTTGGCATTTTAACTCATGATTGTTGTTTGAATGTTTGTTTCTTAGATGGATGCCACCACTCCCAAGTACTCAAAGGCAAGGTACGATGAAATTGTGAAGGAAGTGTCATCATACCTCAAGAAGGTCGGTTACAACCCCGACAAAATCAACTTTGTTCCCATCTCTGGTTTTGAGGGAGACAACATGATTGAGAGGTCCACCAACCTTGACTGGTACAAGGGACCAACCCTGCTTGAGGCTCTTGACCAGATCCAGGAGCCTAAGAGGCCATCAGACAAGCCACTCCGTCTCCCACTTCAGGATGTGTACAAGATTGGTGGTATTGGAACTGTACCCGTGGGTCGTGTTGAAACTGGTGTTCTGAAGCCTGGTATGGTTGTCACTTTTGGACCAACTGGTTTGACAACTGAAGTTAAGTCTGTTGAGATGCACCACGAGGCTCTTCAGGAAGCTCTTCCAGGAGACAATGTTGGGTTCAACGTTAAGAATGTTGCTGTGAAGGATCTCAAGCGTGGCTTTGTTGCATCAAACTCCAAGGATGATCCTGCCAAGGGAGCCTCAAGCTTTACCTCCCAGGTCATTATCATGAACCACCCTGGACAGATTGGAAATGGATATGCCCCAGTCCTGGATTGCCACACATCCCACATTGCCGTGAAGTTTGCTGAGATCTTGACCAAGATTGATAGGCGATCTGGTAAGGAACTTGAGAAGGAGCCCAAGTTCTTGAAGAATGGTGATGCTGGAATGGTTAAGATGATTCCCACCAAGCCCATGGTTGTTGAGACTTTCTCTGAGTACCCACCCCTTGGACGTTTTGCTGTGAGGGACATGCGTCAAACTGTTGCTGTTGGAGTCATTAAGAGTGTTGACAAGAAGGACCCAACTGGTGCCAAGGTGACCAAGGCAGCAGTCAAGAAGGGAGCCAAGTGAAATGTCTTTATAATGATGATTCTGTTGAGACTAGTTTCTTTTATTTGTCTAAGTACTTTTAATTTTTGTTGTGGACAACCTAGCAGTTTTGGGTATTTTGATAGAGTGATTTTCATCAAGGTTCTCTAGCCTCACTTGTGAGGATAGTGGAGAAATTGAGCAATCTGGGTTTTAACTTGGTTTGCTTGGTGACATTGGTGGAAGTCATCTCTGTCATCATCTCTTTATGTTTTGGTTTTTTATAGGATCAAACATATGATGATGAGTTTTAGTGTTCTCGGTTAAACAAGTTTATGAGACCTATGTTTTTGCGTATGCCGTTCTTGGAATCTTTCTGCATTTTTTGCATGCTGCTCTAGTTGTGATATATAACTTGCAGGTATTGGGTGACAGGTTATCTTGAATGTCTTGACTTTGTGTGAATCCCCGAACTACCGCATTGGGTGCTTTTTGTTTAATGTGCATTTCTTTATCGTTACTGTCTTGATGGCATCTTTGCAATAATACGTCATTCTGTGCTACAAGAGGCAAACATTTACAGTTTTCTTCTTGCTAGTGGAGATTAACTAATTCTTTCAATTGTACTCTTGTTGCATTAGTGTTGTATGTTTATCTTGCCTTGAAAATGTATTTAAGAAAAGGCATCATTCTCAAAACTAGACAATAAAATAGTTCCTTTGGGCCTTTGGCTAACCATATATCCTCTGCTACGATTCTTATTTGTTCATAATGGGATAGAAAGATAATCAGCCGGAACATAGGAAACGGAGAAAAGGAGATAGTCTAAATTGATTTCACAAGCAGGTATCTTTCTTGAATACATACAGTCAGGCAGCAGGACGAGCCTTGGTTATGGCTAATTAGCGGATTTGACAAAATATGCACGAGAAATGGAGTTCTTATTCGCATTACAAGTGCGTGTGATTAGAAAGTAGAAACAACTAACCACTGATGGGATGGCTACAGTTTTATGCGGCTAGGGAGAATGCAGAAGCAGAACCTCGTGTTTGGACCATCTTCCTTGAGCCACAGAAATAGCTTCCAAAGTCAGGTGTTTTACTTGGCTTTCTTTGGTCCAAATTCCAATCTTGCGGGGTCATTTTCTCTCATTCCACTTCTTCCTTCTCGTCATTTTTCCTTTTGGGTTTTCTTAGCTGACTTGTTTCTGTAGGATCCTTTCTCCTCGTCTTTTTCGCAAGGTAGACTAGGACCATCAAGACTGTCAACAAAGGACAGGACGTAAACATCCACAACGATGGATACAAGAAACCCATTGCTTGTTATCAGTATCGTAGTCGCACCATGTGATGAATTGATCGCCATTCACGACAAGTAGCTTCCCAATTCCACCATGCATAGGATATCCTATAAGCTTTGGGTGATGTATCCAACCTTCATTATTATTCAAAGCTCAATAGTTTCGTCCAAGACTCTTTTTACACCATATTTCTTCATCATCCACACATCACAAGTGTCTTTAGTAGCTTCCAAAGTACAGATTAGACAGCCTACTAAAACACCTAAGGCATGTACCCTGTAAGGAAGGTCACCAGGAGGCAGAGGAACGAGATGAATACTTGTCGGTTTTAAGGTCGAAGGCGGCTGCTATCGCTTTCGAACCATTGTCCAGCTGGCGCCTGCCTCTCTTGAGCCATGTAGAGCATTGTTAACCAATTTTCCAGGTTTATGAGTACTATAAGCCAACTCAATGAAACCCGGGAACTGATCATGACTAGGAACACTCTTCCAGGAGTTTGATTTTTAGGCCATAAACTTAATTTTTTTGATTGTTTTATAATCATTCTACTCAGTGTTTCCACCTTGTAATCACCAGAAGATTCAACAGAATCGAATCCCGCAAAGTCAGAGGAAATTGGATAGTACCCAGCAGAGACACCCAGCCAAACTGACCAGAATTGTTTGGTGAAAACAAACCACCAAACTGAGGCCGTCCAGCAAACCCTTTTCGTCCAATTGGATTTTGCAAAAGTTTCTTTTTTGTTTAGCCCTGCGGTGACGGCAAAAACACCATCAATGTGCCTTCTTGCATATACCGATACAGTATCAGTATGTGTATAAATACACAGACTGGATTCCATTGAAAAATTTTTGGCATCTGATCTCTATGAATCTTACTCTGTATTGATCACATTAATCAGAGAACCTATTTTAATATCATCTTCCACCTATTGTGTATTTGTCCCATTTGTTACTTTAAATATTAATTAAAAATACTGTATATAATAACTAAATCAGTCATTCCGGGACAAACAAATGTGTAATTATACTTGTAATTTTCTAAAAATTTTCAAGTATTGATAGAAAGCGTGTAAAATTTACCAGAATTTTCAAACATCAAGAACTAAACTTGATTGTCAAAAGTCAAAAAATGGTTTGAGTTGAACATTAGAATTGCTGTTTAACTCTTAAAGAAAACAAAATTATAAAGGCTTTGAGAAGACGGAATCTTGCAGTCTAGACAGAAAGACACCATCAAACAACAAGATTCGAGATGTATATGGACTGCCAGTTCATTTGTTTTTTGTTTTCAAAGAAGATAACAGAAATAAGTAAATAACGCAAGTTCAGGACAATTATAAAGATATAAAATGTCAAAAAAGAAGGAAAAAAAAAAGGAACTAAAGTACTGTATACCTTAATGGAGAAGGACCACCACTAATTAAGTGAGCTTCTCATCAGTTGATTCTAACATGCATTGCACTATCGTGCCAGCAAAGTAACCCCCACTGTGTGTTGAATATTTCAAAAAGATTTTTATTGTTACTAAGTTAATTAATAAAAATTTGTTGTAGAATTGACTTGATTCACCTTACTTTTTTTGGATAAAACCCAAAATGCTAAATCAAAGTGGAAGAATGAGTTTTGGTAGTCTGTTTCTAAAATCTGCGCATTAAAAGTCTTAATCTTATCAATGGAGAATCTTATTTTTGATATTTGGGGACAGCAACGGGATATTTTGGCATTATAAATAGATGCCAAATTTGAGTGAGAAAAAAAGGCACCAAATATTTTCTCTTTTCTCTGATCTTTCTTTCCTTCATTTTCTTTTTCCTTTCGGTCATTCAAGGCTTAAAACCCATTTTCTTCATTCAAGACCAAAAAGCTTTGGTTTTCTTTGTTTACTGATTTTGGCACATTAAATACAAAAGTCTTGAGTTGTTTTAGCACAATTTTTTTTGGTTTCTAAAATAAAGAGTTTTCTTTCTATTATTCTTTATTGCTGGATTAATATTTTTTACCTGTTCTTATTCCTTCTATCATTTAAGGAAGACTTGTTTAATCTTGGGGAGACATTTCAATACCATTGGAATAGTTTTTAAGGACAGTGCTTTTTAGTGCGACTCAAATATTATATTATTTAATTCTTTATTAGCATTTGGCCTACATTGTTCCTACAACCTTAAGAAACTATGAATTCGGGCCAAGCTAATGCTAAATGTTGATGGAATTATCAATGTATGCTACGCAATCTCTTGGTGTACCAGCTCTACCCTCGGTCCCTGCCGGCTTAACATATGCCAAACCTTTTCCTGATGTTTCGAAGATTGAAGTTTTTGCCAATGAAAATTTCAAACGTTGGCAAGAACGTGTCTTTTTCTTGCTCGACATCCATGGAGTTGCTTATGCTTTGACTGATGCTTAGCTCAACTCAACTGTTGATAGCAAGATTCAAGAATCGTGGGAACATGCCAATAAGGTATGTCGTCACACTATTTTGCAAACTCTTTCTAATGGCCTATTTGATGTGTACTGTAGCTACAAAGTAGCCAAAGCCATCTGGGACGCATTGATCAAAAAATTGACCGCTGAAGATGCTACGAAGCAAAAGTTTGTCGTTGGAAAATTTTACCAATGGCAGATGGTTGAAGAGAAGGAGATGAAGATTCAAGTCAACGAATATCAGAAGCTGCTCGAAGATTTGAAGGCTGAAGACATTGTGCTGCCTGAAAAGTTTGCTGCTGGAGTCCTGATCGAAAAACTTCCAGATTCGTGGAGTGAGTACAAGAACAACCTGAAGCACAAGTAGAAGACCTACACAGTCGAGGAATTGGTGACACACATCTTGATCGAAGATACTAACAGAAAGAAGTCAAAGACTGCCAAAGCTAAGGAGATGGCGCTCAAAGCAAACTTGGTGCAAAGCAACAATAAGTGGTACGATAACAAGTCAAAAAATTACAAGTCTAACAATCCCTCTTTTAAGAAGAATGTAATTGTTTTGTTTGTGGAAAGCCAAATCATCATGCTGCTGAGTATAGGCAGAGAAAGAGGAATAACGATTCCAAAGTGAATCCTCCTAAGGCTAATATAGTCGAAGGAGATGAAATAATTGCTGCCGTTATTTCTCAAGTGAACATTGCTGCTAATGTCAAAGAGTGGGTTGTAGACTCTGGGGCTACTCGGCACATTTGTGCAAATCGAGAAGCATTTTCCTCCCCTGCAAAGGTTTTTGGTAAAGGGAAGGTTGTCCTGAAGCTAACTTCAGGAAAAACTTTAGCTCTTAACAATGTGTTGCATGTTCCAAACATTAGAGCAAATTTGGTTTCTGCTGCCTTACTGGGGAAAGTTGGGATATGTCATTTGAATATGAAAAGATTGTTATGACCAAGAATAATGTGTTCGTAGGGAAAGGCTATTATAACCAAAGACTCTTTGTCCTCAACATTTTCAATGTGATCAATGAAAATGCATCTGGTTCTACTTATATTGTTGATTCTGTTTCTTTATGGCATGCTAGATTAAGACACAGTAATATTGGTTACATAAAAAAAATGCAATCACTTGGCTTAATTTCTGGTATTAATTTTATTAGTACGGATAAATGTGAAATATGTGTTGAAACTAAAATCACTAAGAAAACTTGTAGAAGTGTTATTCGAGAAACTGAATTATTGAGTCTAATTCATACAGACTTAGGGGATTTCAAACAAACTATGACTAGAGGAGGTAAAAGATATTATATCACTTTTATAGATGACTATTCTAGGTATACTAGACTTTATTTATTTCGAAGTAAAGATGATGCTTATAATGCATTTATACTTTATAAAACTGAAGTAGAAAATCAGCTTAATAAAAAAATAAAAAGAGTTAGGTCTGATAGAGGGGGTGAATATTTTGCCTTAAATGAACTTTGTGAAAAAGAAGGTATAATTCATGAAATAACGCCTCCTTATTCACTAGAATCAAATGGAGTAGCTGAAAGGAAAAATAGAACACTAAAAGAAATGATAAACTCTATGTTAGTAAGCTCTCAAGCGCCTGATAATTTATGGGGTGAGGCTATACTATCGGCATGTCACTTACAAAATAGAGTTCCCCATAAAAAGACAGGCAAAACACCTTATGAATTGTGGAAAGGTTATAAACCTAATTTAAAATATTTAAAAGTGTGTGGGGGGGGGGGGTGTCTTCCTAAAGTATTACTACCAAACCCTAAGAAAAGAAAAATTGGTAGTAGAATTTTTGATTGTATGCTTATTGGATATGCTGAACATAGTGCTGCATATAGATTTCTTGTTTTGAAAAGTGACGTGTTTGATTGTAATACTATTATCGAAACAAAGAATCTTTGAACATATTTATCCACTGTCAAATAAAAATTCTCATGCCCCTATTGAATGTGATAAAGAAATTCCCGTTGAGGAGGAATTTAGAAGGAGCAAAAGGCAAAGAAAACTCTTTTCTTTTGAAAACGATTTTCAAACTTTTCTAGTTGATAATGAACCTTCAAATTATAATGAAGCAATTAACTCTTCTGATGCAAAGTTTTGGAAAGAAGCTATTCAAAGTGAAATTAATTCCATTGTGAAAAATAAAACTTAGGTTTTGGTAGATTTACCACCTGGTGCAAAACCAATCGGTTGCAAATGGATTTTTAAAAGAAAATTTAATCCTGATGGATCTATTGATAAATATAAAGCTCGTCTAGTTGCAAAAGGTTTTTCAGAAAAACTAAATATTGATTATTTTGATATATTTGTGCATGTGACTAGAATTTCTTATATTCGAGTACTATTTGCTTTCGCTTCTATTCATAAACTTCTTATACATTAAATGGATGTAAAAATAGCATTTTTAAATGGTGACTTAGAAGAAGAAATTTATCTGGTTTAACCTGAAGGATGTGTTGTTTTTGTAAAAGAAAATAAAGTTTGTAAATTAATTAAATCTCTTTATGACCTTACACAAGCTCCAAAACAATGGCATGAGAAATTTGATCAAGTCTTGAGAGGAGATGGATTCTCTTCTGTTAAAGTGGATAAATGTGTATATACTAAAAACATCAATTGTGAATATGTGATTCTATACTTATATGTTGATGATATGCTTATATTTGGTACTAGTTTACATGTTATAGATAGTACTAAACATTTTCTATCATCTAATTTTGATATGAAAGACCTGGGTGAAGCAAAAATGATATTGGGTGTTAAAGTTATAAGGAGAAGCGATGGTATAATATTGTCATAAGAACATTATGTCGAGAGACTTCTTAAAAAGTTTGAAAACTTTGATGTGACACATGTGAGCACTCCTTATGATGCTAACACTCAGTTGAAAAAATATTGTGGTAACCCAGTTGCTCAGGCTAAATATGCTTAGATTATTGGGAGTCTGATACATTTGATGAATTTTACACGGCCTGATATAGCATATGCTGTGTGTAGACTGAGTAGATATACTCATAATCCCAATCATGAGCATTGGTGTGCAATTGTTAGACTAATGAAATACCTGAGAGGAACCATGAACTATGGTATCCTATATAGTGGATTTCCCACTGCATTAGAAGGGTATAGTGATGCTAACTGGATCTCTGATTCAGATGAGACAAAATCTACTAGTGGTTTTGTGTTCACCCTTGGTGGTGGTGCTATAGCATGGAAATCATCGAGACAAACGATTTATGCTAAATCAACTATGGAATCAGAGTTTGTAGCTCTTGAGCTAGCTGGTTTTGAGACTGATTGGCTGAGAAATCTCCTAGCGGGTATTCTTTTATATAAGGATACCATGTCTCCTGTCTCCATGCATTGTGAATGTGAAGCGGCAATTAATACTGCTCAAAAGAAATATTATAATAATAGAAATCGACACATGAAATTGAGACATGATGTCGTAAAATAGCTGTTGAAGGATGAAATTATTTCCATTAATTATGTGAAGTCAGAAATGAATTTGGCCGATCCTCTGACTAAACCTTTGGGAAGAAAATTAATTCTTCAAACCTCAAAGGAAATGGGACTTAGACCAACTGACTGTCAATAAATATGGTAACTCAACCTATGTGATTCGAGATACCATGAAATAGGTTCATATGGTAATAACAAGTCAATATTGACACTGAAGCACTTTTAGTTAAAACTCTATTATGATGGGTGCTTAAACTGCTATCTATTGTGAGGTTGAGTTAAACTCTTAATGAATTCATATCTCTTACGAGTAGTGTATCTAAAGCAGTGTACACTTGATGAATTCACCTATATGAGAGTGGAGTGGGACCGCTCCTATAAGACCTTATGGTCGGATCTTTAGAGCTCGCATGGCCTATTGGCGCAAAACCGCGTGAACATCAAAATATGGGTTCGCATTGTGGTTTATAAAACCTCTGTCCTACAAATGGAATTCTGGGTTCGTAAAAATTTTAATTTCACCAATTGTTCTGTAAGTCATATTATATTAATCTAAATTTGGTTCATAGTCCAAAAAATACCAGACTGATTGCACTGCACCCAAACATATCCAACAAATTTTTGTATGTTTTATTCTTGTAGTTTTAAAATCTTTTGAAATATGTGTGGGATTGTTGAATATTTCAAAAAGATTTTTTTTGTTACTAAGTTAATTAGTAAAAATGTATTGTAGAATTGACTTGATTCATCTCACGTTTTTGAATAAAACTCCAAAAGCCAAGTCAAAGTGGAAGAATGAGTCTTGTTAGTCTATTCCTAAAATCTGCCCGCTAAAAGTCTTAAACTTATCAAATGGAGAATCTTATTTATGATATTTTGGGGGCAACAACGGGATATTTTGACACTATATATAGATGCCAAATTTGAGTGAGACAAAAACGCACTAAACATTTTCTCTTTTCTCTGATCTTTCTTTCCCTCATTTTCTTTTTCCTTTCGGTCATTCAAGGCTTAAAGCCCATTTTCTTCATTCAACTCCAAAAAGCTTTGGTTTTCTTTGTTTACTGATTTCGGCACATTAAATACAAAAGCCTTGAGTTGTTTTAGCACAATTTTCTTTGCTTCTTAAAATAAAAAGTTTTCTTTCTATCCCTTTTACCCTATTAAAGCAGAACATAGGATGTTGATGTGGTAACTTCTTATTAAAAATTTTTGGCTCCAAATGCACCATATTGCATTAATCATTCTGCCACGTGTCATCCCTTTTTAAAAGAAAACAAAAATTCTCATCCGGAGAAACAAAAGCTATTTTACAAAAATAGCTACACAATTTTAACTCCTAACACTTATCATTTATCAATCAAAATAAAATAGCATTTAAAATTTTCCCATAAACTTATCCCCTTTATTACTCCACATTCTTTTGTGTATTTCTGCATTGTTGTATTTTTCAACATTTTTTTCTCGTTTAGTAGATGATTTTTTTATTTTTATTTTTATTTTGGGCTAAAAAGGGGAAAAAAAAAACCAAATGTGTAGCTATCTTATTTTTTCCAAATCAAGAATTCATTTATCTATTAACACAAAATTAAAATAGAGAGGCACTCGGCCAAGCATCTAGTTATTCTTTATTGCTGGATTAATATTTTTTAGCTGTTTTTATTCCCTCTATCATTTTGAGGCCAAATTTCTTCCTCGTAGTTATTAAATTTGAGTCCAATTTGGTTTTTTCTTGTCAAGATTCTTATTCCTTAATTAATCACAGTAGAAAACCTGCTAATGTATCTGCGGCGGGTGGCTGCTAATGTTTAATTGCAGAAAAGGTTAAAGATAGTAGGCACCGTTATTTTGCACAAAAATAGTTATTTAGATTCATCCTTGACTGGATTACTAAGAACTACCCCACCTCGTGCGGTGCAATTAAACATTAATCCGTTGGTGGGCAATTAAACATTAATCCTTGCCCTGACTAATCCGTTGGTCGACCCGGATCTCACACCTGACTGTGGTGGACGAGTCTCCCAACAAGAGTTTTTTGCATCCACAAGGATTCGAACCCGAGACCTTACTTAAGCGGCATTAAGCGCTTACCACTTGTGCACCACTTTCTAGTATTGTTTAATGGCAAGTGTGAAAAATTTGACTTGGCTAATGGCATCCAAGCGGCCTAAAAAAATCAGCTACATTTCTCCAGAGAATTTGCCTTTTTCTGCATTTTCCGAAGCTTTTTTTTCCCTTCTTTTTTGTTAGAGTGAGAAGAAGAGAGTGAGGAAACATATCACAAGAAAAAAGAAAAAAAATGGCTGAGAGTTCCATGGTTATTGATTCAGTTGAGGAAAATCTGGGTGGGCCGGAGACCCAAATGGGTGTTCCTGAAGTTCTTCAGCTGGAACTGAGATTCCTGTTGAGGTTAATGCAACTCCAGAAATCATGTAAGGAGGCTGGTCAAGATGCTAACTTTCGGGGTGCAGGTGATTGGATTTTTGTTATGTTGAAAAAGGCTGGACTTTCTGAGGCAATGATATTAGACCATGCTAAGGTGAGAGGTTTTCTTCCTTTTGCTCCAATTTTGTTAAACAAATATGAACAGTTTGAGCCCAAGATTAAAGCGATGTGTGCTGTCTCGTTGGATTCATTACTGTCCATGCCTTTCTCGAGTGATGAGTTCCTGAGATTCTTCGATTGTCTTGTTGAGAGTTTCATGGATCTTGTAAACTTGAAAGCTTATACTGCTGGTTTCACTAAGAACCAAATCATGGTTAATAGGGGAAAGCTGAGTTTCCTTAGAACCCTTTTAGATTTCTCTGCAAAAAGATGCATTGACCCTCAGATACTGCAACAATTCTTGTCTTATGTAAGGGTTGTAGTGCACGATGCCGCTTTTTCGTTCCTTTCTTTGTTGCTTAAAGGAAAGGAGGCAGCAATGGCTCAAGGACTGGAAGCTATTTCTAATAATCTACTGCAGAGGTTGATGCCTTGCACTCTAGGGACTGTGAAGATGTTTGTTAGCCTCTTGAAAGCTTCAAAGTCATCAAGATTTTACAAGTTTCAAGTTCTTCAAGTTGTTGTCAGCCTTACTGATTTCATACTAGAAGCTGCTGTAGTCGATCCTTTGAAGGATCAAGTTGGCATCCTTAGGGAGGGTTTGATATTCATGTTAACTTTCGTCATGAGTCCACCGGAGGAAGCTGTAAATGGTGCTGGAGAGGCCCTTATCCTGGTAATCGATCATGTTATCGATGAGGTGCTGTCTCGAGTTCTCTCACTTGACATGACCAGATCAAAAGAGGATATTTCTAGCCTCCATGAAAAGATTCATGATGTGAAGGAAAAAGTTAGAATCCTTTATGCCCCGGTTTTGAGTTCATCAGGCTTCAGTTCTCCAATGACAGGTGGTATGCAATGGATCGATTTCTTCTTGGAGAATTTGAAGGAAATGGTGAAACGTAATCCTGATAAACTAGCTTCTGTGGAGCACCAAATTGTGATCATCCTTGATGAGCTTCTTGTGCTCAAACCTTTTCTCAAAGGTATCATAGAGCTGCTAAAAGAAAGAGAGGACCTTAAAAACCTTTGGAAACAAATCAACAATTTACTGTTCTTGGCAGAACATGTCATCAGCTCATGTTTAATCGTAGAGCATCCTATCTGGTATGATATGTTACAGCTTTCCAATGTAAAGAACGCAATCAAGCTCATTGAAATTGTGGTGAAGAAGTACGATTGTCAAATGTCCGAGACTATCTCTAGTCACATCCCAACTAGGCAGGTAAATACTTCAAACTTTGAAAATGCTGTGGTGGGTTGTAAAGATGAAATAGCGACGATGATTGGGAAGCTTAGAACAGGAACAACACAACTTGATATTGTCTCTGTTGTAGGTATGCCCGGTCTAGGCAAGAGTACCATAGCTGAAAAAGTGTACAATGATCCATGTATCAAATATTACTTCCACATACGTGCATGGTGTTGTGTTCCACAAGTTCATGATCTTTCGCAAGTTTATGATCTTAGAGACTTGTACTTTGACATTTTGTATGATGTCACTGGTCGTGATGCTCGAGAATTCGAGTACTCTGATGATGGTTTCCGTGCAGAACTTAAGAAAAGATTGAAGGGACGAAAGTATCTCATTGTTTTGGATGACATGTGGAATATTGAGACATGGGATGGCTTGAAAGATTCATTTCCAGATGACAACAATGGAAGTAGAATTATAATTATTAGCCGAATCCCTGATTTGTTGCCAAAAATGAAGGAGGTTAATTGTAGTCCCATTCTTCTTTGGCCGCTTTCTGATGAGGAGAGTTGGGAGTTATTAAAATGGAAGCTAGCATGGACGCATAATTCCCCTCCTAATGATGAATTATCAATAATAGGTAAAAATATTGCCAAAAACTGTAGAGGATTACCTCTCTCTGTGGTTTTGGTTGCAGGCATATTGGCAGGCAAAAACATGGCATTCTGGAAGCAAATTGAAGAAACTACAAGTTCACTTGTTGTTGGTGAAGGGTGCATGGATGTGCTTGAACTAAGCTACAAGCATTTGCCCGACAATTTGAAACCATGTTTGCTTTATTTAGGAGCCATTTCAGAACACAGAGATGTTAGAGCCCAAAAGCTGATGAGTTTGTGGATTGCAGAAGGGCTAATACCGAGAGATGAAGGCAAAAAGAGCAAACACCAAGTGGCAGAGAGTTACTTGTCTGATCTAATCAGTCGAGGTTTAGTAACTGTTTCCAAGAGAAGTTCCAACGGTGGCATAAAGACATGTCGTATTCATAATCTTCTACGTGATCTATGCTTGATAAAAATTGAAGAATGCAACTTTCTCCAACGTTTGCATGACAATGATGTTTCTCATCCTTCATTTAATCCTACAAAGTACATGCATTATCGCCTGTGCCTTAGTGCTAAATGGATGAAGTTTCTCAATACTAAACCTACAGGTCCATTCGTGCATTCGCTGATTCTTGTTGGTGATGATGAAACAGCATATGAGCTTCAGTGTCCCCCAGCTTTTTTTGATCATTTTAAGCATCTTAATGTGTTGGACTTGGAGCGCATAAATGTAACAGGTTCCTTTCCTAAAGAAGTGACATTGATGGTTCATTTGAGATACCTAGCGATTTTCTGCAGCAAAGCTGGAGAAATTCCATCATCCATTGTCAATCTGTGGAATTTGGAAACCATAATTGTCAAATGTTGGACATGGATTCAGTTGCCAAGAGCTTTTCTGCAGATGAAAAGCTTGAGGCATGTACATATTACTAAGCTGGTTTGTGGAAATCTCGAGGATCACGAGTATGGTCAATTAAATCACTTGGAGAGTTTGTCAACACTGATTATTGATTCGAGAGGTGCTGCAAAGGAGCTATTGAAAAGGTTGTCTGGGATTCGGAAGCTTAAGTATGAATACGACTACAGAGAATTCTGTATGAGTCCTTGTAAGTCTCCAGAACTGAGCCAGGATTGTCCTAAGTTTCTAAATGGCATTGCGAATCTTAAGTTTCCAGAACTGAGCCACGTGACTCATCTTGAATCATTGGCCGTGGAGAATATAGATTATTGTGCCACGAAATGGGATCAGATTCCATCTTTTGGCATCCCAAATAGTCTCAAAAAAATGACCCTGATTGGGTTGATGCTGCCATGGAATGTAACAGCAATCATCGGTCAGTTGCCTAAACTAGAAGTCCTCAAGTTAAGAGGACAAGCATTTTCCGGGAAAAAATGGGAAGGAAGAAGATGGGACGTGAAAGATGGTGAATTCTTGAGTCTCAAGTACTTACAACTTCGTGATTTGGATGTTAAAGAATGGACAGTCCAAGATGAACCGTTCCTAAGCCTGGAACGACTTATTGTATCCAACTTGCACCACCTTGTTGAGATTCCATCTGGGTTGGGATATATTAAAACCTTGAAGATGATCAAGATGGATAGTTGCTCAGATACCTCGAGAAGATCAGCCAGGGGAATCCTCAAGGAACAACAAGAAATTGGAAATGATGTCCTTGAAGTTTTTGTTGACGACGCCATTGATGAGGAAGAGTTTGAGAGGAGGATGTTGAAGCATGGGAAATCAAAGTTGCTGGACATGTGATTATTGTTTGATTTTGCTCCACAGGTTGGGTGCAGAAACTGATGTTGCAGTTTAAAAATTCCGCGCTTCCCTGATAGGAAATGTTTTCTTTTTGGAGTATCTGTGATGATTGTTTGTTTGAGCTGTGTTTGACTTGACAGATTAGTTTCTCTTTGTGTGTCAATTCCATTGCTTGTATGCACTAAATTTAACTTCCCAAAATCAGAGCCATGATGCTGAATGGCTTTTCTTCTCAAGTGTCAGATTTGATGTTGACTCAATTATACTGTTAAGGTTTCAATCCTTGTGCTAGTATACATCGTCAGGAACTAAATTTGTTTCTTAATTTTAGTGAATCATGCCAAAAAAAAAAAAAGAAGGAAAAACCCGAGGTGCATTGAGCAGACAGTTATATATGGTGTCCATCTTGATCACACTCCAAAAGTTTTTGTACGTTTTTCAGATAATGCCAAATGCAACAGTTGTAAGTTCCCTAAGTTTGGTGTACATTTGTGTCTTGGATGCAAGACATATTTGCAGTTTTGATTAGTCCCTATTGAGATAGAAAACAGCAGGTAAGAGAAAAAGAAGGATTTCATTGGATCAAATGTCACAGAATTAGTCCTAGTCACATAGAAAGTAAGTCTTGATCATCAGGTTCCTGTTAACTGCCTGCAATGCATAATGAAGTTAGCTGAAGAAGCCTGGTGCTTTTGGTTCTTTGTAATCTCACCGCTTTGTGTGTTTTATGGGAAAGCGATGATTACTTTATCCTATGTTGGTTGAAACTGCAGCGTTCTGCATCACATTATAGGCGAACACAATAACATGGATCGAAGTTTCACATGATTTGCCAGAGGAGTTCATAATCATACTGTTGCGAGTTCTTGTAGTGAAGTTGAATCTGAAACAGGATTGAAAACACAAACAAAAAGAAGTCTACTTCTACTTTTTAAGGTGGTAATACAGATTCAAAAGATTCACTGAGTAATCAAAAAATGCTGATTCTTTTACCATACAATTACGGCGAAATGTATCGGTATCACGAAAAACACATTGCAGCCGGCGCACAACATTCTTAAGTACCTTTGCTCCAGGTTCAGTATAAGTTAAGTTAATGGAATCAGGGCACTGATCCTGACTTGTTGCAACACTCTTCCAAGAATTCGATTTCCGGCTATAACAATAAACTTCTTGATCAGGTCTCTTGAATCCATTCCGTTTTAATACCACCACCTTGTAATCATCACAAGTTTCATCATACCCCGAAAACAAATTCAACATTAACAGTACCATTTGGTGGTGGTGGGGGCAATCTCCATACTTGTATATACTTGGATTCCATAACACAAGCTCACGGTGGGGTTTTCCCATAATTGTAAGCCACAAGGATCAACCCATTACAAGAACCTTTATATTGAATGCGGGATACATTAACAACATCAAGCATAGAATTCGCAAAAGGGTAATTGTTGATCTCCATTGATGTAGATCTTATTTTCTCAACAGAGTGGGATTCCACAACATCAAAGACGTCTGGAAAAATGATATTGTTGAGATAGTGCCCAAAGATTACCTTGATGGGTCTCTTTGGTGATGAAGAGTGCAATTTTACGAAATCTTCACTGTCAATTAGAGATCGCCATGATTTTGAAACGCACCTGAGCTTCAAAAGTGACTTTGCAGGAATCCCACAGCAACACCTCGGTTAAAAGCTCATCAGGAAACTCACTCTGCATCGATTTCTTTCTCCTGCAGATTTATTTCAAAACCCTTTTCAAGAAAAGATCTTAAGAAGACAAATTTGAACTGGAATTGATTGCTGATGAATACGATGAACACTGGCTTATGTGGTTCAAGGAATCCAAAAAAATCTGATTATCAGGGTTACAATGCAAATTAAATAGAAATGAGGGTATATTTTGTAGGAAGTAAAAAGTCAAGGGGGTTTATTTGTAATTAGTTCTTATAAAATCTGGGAGGCTACTAAACGCCCTAATTTTTTCATTTGAACGCCCTAAAAAATCTCAAAAAGACTATTTTACCCCTGAATTCATATTTTTTTTTTTTTAAAAAAGGGTGTAGCGATGGAGCATCGCGCCACCTTTCACTACTGGCGCGAAGAAATGCGCCACCCTTTAAAGGGTGGCGCACAATTTTCTCGCCTCCCAATTAAGGGAGGCGAGAGGAAGCTTTACCCCCAAAATGGGGGTGGCGCAAAAATCTGGCGCCACCCCCTTCGGTTTGGCGAGCGTTTTGCTCGCCAAACCGAATTTACTTTTTCTTTTCTTTTTTTAATTTATTTATTTAATTAATTATTTTATTTATTTATTTTTTTTAAGTTTATTTTTTATTTATCTATTTGGCAGTTAAAAAATATTAAAAAAATAAATAAAATTATTTTATATTTTTTTCAATCTTTTTAATTTTTCGTTTCAACGTATTTTAAATTTTATATTTTTTTTTCAAAAAAAATTCCCAGGACGGCTAGATGCACCGATGATGAATAATTAATTTGTTTGGTAGTAAATTCATAAATTTTAGTTTTTATTAAATAATAATTTTTTGTTTAAGTTTAAAAAATTTTACATAACTAAATGATAAATTTTTATAAAAATTTACTACATAATTAAGCAACATTCTCTAAATATTTAAGTTAAAATTATTTGTTTAACCACCAAACAAATAAATAAACTTTAATAAATAAATAAATTAAGAACATACATGAATTAAATAAATTCATTAAGCTAATAAATAAAAGAAATTAATTAAATACATTAAAAATAATTAAATTAAAGATAATTAAATAAATAAAATAAAAATAAAAAATTATAAAAAAAGTAATTAAGGTGGGTGGCGCACAAAATGGCGCCACCCACCTTTGGTTGGCGAGCAAAAAGCTCGCCAACCAGCACCAATGTGGCGCCCAGAAGGGCGCCACACCTTCGCCGCATGGCGAAGGTTTTCTCGCCACCCCTTAAAGGGGTGGCTCATTTCTCCCTCGCCAAACTTTTTTTTTTTGTAAATCAACTCTATTTTATAGGGGCATGTATGTCTTTTTTGGGCGTTCAAATGAAAAAATTAGGGCGCTCAACAGCACGACCCTATAAAATATCTGGGCACATCACGAACCCAGATTAGAATTTATAAACCGACCCAACATAGGTTGGCTTGTCGGTCAAGACAAACTATAAAAATTGAAACTATAAATTAAAATTGGTTCGAGAAGGAAATCGGAACTTTGAGAATTAATTCAGAAGAAAGAGGAAGAACCCAGAAACAGCAGATTTTCAGGAGAAAACCCAATTCCAGCTTTTGCTGAAGATTTTCAGAAGATTTTTTCTATGGTAATTTTTGCAAACTATGTTTTCTGATGATTAGTTCAATCTTGTGTTTGTGCTGAGATTTTTCGATTTTCTGCTCTGTTTCTTTTGCCCATTTACTTACTTTTGAATCCTAGATGTTTGATGAGGTTGTGCTGAAAACTGTGTGCTTCATCTTTAAAATCCGCCGATTTTTCATTAAAATTGGATTCTTAAATCATAGGCGTCTAGTTTCTGTTTCTGGGTCGTGTTTAATTACTTTTCTGGAACCAGTTTTCTTTTAGGTGTGAAGGCTAGGTTTTTTTTTTTTTTTTTTTCCTCTTTCATCTGGAAGCTTTAAATAGTTAAATTTCTGGGATTTTGTAGTCTAATTCGTGTTTATTCATGGTTCTGACACTCTGTAATAAATCCCCATGGATACTTAATTTCTTGGTTTGCTGTTGTGGGTTTAGGAACCTGTGACTGTGGGAGTTGCTGTTGGGGCTGCTGCCTTGGGAGCCAGACAGTTGATTAAATTTTGGCAAGTATTTAGATCTGCACCCAGGATTCGCAGGTTTTATCCTGGTGGATTTCAACCCACCATGACTAGAAGAGAAGCTTCCCTGATTCTTGGGGTCAGGTAAAATCTTCTACCCGCATTCATTCCTGATGTTTCGATTAAGTCAGTGTTCATTATAATATAAAAAAAAAACAAACAAACTTGCATTCGACATGGAAAAAAATAGCAGCTTTGTAATGTAGTTTGTGTATTGAACAAAGATAATTGATATTTCATCTCAATTTGTTAAGTACTACTCCCTCTGTCCCAAAATTATTGTCCAGTTTGAGTATAATTTGAACTAAATGGAAATCCAAACTGGACAATAATTTCGGGGCAAAGGGAGTAGTTAATTAAATCCATTAAGCAGCAGGGGTATAATTTGGACTGCTGGTTGGAGTTGATGACTGATTTGATGTCACTTCTCTGAGGTTGAATTGTGGTTTTTTGTTTTCAGGGAGAAGGCACCATTTGATAAGGTGAGAGAGGCTCATAGGAGAGTTATGGTGGCAAATCATCCTGATGCAGGTGGTAGCCATTATCTAGCTTCAAAGATCAATGAGGCCAAGGAACTCATGCTGGGAAGAAAACAAGGGTCTCATTCTGCGTTTTAGTTACTGATATCTAACATGGATTAATTGTTGTTATTCGCTCCTCCGAAAAGTTTTGATCTTCAACAGAAAGAAGTGCTGCGGCCTGATTGTGTAGGCGTGTGCATATACTTTTCAGGCCTGATGATGTATGAAAACTGATGATATTTCCATATACTGCAGCTTAGAGTTCCTTGGAAATATTCATTTGTATACTAATGTTGTATGAATGAACTTCTCATTGCTGCATCTTTGCTGTCTCTTTGTTCTCAAATGATTTTTTTTTCCCCTGGCATTTGTGATTGAGAAGTTTTCATTTTTATTCAAGTAAAACTTTTCATCTTTGTTCTTGTAAATTGAGAAGTTTTAGTGCGTTGGAGCATTACATTTTGATGCCATAAAACTTGCTGTTAGAATTACAAGGAAAAGCAGTCTTCTTCCTCTGGCAAATTGGCCACGAATTCATACGCAAAATTAACTCTAGAGGAGCATGACTTCATTAATTCCGTTCAAATACCCAACCCAAATGTTAGTTATTGTATCACGATTCTAAATCAACAAGCACTTACAATTGTAGCCCTGGATTTCATCTTAAATTATTTTGTTTTATATTATTGTTTTTGGTGTAAATAAACTCTTATGTAAACATTTTCCTCCTTTTTTTCATCTTATGGACACTTAAAAGAATCTAATAATAATACAGATGCATCGGGACAAAGGCTCATAAGAAGAATATCTGGTAATGCGATTTAGTAAAATAATCAGCTCCGTCCAAAAAACCCAGTACGTCAGAAATTACATACATTTGATGAGAAGAAATCAGAAATGATTTGCCACAACAATTGGAGCCCAACTAAAACGTCCTTCATAAACACCATTCCGGCTCTGCCACGGATTCTATCTCACCCATTATTTTTTCCGGCCAATATCGTTTCTGCCCCTGTATCTTACCCTCTCAGTCGCAAGAAGAAACAATTGAAGCTTTACTGCGCACAATCAACGATGGAAACAGAGAAGAAAGCTGAAGACTCGGTCTTGAATTTTGGGTTTCTTACAAAGAAGCCGTATGTGCCTCCTTCATGGGCTACCCATCTCAGCCCCCTTCCTTCTCATGTTTACTCTCTTGGCCATGTAAGCTACACTGGATTGCTGTTTTAAAAAATTCTTCGAATTGTTCAGTTTTGAGCTCTCTTTGAATGTGGGTTTGTCACTGATATTCGAGAAATTTTGATTCATATTCAGTTTCCTACTCCAATTCACAAATGGAATCTTCCCAATTTGCCGAAGAACACGGAAGTTTGGATAAAGGTATTATGTTGATTCTGTTCATTTCTTGCTTCTGAAATTATTTTGTGAATTTAATCATTGCTTTAATTGATTTGGAAATATAATGTTGTTGGGATGTGCTTGTGTGGAATTCGTTTTACCGATTTGGTTAATGTACCATGATTTTGACATTACCTTTGCGGCTTTGTCTCCTCTTGAGATGCCAATGACACATTTAGAACAGAACTCACTTTGGGAGGTATAGCGTGATCCACTGTGTCAACGATGATAAATTTTTACCCTCTGTTGTATTAACGCTAACATAAACCAGATGTGCATGCTGTTTATGCTAATCACATAAAACTAGTCCCAGTTAGGTAAGGTTCATGGTTCCGAAAAGTCTATTATGCAGATGGTTGTATCCTAGGCATTATGATTTTATCTGATTCTTTTTGTTGTACTTAAACCATAGTTTTTCTGCTGAAAAAATTTAAATTGGTGTCTTAAAGTAGCTTCTGTATTGGGAGATTTAGGAACACAAATCATAACCTTATGAGAATGGATATCTTAGTTAAGGCATATGTTGCTGATATCTTAGTTTAAGCGGGTCCATGTTTAATGGCTTTGTAGCTTTTCCATAGGCAATGTGGGAGACCAAATTCTTCGATCGGAGAATCTTGTAGACGTCAGAAAATTGATGACCCAATCCATTACAAAGAAACAAAAAAAAAAAAATAGAGAAGTTCCATAGGCTATGGGCTATTTCTTTAAACAGGCCAGTTGATACGTTTTCAATCTCTCGATTCATTTTCTGAAACCTGATGGGGAAAGTTTTGCCATTTTACAGCGTGATGATCTTTCAGGAATGCAATTAAGTGGCAACAAGGTTAGGAAACTTGAATTTTTGCTGGCGGATGCTGTGGCGCAGGGAGCAGATTGTGTTATAACTATAGGAGGCATCCAAAGTAATCACTGTCGAGCTACTGCTGTAGCTGCCAAGTACTTGAATCTTGATTGCTATCTGATACTACGAACTTCCAAGGTGAATAGCATACTCTGTCTGTCTGTCTGTCTGTCTGTCTCTCTCTCTCTCTCTCCCTCCCCCCTCCCCCTCCCATTTCCAAATTTTGGAATAACACCATTCTGGTGCTCTAGGTTTTCGTGGATAAAGATCCTGGCTTGACAGGAAATCTTCTGGTTGAGCGGTTAGTTGGAGCACACATTGATCTTGTTACAAAAGAAGAATATGCAAAAGTTGGGAGCATGGTATGTCACTCTTCACTTCTGTGCTAGGATACTGAATTTCATGGCACCACCCATGATGTATCTGCTATTTCAGGATAATGAGTTATGGAAAAATTGGAAAATGAGCACCCGATATGAGGATAGATTCTAGGAATTTTTTTATTCAAAAATCATGTTTAATTGTATTGAATATGATTTATGATGCTAGACCCAACATACTGTCCTCACGTTTAGATCTCATATTAACTTATATTTGTATTCAAGAAGTCTGCATGAACATTTATTTTTTCCAGAGAATAGTAGTGCGAAGTTTTCTTCAACCTAATTTAATCAGTTATGTATGTCCAAGTAATCGTCTTTTAGTACTTTTTGACCATGTTATTCTGGGCACCTTTATTCAAGTTCTGGTGGCTATGAGTATATTCAGCATTTTGAAGATTAAGATCAGTCACAGAATTAGCTGTTTATGCTTTTGCTTAAGAGCTGGTGAAATTCTGAACCATACGGTCATCACTTGCTTAACTGAATTTTGATAGTGTGTGGGATTTGCAATAAGATGCCAACAGCTTATTTGTTGCCAGTTCATTTTCACCACTCCTAAAACTTTATACCTTTTGTATAATTATGTTATCTTAATCCAGGCACTTGGTAATATTTTGAAAGAGAAGTTAGTAAGTGAGGGGCGAAAGCCATATGTCATCCCTGTTGGTGGATCCAATTCTTTGGGAACCTGGTAAGAACCATCCCAGACGCTAAATCTCAGTTTTATACACTGAAGACTTATTGTAAATCAATGAAGCAATGATGTTATGTGTTACCACTCTCATGCTCTTCTTAAACTGAGTTCAAATACATACTTGGTGTCTTAGGCACCTGCTATAAATTGTGATAGTTTATTCTTCTTCCTCCTAATAGTATCATTTGTGCACTTTCACTTACTATTTGCCTGTTATGATTGATATGTGTGGCTGCTAATAGTCTCTTTTCTAATCTGTTGCCATTTGTTGGGAAGTGAGTGGTAGCAGAGTCTGCACAGAATGTCTCTACGTGTTGTTTTTAGATTCTACTCATAAATCTAGGCAAGGTACTCATGTATGTGTTCTTGCAAATCTAATCATCTTGACTTTTCAGGGGCTATGTTGAAGCTATAAGGGAGATAGAGCAGCAGCTTCAAAATGGAGCAGGTGGATTGGGTTTTGATGACATAGCTGTTGCTTGTGGCAGGTTGTTATTTCTCTGTTTATGAAAATATATGCTGGTATGACGGTATTCGTTAACTTTAATGGATTGTCCAATTGTTTTGTTACTAGAGGTCTAACAATTTGCATTTGGTGATGGTGTGAAATTGATATTTGTATTGTTGATTGTTTGTAAAAATGATGTTACAGCCCCTTCAATCTTCATGTCAAAAACAAGAAAAATGGAGAAACCACTGATAAGATATGGAACTTAGCAAAGAAAGAGGACATATAAAGTCACATTCTTCAATCTTGCATGATATAAGTCCACCAAAGGAAACACTGGGAATTGAAGTTAAATTTATATCATAGTAGCAGTTTTGCTGTAAATTTCATATCATGAATATGCAATTGAGAGATGTCAACTGTGCTGCTTGTAGCTGTGGCTATAGCTGTAAATTTCAGGCATCCGGAATGATATGTTGTACATCAATTGAGTCGAATACTTCATTAAGAATTCACAATTCTCATCATGAGTTTTGCATGACATACTTTCATGAGAAGCAATTTTAGTCTAGCTGTTTAATCAACATTTTCTGTATTTATGACTTCAGTGGGGGTACAGTAGCAGGTTTGTCAATAGGATCCTGGCTGAGCAGCTTGAAAGCAAAAGTATGATATCTTTCTTGCACTTTTCTGATTTGTCTTATCACTTCAAGAAGTCATTATTAAATGTTGTGTTTTAGGTTCGTGCATTCTGTGTTTGTGATGATCCTGAGTACTTCTACGATTATGTTCAAGGGCTTCTTGATGGACTTGAAGCAGGAGTATCGTCACATGATATTGTTGATATTCAAAATGTGAGTAGTTCATTCAACTTATCCATAGTTATCCTGCTAATTTCAATTTAATCATTGCATTTTTGTTTGGAACTGTTACCAATAAATTTGTGCCATCTTGGTGATTCGAGAGTGTGGGGCTCAAGAGTTTGTGATTATGTTTCGTTTCACATTTTTGTTTATGCCAGATATGAATGGTTTTTGAAGATCCATGTGGATAATGAAATTGTCCTTTCTGCAGGCTAAAGGCCTTGGATATGCTATGAACACGACTGAGGAGCTCCAATTTGTCAAGGAAATTGCAGAGGCTACTGGTGTTATTCTTGATCCAGTTTACAGGTATAATCTTTTACAAGTACTATTAGGGCTCAAAGTTTTGGAGACAATCAAAATGTAAAACTCATGGAATTGGAAAGGGGATTTGTAATGTGGTGCCAATAATCAGATTATGTGATACAAACAGTACCACCTGAGACGCTACCATGGAAATTTGATATGCTCTTCTTGCAGTGGAAAAGCAGTCTACCAAATGATGAAAGACATGGCTGACAATCCGGCGAAATGGGAAGGAAGAAAGGTCCTATTCATACACACAGGCGGGCTTCTGGGCTTGTACGACAAGATTGATCAGATGTCTCCGATGATGGGGAAATGGCGAAAGATGGATATCCATGAATCTGTTCCGAGGAAGGAGGGCACTGGGAAGATGTTCTAGGATAACAAAATCAATATTGACATTGTCCATTGTTGTAAAATCGTGATTGGAGAGTGTTATGCATCACCAATAAGGAAGTCCATGGTAAAAAGAGGTCAGCCGAGTCTGCAAAATGGAGCGCTGAGTTCTCGTTACTGTGCGAATGACTTCCGCTTATTCTTTGCATCTAATTATACAACTATAGAAGTCAAGAGAAAAGAATGTTGAGAATGATTATAAATTAAGAAAGAAGGGGGATTTTTAGTCTCTTTGAGTAATCATTCTCAGGTCACTGCTATCATTCCTTGGTTGATGATACACATATTACAAAGGCAGAAACTTTCTAATACATATTCCTCGGTCATTGCTATCATTCCTTGGTTATCTTCCAATGTTAATGCCAAGTGAGACGTAAGAGTCTTAAGATTAGGTTTGGTGGAGTGACAAAGTAAAGATTATTTCACCATCCCTGTTTGTTTTTTCCCGAACATATTACACAAAAAGCGAGACAGATGGAACGATTACAAAATCTTTGATTTCATTTGTATACAAAGCCTAAATTATAATAAAATATGCTTCAAATCCTCTTTGTCACATCGGTTTTATTCGGTAGCTTATGGAGTTATGCACTTAACCCTTTTATTTTGGTTCCAGATTCCAAAAAGCCAAAAAAGAAATTGAATCATTACGTGTCGACAGCTAAAATTAAATGAAGGTTCAACAGCCGATCAAAGGCTTCCAGAAGGCTATTCCAAACGTTCCTTCGTGGCTGCCCATCACATCACACAAGTCATCCTCGTTTTCATCATTAATTTCCTCAGAAAAAACTAAAGAGTAGTAATGTGGTGGCAGCAGTAATATCACAGAAATTAATAGAGCGGGATGGTGGGCAGTTATATATGAACCCACCCCTCCTGTACGTGTCAGCTCGTTTCGGATTCCTACCATTTTATTCAGGGGAGCTATCCTTTTCAAAGTTTCAATCTTTCTGAAAACGATAAGATCATAAAAGGTAAGTACTACTATTATATGATTCTACTCCCATTGTCTCTTTGTCTCTCTCACTTCCTGCTTAGCTAGTTAGCTAAACTTGAGATTTGAATCCATTGATTTTGGGGGTGGTTTTTCAAAATTCAAGCAGTATTTATCGTAAAGACTCAACATTTTTCTCCATCGAAAGAAACCCATTCAATTGTGCAAACAACAATCAATCTTAGTAAGTAAGATAACAGTGTAGAAAATGGTGATCACAACCACCAAAACCTCTCAAGAGAACGTGCACTCAACCTTCGCTTCCAGATATGTCCGTGCACCACTTCCCAGGTTTGTTTGCCCTTTGATTTATCTTAGTAATCCGTTTCTGGGTTTCTAGTGATTTTCATCAATTTCTCCTCTTCACGAGAACTTGAAGTAGTTCATGTGTTCTGGGATTTTCACTGTACTATATGTGTTGGCTCTGTGTTGATGGGGGGATTTCATCATTTTGATAATAGGTTTCAGATGCCACCGAATTCCATGCCGAAGGAAGCAGCATATCAGATAGTGAATGATGAGTTGATGTTGGATGGCAATCCAAGGTTGAATCTTGCATCATTTGTCACCACTTGGATGGAGCCCGAGTGTGATAAACTCATCATGTCATCCATCAACAAGAATTATGTCGACATGGATGAGTACCCTGTTACCACTGAACTCCAGGTTCGTGATCCTTGTTTTTCTCATATTGAATCTAATATCAACACTAATTCATTGATCACATATACATTCGTCCCTAAGTTTAAATGATTTGTCGCAAACTCAATTAAATTTTTTCTGTTCTTGCAACTCTTCTTGAATATTCCTTGGTTGGTGATATATGTTGCAGAATCGATGTGTCAATATGATAGCACATCTTTTTCATGCCCCTGTTGGTGATAACGAGGCCGCGATTGGGGTAGGGACAGTCGGATCATCGGAGGCTATAATGCTAGCTGGTCTTGCTTTTAAAAGGAAGTGGCAAGCCAAGAGAAAGGCAGAAGGCAAACCTTTTGATAAGCCGAACATTGTCACCGGGGCTAATGTTCAGGTGATATTCAGAGATCTGTTAATGTAGTTGAGATTCACCTTAAGTTTCAGTCGTTTACTGCCAAATTCTTGAGTTCACATGTCTCTGGCACCCATCTATGTCATATTTCCAGTGTTGCTTTACTGAGGCTGCATTTAATCTAGCCTGACTAAGCATGAATGGAAGACATTTTTTTGGTTCCATATGTTTCACAGTGCATGTTTATAAGCCCTTCTAATCATGAGCTGATTCCTCCTTGTTCTTTGCGTAGGAAAATGTATATTCATCTCTAAATTTAGCACTTTCGCTGCTCAGTCTGACCTTTCTTCCTAGTGACAAAGCGTATAATTTGCTCTAAGTTGAAAGTGTGACGTGACTCTTCCAAGGCAATATGTGTCTGATGAAAGAGCCTGGTTAATCCTTTTTGTGATTTTGGCCTTTTGACGTATCATTAAGTTCAAGGCGCACTTTTTTTGTTGCAGTTTTTCCTTAGTTTAGGTGGTGCTTTTCTTGTGTCAACGGAAGAATATGGCACAAATTGTAGAAAATATACATTTAAAAGTAAAAGACAACTCTCTAAAGCAATATGATAATCTGATGGAATATTTTGTTGTTAGGTTTGCTGGGAGAAGTTTGCAAGATACTTTGAGGTGGAACTGAAGGAGGTGAAACTAATGGAAGGGTATTATGTTATGGATCCGGCTAAAGCAGTGGAGATGGTCGATGAGAATACAATATGTGTTGCAGCTATTTTAGGATCTACCTTGACTGGAGAATTTGAGGACGTTAAACTCCTCAACACACTCCTGACAGAAAAGAACAAGGAAACTGGATGGGACACACCAATCCATGTTGATGCTGCCAGTGGAGGGTTTATTGCTCCATTCCTTTACCCAGATCTGGAATGGGATTTCCGTTTGCCTCTGGTGAAAAGCATCAATGTCAGTGGTCACAAGTATGGCCTTGTATATGCAGGCGTGGGGTGGGTTGTGTGGCGGAGCACTGATGACTTGCCAGATGAACTTGTCTTTCATATTAACTACCTCGGATCTGATCAACCTACCTTCACTCTCAATTTCTCTAAAGGTGACATGTTTAACATATTCTCTTTTATGGAAAAAGTATCAACCCTTTTTTTGGTTCCTTGTGGGAGTACAGAGGACTGTAGTGTGTATATCCATATGGCAGTTACTCTAGGTATCTTTGAAAGTTTCTTGAAACCATGATTTTGTGTCTTCTTGGTCAAATTGGGCAAATTTATATAATGACGAGGAACATGCTACTGGAAATGCTTTGGTTCTTTGCATTCTGTCCTCTTCATTCAAGAAGAAATTAGAATGTTTAAATTTTTTTCTTTGTTTTCTTTCGTCAGGTTCCAGTCAGATAATAAGCCAGTATTATCAATTTATTAGGCTCGGCTTTGAGGTAATGTCCCTAATCACTATTGACCGTTACATAATTCATGCATAGAAATTGTTTGTGGGCTCAATTTCGGGAGGCCATGTACTTTCAATTTTTTAGAAGCTATTGATATGTACCTGCTTAATGGGAAAGGAGCTTCACTTCAATAGCTTGCTTCAATAACTGATGTGTGGTTATGAGGCAGCACTTCCTTCTAAAAAATCATGATGCATTTGTGTCTTGATGCAATACCTCTGCCTTGTGCCTGTGTTCGAAACTCAAATGATGAGCTAACATGTTGCAGGCTAGACTTCTGTTCCAATATAAAAGAAACTGGAAATCTTTGGTTCAATTTCTCCGTCTTTATGCTTTCCTAAAATTTCATTAGGGATACAAGAACATTATGGAGAACTGCATGGTGAATGCAAAGGTACTCAAAGAAGGAATAGAAAAGACGGGGCGGTTTGATATCGTGTCCAAAGATGTCGGAGTACCATTAGTGGCTTTCTCCCTCAAAGACAGCACCAGATACACAGTTTTTCAGATAGCAGAGTCATTGAGAAGATTCGGATGGATCATTCCAGCTTACACGATGCCACCAAATGCAGAGCGGATAGCAGTACTGCGCGTGGTGGTCCGAGAGGATTTCAGTCACAGCTTGGCTCAGAGACTCGTTTCGGATATTGAAAAGGTTATGAAGGAGCTGGACGATCTACCTCCGCGAGCTATAATGAAAGCTGTTCATGTTGCTGCAGTTGCAGATGAAACCGAAGGATACAAAGGAAATGGTGGCCACTTGAAAAAGAGCGTAACCGATACCCAAAGAGAGGTAGCTAGTTACTGGAGAAGGGTAGTAAAAGAAAAAACCAGTGGAGTCTGCTAGATAATTTTCACCATTTTAGCCAATGTTTGTCAAGTTAAAACTATTTCTTTTTCTTTTGTGTGTGTGTGTGTGTAGAATGGCTACCGTTAATAATAAATAATGAGAATTTTGAACCCTCTTAATCGACCATTGGTTTGATATACTGATTTCTAAATTCACTCATTTAAGGAGTATTGGATTTTGATAAATTATTTATTAAGATGGTTATTATTAATATAAAATTAAAAGAATTTTCAGTGATGACTCTTTCCCAGTTAAACGTCGTTATTAGCAACATCACTCATATTCTGGAGTAGAATTCAGTGGTGGAGCAACAGAATTACCACTCTAGTTTAATTAACATAAATCAACCACATATTATGAGAAGGCTTAACACTCATGAATAAAGCTCTACTCTATGCTCAGATATTGTTAGAAGAACAGTACAGAACACCAGAAGTTCAAACCTCTAATATTGAAAAAAAAAAAACATGAAAAGTTTACACAGCAAATACTGAAACTTAGACACAACCAACATGAAGCCAAATAGCTTGAGAGGATTAAGCAACTTCATTATGTTTGCTAGCCGTCAATCCATAACTTCATTAAGGCTTAAAGGGTCATTATCTAAATCATAATCACAAGCCATCTCCATTACTGCACCATGCTCCAAAACATACCTTATCAGTTCAACCTCACCGTCAAGGCCTTCAAATCCATTGAAGGTAACTTGCACCAGACCAGACTGTGTAACAGTCATTTAGGGACGTGCTTAGGCTTGCTCCAGCATGTACCAAATAGCACGTGATCGATGTCGTCATCATTTCATCCAAAGTTTAGCTTTTTGGCTGAATTGCATTGTCTAATTTATTATTTTTTATTATTTTGTTTTGAACATATATGCTTGATACTTGACTGTAATACTTTTTCCGTCCCGAAATTAATGTCCAATTTGGATGTTTATTTTTTTTATATAAATTAAACTAAAAGTGAAAATTCAAATTGTACAATAATTTTAGCACAGAAGGAGTATGAGACCAATGAGGAAAAAAAAAAGAAATATAAATTAAATACGGTTATTAAGATGCCAACAAATTAGATATCTTTTTACATAACTGCATTAAAAAAAAACTAGAAAGAAAAAAAATTGGGTTCTCTATTTTGTGAGTCGGTCTACTTGGAAAGCATGGGAGAATTGCCAGATGATCTTGTCTTTCATTTTAACCAATGACTAGTAGCACCGTTGGATGTGATATCAACCTACACAGAGGCTGCTAAAACGAACATCAACATTAGAGGCTGATAGTTTATCTTCACTTTTCTTAAATCTCAAATGACAAGTTTGTTGCAAATTAATACGAAGAGAACCTATCTGTTTTTGGTAACACGAAACGACGTGAATTCATACAATTGTGGAAAAGCAATGTTGATCATTTGATCTATTATTCTAGTAGCATAAGATACAAAATTTTCTTTCGATCATAAATAAACACGAAACACGACCTGATTGTCATCTCTTTTCTGAGATAAGATTAAGTTTACAAGGTAAACACCAAACTTAAACCACATTTTCAGGATCAAAATCACGTTCACATTGTAAACAAGATCATGATCCTTGAATAGATTTTTGAGAAATTTTTTTTTATAAATGAATGAATTATTTTTGGTGATTTTTCGAGAAATGTTTTTTAGAAAAATAAAATTACAACAAGGATGTACTGTGTCTCTGTATGTACAGTACCTTGTTCTTTCTTTTTTTGACAAGAGGATGATTATTTAAAGAAAATTTAATGTTATTTGAATATATACTTGAAATTTTATTTTACTGTAAAACCTTTTTCTCTTAATTGTCGCAAAAGGGGGGGAAAATAAAATAAATAAATCGTTTGGTTTCCCGCCATTTCCTCATTCTCCCCGCCGACCAACGAATATCTGAAAGCCAAAAAGCGCCATTTTTGTCTTTCCTCAGTCGCTTCGCCGCCCACTCACCGGAGTTGCAGAAATTGCATAATATACATCTCAGAGCAAATAAACGTCGGAAATTAGAATAAGCGAAAGGGAAAAAGATGAGCAGTTCACTGAGAAACAAAGTTCAGAGGAAATTCAAGATGCGAGGCTACACACTAAAAGTCGAAGCCCTAACTGAAATCCTCTCTTTCGTCAACCGCTTCCCGGAAGCCCAAGACGACGCCATTGAACTTCTCCTCGACGAACTCCATCACTTTACCTGTAAGCCCCATCGCTGTTTCATCCCACTTGCTTTAAGTTCTTACGAAATTAAGGTTTTCGATTGAGTTAATTGAGTTGATGAGATCAGTTTTTGTGCTTTTAATTTGTGAAAATTGGCAGTGAAATCTTCAATTTTGGATAAAGAAGTTGTGGGTAAAGTGGTGAACCTTTTATTGGAAGCTGAGGCTGCCGTTGAGGAAAACCCTAATGATGCTGTTTTGGGTATTGGTGGCTCTGCCCTTCGATTTATCAATGCTTTTGATATTCCGAAATTTCGATACGATCCCGTGAAGAAAATTTTCCACGAGTAAGAAATCAGTACCTTTCTTCCTTTGCACACATTTCTTGATTATTTTTGAATTCCAATATGCTTGCCTGCATTTTTAAGATGAAATTGAGAAGGTGAATGTTGTATAATTAGATAATTTTGGATGGAGGGGATAAAGTTTACATTTTTTTTATCATTACTGTATTGAGCTGTACTTCTGCTATTCTCGAAATTTATTCCCACAATTTGTACAATTAGATACAAGTAGCCACTATTTTTAGTGAATGTGACTGAAAATCAAATTATTTTAGCTTGGATTCTTTTGGCTAATAATTTAGGGCTACCAATCTCCTAGACGTGATGCTGATTTACGGGTTTGTTTCATGTTCTTTTTCAAGACATACAGGTAGAAACCCAATTCATGGTGATGCTTGTGCAAAAGCTGCACTTTATGGGGATAGGTTTCTCCTGCTGTTTCAGAGGCTCTCTCGTGATCCCCATTTTGCACGGCCTACATTTGCTTCTGAGATTTCTGAGTATGGCAGCTGTGAGGTACATTATTTTTCATCCGATGGAATGCTCACAGAAAATTTTTGTTTGAAGTATCTATCACCATGGGATTGATGTCTTCTAAGTTTTTTTGTTCTTGGTAGATATCTCCTATTCAATCTTTGGTTGGGCGTATAGGAAGAAGGTGGATCATGGGTTTAATATCTCAGTTCGAAGACGGGCATTTCTACCTTGAAGATCTGACTGCTGCCGTTGAAGTTGATTTATCGAATGCAATATCCTTTACTACACGATGTTGCACAAAAAACAAATGTCTGGGATAAATTAAATTTCATGCTAGGCATCATGTGATTAAGAAAAGTTCTCTGTTCAGGATATTTGCATGTTTGAGTTTGTCTTGTTTTCTGCTTGCAGGTGATCGTCTTTTTTTCACTAGTAAATTACCTTTTAGCTTTTTTTTTTTGTTAAAGATTTTGGAAAATCCAATCGGTGCTGTTGGATATTTATAAGGTTATTCTCGCTCTTAATGAACTTCCTATTATCAATTCTTGCTTAGAGTAGTAATGCACTTTGTGTTATAGTACTGTGTCTTTCAATAATCTCAAGTAATTTGAGATTTAGGATTACCCTTCCTGGTTATTGTGAGGTGATCCTCAATCACAGTCTGAAGCAGCCATGCTATTATCTTGTTCCTGCTCTCTGATACTATAGAATCTCTTCATTTGCAGCTGAAATTACATAGCACCACCTTATTTTACAGAATTGTGTGTTTGGAAGTATGGAAACTTTTTCCTTGACAGATATTTTACAAGATAACCACTGGATTTTTTTCAGAGAACACAATAGTTTTAGCAGAAGGAGAGATGCGACTAGATGGTATTTTTCAGGTATGCAATTGGTAATCTCTTTCTCAGAATGGTAATCCCAATTTTTTTGTTACCTATAATATAATAGAACCAATTCAGCCGAGCAGTTGAGTGTTTTGGTTAGAATGATGAAGTTCCTGATTGTTAAAGTTATTGAATGTAACTTGATCAATCTTCCTTTTGATACTTGACAGGTAAAAACGTGTGGATTCCCTCCTCTCGAGGATAGAGAAAAATCGGTCAATTATTTTACTGGGGTAGACTTCTTCGGTAGCAGCACACTAACAAAAGAAGAAACTGTATCCTTTTTATTTTTCTTAGAGAATAATAATTGCTCCTGTAATGGATGTGTTTGTACATTTTTGTGCACATTCGCTACATTTGGGACCTAAATCTGCTCCTGTTATTTAAATCCGAATGAATGATAATTGATAAGGACATTAATCTTCAATTTCATTTCCATAACTTGTGCAATAGTTGAGACTGGCAGAGTTGGAGACGAGGGCTGTAAATGACATGTTTGTGATACTTTCTGACATTTGGTTGGACAATGAAGAGGTATACATGCCTACATCTAAATATCTGACTTCTGAATGCCACTGCTTATTCTCACCATTGTACTTATCTTAGAAAAGACCATGGAGAATTTGAAGACTGTCCTCTATGGTTATGAGAATGTAGATGTGGTTCCTTCCCTGTTTGTTTTCATGGGAAATTTCTGCTCTCGCCCCTGTAACCTGTCTTTCAGCTCTTTTTCTATGCTCAGGTCAGAACCAGCTAAGATCTATGTGGTTAAATTGTTTTTCGTCCTTGTGATTACGCTATTCAAGTATCCATGTGTCTGCAGGTTGCAGTTTGGAAAGCTAGGAGAAATTATTGCTAGCCACAAAAGAATAATGGAACATAGTAGGTTTCTTTTTATTCCTGGTCCAGATGATGTAGGTGAGTAGAGTTGTTTTTTGTTTGCCGCACTCATTTGTCATATCTGAACCTTTGCTTGCATCTTCTGAATGCTACTCCTCTATTTTCAGGTCCCTCAACTGTTCTACCTAGATGTGCTTTGCCCAAGTATATAACTGAAGAACTTCTCAAGCATATACCGAATGCCATTTTCTCCAGTAACCCCTGCAGGTACATTGAAGGATAGGTTTTTTATGGTAGTATTTGCCTTATTTTTGCTTCTTGATTTCTGCCTTTCTTCTTTGAGATTTGCAAATGGAGCCAACATTTCAACTGACACCTTCTCACGTTATGTTTGTCCAGAATGAAGTTCTACACACAAGAAATTGTATTTTTCCGTCAGGATTTGCTTTACAGAATGCGTAGATCTTGTCTCATGCCACCTTCAACTGAGGAAACTAGTGATCCTTTTGAGCATGTATGTTTAATGTTCATCATTATGTCTCTGTGTAGCATACTCCATATGGTATAACTGGTTTAAGTGACAGTCAAAGTAGTCTCCTTTACAGTATTTTAGACTGATATTTTTGTACATGAAGCTGAAATGGTTTATTCACTTCACTTGCAGCTTGTTGCTACAATTACACATCAAAGTCATCTTTGTCCTCTGCCATTGAGCATACAGCCCATTATTTGGAATTATGACCATAGTCTCCATCTCTATCCAACCCCGCATACGGTATGCTGACTTTTTCTAACATAACTTCTGAACAGGTTTCGTACTTCTGTTTGTGCTAGGTTTCCAGTTGATTTGATGGTGATGTATTGTTTCATCCCTGTTGTACTGATATAGTGATGTTCATTTTTGTATTATCGGGGTCTTTCTTTGTGAGGTGAGGGAGTCTACCGGTTTTTCCTTTTCCTCCTACGATTGCAGTGTTCATATATTTTCTTGAAGGAAAGGAAAGATTGGACAAAAAGTAAATATTGTGCAACCGTGTTGCATTGTTGAAGCCCTATCAATTGTTTTAAGGTTTTCATAAAAATGTTGAAACAGAAGAACAGAGTTCAGTGGCTTGTACTGTATCATGAACTATATAAAGTTTTGATGTCTGATGTGTTGTCTATTTCGTCACAGATTGTGCTAGGGGACAAAAGTGAACAGAAGGCTTTCAAGTATACGGGCATTACATGTTTCAATCCAGGGTCTTTCTCGAATGATAAAACCTTTGTGGCATATAGACCTTGCACTCGGGAAGTTGAGTTGTCTGCTCTGTGAGTGTTGCAAGCACGGATATTCTTTATCAGCCCTTGGACTCATGAAGTTGAATTGCCACTTCGCAAGTGTCGCAGACATGGTACCTATCTGTATTCTTTGAGCCATCACCTTCACTAAACGCTAACTTAAACTGTTTACTAGCTTTTGTATTGTGTAGCTTAAAGTAAAGCTTCCATGTAAATGATTTCCCTGTTGTAATTTTGGAAATTTATGGACTCATACTGAACGATTAATTTCAATAATCAATGTTGGTTTGTCGTTAAATAAATTAGATACAGAACTTTTCCATTGTCTTATGTCTAGATACACAAAGAGGTTAGTGAAGAGCGGTAAATTCGAAGATTATTCATGTTAGGGGTGGATTTTCATCAGTTGGTTGTGACAAGTGTTTGTCTGGAGAGTGTAAAGAAGTTGGACTCTTTCCGTTACAAAATAATATGATAAACAAGAGTTTTATTTTGGGACGGACGGAGTCTTAGTTTTGAATTGACTAGGATGTGTGGTTCAGATCATAAGATATGGTCCATCAATTCGTACAGAAGATCCATATTCTCAATTTATCAGATATTGTTAGCCTTAAAATTTACAGAGACCCAGAAGATATTAGACGTTTAAGTGTCTTTCTTCTTAGTGCTCCGAGAAGATATACTATACCCTTATAGTGAAGATATTAAACTGTGAAGAGGAATTCTTCTCTAGTTTCGGCCATCCTTATTCTACTTCACCGTACTTCATTCAATGTGGATAATTTTTTAGTGATAGACGACTGTTATACGTTCAAGACAAGCTGCCGTGACAAAAATGGCGAGGAGGAAAAAAAAAAAAAAAAAACAAACCTACTAAAGAATATTAAATTTTCACAATATCTCTCAATCAGTTCAAAATGGCTCCTGTGTCATGTTGGAATGTATGATGAATTAATGTTAAACAGTTGAAATTGTAAATTGATTTCAAATAGAGCACACAACCCACGAAGAAGAAGTACAAATGTGAACTCTAAACAAATGTATCTATCAATGTCGACAACGACATTAACATCTTGGTAAGTACTTTATATGTAGATCCACCTAATGTTCACACACAGTTAAAGCAGTGTGTTCTAATGGATAGGATCATAGGAACCTTATTCGTGCTCGAATCCATTCAGATGCATACAGTGACGAGAATTTTCAAATCGCGGGGTTGAAAATAGGATTATTCAACCGTCACCGGAGGGTCGAATTGAAAAAATTTCAAATAACGGACACCCTATTAAGAAAAAAATTTGGCCAAATCCGGCCGGCCGGGGGGTCGATCGACCACCCTGACCCCCCTTGAATCCGTCACTGGATGCATAGTATACTAAACAAAATTATGTTATAAATTTATTTTTTCTAGGTTTATCAACATTATTATGTCAGCATTGAACCTTTTGACGAAAATGTCTTGCATTCTACAGAACACAGAGATGGGAAACCAAAATCTCATCAGCAAATGATGAGGTGTTGACCAAAATCCAATCAAGATTTCTAAGAATAAATAGGTGAATTAGCCGCTATATATGGCACCAATTAGGTCAGGTAGGTGTAGTACACATTATGAACTCAAAGAGAAAAAAGAAAAAAGAAAAAAGAAAAAAGAAAAAGAAGGTAGGTGTACAAAATAGCTTAGCAAGATCCGAGGAGAAACCCATCTTTGAGATGGTTAGGCTGTTAGCTTTCAGCAGTTTTGCAGTTGAGAAGTTCTGAAAACTTCTTGACTCAGGAACCCCCCAAGCTAGCTTCAACCTAAGTTTTCAGCAAATCAACCATCGGTTTCCAACTATTGGAATGAAAACCATACCCTTAAATTAATAAGCTGATGAGTAGTCTTTTTTATCTTCTAAGGATCGATCTTAATCACTCGAAACGCTCCCTTAATTAATCCTACTCACTTCGATTCCCTTTGCTTGAAATCATATTCGAAATTCAGTTATTATTCTTAATCAATGAATATTAGACTTATTAGTCAAATTCGGGTTTCTCCTAAATTTCATTTCTTGATTCTTCTAATTGAAAAAAAAAAACCTCATCATAAATTACTTTTAAGGTTTTGTTTTAGGAAAACACGATAAATGAAATTTTAGACAAGTCATAATAAAGACCAGAGGGAATAATCAGTAGTATACCACGTTACTTACTCAGGCATGAGTTTTACTTGATACCTTTCCATTTCAAAATATATATTGTTTTAGATTTAGAAAAATATTTCAAAATATAGGTTTGAAATTAATTGTTAACTTTTCAACTTTATTCTCGATAAATGATGCCAATTCCTTTTAATTTAGGGCTTGTTTGATAACACCACTTAATGCTTAAAATTAGTGGATTAAGAACTTTTTTTAATTCAGCATGTTTGATAATAAAAAATGAACCTATTAATGAAATAAGTGGTACTGAAACTGTAATACAAAATATAAACAATAAAAGTTAGCTTATTGTTTATTCTATAACTGCTCAATTAATTCAGCATTTCTAATTCAGTATTAAGCATTCAGAATTAAGTAATAATTTTTATCAAACAGGTCCTTAGTCTTGTTTATAATTCTAATATCTTTAATGAGAGATATAAAGATATTGATTTGACACATAAACTATTTGTTGAATGATTATCTCTTATTAATTTCGTTACATACAAAGTCTAAAGCAATAGCGGAACCATTAAGAGGCCTGGGGATACCAAGTCCTTCCGGCTGGTTGAAGAGCCCATTAGAAATATTCATTGTTGACCTCCCGTCATCTATGTCCGGCCATATATCTGAACCATATTTAGCCCTTCTAAATGTGAGTAGTTAGTTTCACTACTGGTTTAAAGTGACTTATAATTTGAAATAGATGGAGTAATTGATGAGAAAAAAAAGATTTATAGAACCAAAATTAAGGAACCGGGATGATTTAGAATTGCCACACATGAAAACACTTGTTGCATTGATGCATATGATTCTCGCAGTTTGTTGATCAACATGTATAATTACCTTAACTGTTATTCCTTTCAGCACTTTGGAAGACTCAGTTAGTTTAATTACCCCTCAAATGTATCAAACACCGTTGAACTTTTTAGTCCAACATGGCAACATGAACAGGTTAATAATGTATAATACGTAGGAAGAAAAATTAGGTAAAGCTGGTGAACAGTCAAGTGTTCAATACCTCATGCATACATGAAAAAGATTACTAATTAATGTATAACTACATTAGTCAATTATAATGATCTTAGTTTCTACTAGTATTTAATTCAACCCAAAATTCAAACATGCATGCAGATATGTTGCAAAATTTTTCCATACATGCATAATGTAAGAGATCTATCCAGTGATCTTTGTGCACGCTTGCCATTAATTAATTGATTTTAAGTTTAGTCAGTCAGTAGTCAGACCAAAATTTCTAACAACACATACACACTGAGGAGTTTTGTGAAGTTCGTTAGTTGGAGAAAATGTGTCCGAGTTAGCATATGACAGTTAACAAGACAGAAACTAAGGTGCATTTCTTAGGGTTTGTACAAATGGTGGGTGAAAGATGAACAAGGCTTAATTTGGTCATCCCTTTTTAGACAAGCAAATTAATAAAATTTTTATTTTATTTATGGAGCTTGCAAAGGGAGAAAGGGAATTGGTAGGCCAACAGTCAATCCAAAGGAGACTATTGTCTCTATTTTTCATTTTAGAACTAGAAAAAAAAAACATTATACACATAATTTTTCTTGTTTTGGGTAGATATATAGTTAATTTCATAATCACAGACTGTGAAAGTTTTAAAGAACCGTCACACAAGCTCTAAATGAGGATACTAGAATTTAGTATATCTATCTCGAAATAATTATCTTGTTTGTTAATCATTTTAGGACGAATGGTGTAAAATAAATTGTGGGAAAAGAAACCCAAACTAATTGAAATCAAGGCAGGGAACCAAAAGATTTTTCCATAGTCTTACATGCAGTAATTTGGTTTGAGAGAATTACAAGAATTTAATGTGTCATACGTACATTGGTACGTTTTGTTAGATTTTGTTGGAGTTTTTTTGGGGTACCTAATTTCTTGAATGTCATGTTCGTTTGGAATATTGCCTTATAGCCTTAGTCTAGGACATGTCAACTACAAATGATATCTGGACATAGTTCGTTATTGTTCGCTGAGAGGGCAAGTCAAGCATCGTTATATGAAGAAGTTACAACATAAATCTGCCTGCATTAGGAATCCTGAATTTCCACTTTGATCCCTCCGGTCCTTAATATAAAACATTTTAATTTGTCCTATACTTCACTTAATATACATTTTTAATTAACGAAAAAATTTTAAAAATATATTTCACGTTCGTTATGTTCTCTTCATTGTTATGAAATACTTTTAAGGTTTTCTTACTAGTTAAAAATGCGTATGGAATGAAACCTTAGACAAATGAAAATACCTTATATTAAGGACCGAATGGAGTATTATGATTATATTATTATTAACTCAAGACAAAAACAGTTACAACCTGCTGTGAACGAATACTCTTTTTTTTTTTTTTTTTTGGAACTGTTTTCTTTGGAACGGAAAATGTCTATCTCTTAAGATCAAAATCTTTCCTTTTGTTTTTAATGTACCCCAAAGTTTTGGACTCACATTTACTTTTGTTTTTTTTATAACCCATAAAACACTTTCTGGTTAATTAGTGAAGATAGGTAGCGGAACTCATAATATATAACCAAAAAAAAGAGAAGAAAAATAAATGTAAAAGTAAGGACATAATGGAACAAAATGTTATATTCTTGTTGTGTTCCCTCTTAAATCTCTTGCCTTAGTGTACGAGTAATTTATTTTACAATATCATTTGGCGTTCAATAATATTTATATATTTAAATATCACAAGAAATGTGCATAGGGCGTCTTATCAATTTAAATTTCGGAACGCATGAAGATCATACTAATAAAATAAATGAATCGTGTTTTTCATGTACTTGTACAGCCCTCAAAAAATATTCACTTTGTTAAACTATTTCAATTCAACAAGTACATTATTATTGGAATGACAAATAGTGTAACAAGTGAAATCATCTTCTTTCCCGCATTCGGGCTCCATTTCTTCCTAATTTCTACTCACTTTATAGGACTAAATAAAAGAAATATGTTTAGGAAAGGGAAAAATGTATTTTATTCTTCATCCAGAAAAAAAAAAAAGAAGAAAAGTCAGTTTTTTTGGTCCGAAATGATTGTTCAGTTTTAATTTTCATTTTGAACTGGAGAGGATTAACAATAGTTTGAGGTAAGATATATTAATTTGGTTACTTGTACTGGTCTCCACATGCAATTTCTGATCACAAAGAGGTTTGTAAACCAATTCAGTTAGTTAGGTCCAGAAAAGGTGATGAAGACCTAAAACTCCCCTCTGCCTACAACTTCCACCCAAAAGTTCTAACGAGCATACCAACCATCTCTTCAACTAATTTATACATATACACATATCCATCAACATTAGGTATAACATTAATTTCTTCGTACATTAAAATAGTCTATCATTGATTATATATGAAACAAAGGAAAATTTAACAAACTCTAATCCATATTTGGAATTTTAAGTTTGAGGTAGGGTTACTGTTAGCCTCTTTTAGGTTGGAACATTCCCACAAGTTTAAATTAATCCCCCGTAGAAATTAATGCATGCTTCCCAATTTGTTACAACAACATGTACACAACAAACGATGATTTTTTGATTTTTTTTTTTGGAATTCCGTACCAATCTTCTCTCATTAATCAAACAATGTGACTTTATAAAGACAAAAAATATAAATGTTCTAGTTCTAGGTTAACGTACATATCTATTAAAAATGACGTATTTTTCAGAAGCGAAATTAAATCAAATAAATTTGGAAAATAAGTCAATTTTAATTTTTTTTTTTTTTTTTTGGTTATTTCATATAGCTACAGGATGATGATTGTTGATGATGTAGTACAAGCATTAGTTGTACAGTTAGAAAGATGGAAGGAAAAAAAAAGAAAGAAGAGAAAATAGATAGTTGGGTTATAAGTAGAGGTTGTAGGTTAGAATTTTTACAAAGAAAGACGTTGAAAGCATAACCAAATTCACCCCACCAAGCAACCCTATTTTTTTTTTTCCCTTCTTCTTTCTCTTTCATACATATTGTTGTTAGTAAGTACTAGTACAATATCAATTACATATATATATATAAATCAAAATGGATGGTACGTATATTTATTTTTAAGGTCATGAGTTAAGTTTAGTTTAGTTAGCCTAGACGTTTGCATCAATCGCTGGTAATAAAAGGGTCTGTCCAAAAATCCCCTCTTTCCCTAACGGAAAACACATACACTCATCTTCTCTTGTTTTCTTTCTTTTTTTTTTTTTTTCGTGTTTCTCCTCCCATATATTCTTGTTGATTTCTTCATCATTTTTTCCCTTTATTATCAACACCTTTTTCTTCTTTCACACCCCCCCTCCTTCTTTTAGCTAACAAATTCACTTTGGCTTCAACTAAATCATTTTTGGGGGTTTGTTTTTTAGTTGGTTTTGGATTGGTGAATCTTGTATTTTTATGGAGTGAAAGTGAGGTGGGGTGTTGTTATTGATTTTGTTGTTTAACACATATATAGATCATTTCATAAAAGAGCTAGCAAGAGGAGAAAGAAATAATTCAAGGTGATTATTCTTATTTTTACTTTTTCCCCTTTGTTGAAGATCTTGTTAGATTATTTAACAAAATACTATAAAGAAAGACTTTTTGTTATTGATATTTGGATATGGTTGAAAAATCAAGCAGATCGATCATGTGTAGCAGAGGCCATTGGAGGCCTTCTGAGGATGAGAAGCTGCGAGAGTTGGTGGAAAAATATGGACCTCATAACTGGAACGCCATAGCTGAAAAGCTTCAAGGCAGATCAGGTTATTATTGTCTTCCCAATTTTATTTTTTTTTCTTTTTTCCAGGGAGCAACTTCTTCTTTTTCATCATATCTTCTTCTTCTTCTTCTTCTTCTTCTTTTTCTTCTTAGATTCTTCTTTATTTTTTCTTTTGTATCTTATTGTTAATTCTGTATATCAGTTCCAGTTAAGTAAATCAATAAGCATCATCATAAAAATTTATTGACATGAAAAGCTGAAGGAAAATGAATAAGCAACAACAGATCGAGGGGAAAAATTCATTTTGATTAAGAACAGTATTTAGGGTTTTGACATTGATGAAAACTGTATTGCTCTGTAGATAATTAAGAAGTTTGCTCCAATTTGGTAAAGCTTTAATTCTCTCATCCGACTATTCCCATGCAAACAAATTCTATTGGTCTTACTTGCTAATAATAATAATTAAAAAAATTTAAAAAATTAATAGACCAAAAAAAAAAAAGATCTAATATAGATGCTTATCCATTCATTTGGTCAAAAGGGTTGAAATAAAATCAACAGGAATTTCGTTTTGGATAATTTCCCTTAATAATGCATAAACAACTATATAAAAAAAATATACTTTGTCTATCCCAAAAAAAAAAAAAAAAAAGTAGTAGTGGAGTGAATTTTTTTGGATGAAGAAAGTGGTAAGATATATTGCGATTGGTTCAATACTTTGCTATGGAAACTGAATTGAATAAATTTGAAGGATTGTGTCTTTTTCTGGGTTCAGGTAAGAGTTGTAGGTTGAGATGGTTTAATCAGTTAGATCCAAGGATTAATCGAAGTCCCTTCACCGAAGAGGAAGAAGAACGTCTCATCGGTTTTCACAACATCCATGGAAACCGGTGGGCTATTATTGCAAGACATTTTCCGGGTCGGACCGATAACGCCGTCAAGAATCACTGGCACGTTATCATGGCTAGAAGATGCAGAGAAAGATCAAAGATGTTTGCTAGAAAAGCAGCAGCAATATCTCATCAATCATCTTCAAGAATAAACAATAATGATCATCATCTTCAACAAAAACCCGATTCTAGTTCCACATTATTGAAGCACTACAATAATAATCAAGTAATAACTACAAGTAATGAGAATACTTTTTATTCTCATCAAAGCCTTGATCAATGTCCTATCAAATTTGGCAGTTTCCCTCCATACCTAAAGGTGTTATTGTCACAAAATCCTCATCATATTCATCATATGGATGTTGATGAAGGTTTAAAAGGTAATTATAATATTCGATTAATCGATCGATATTCAGTTTTCTCTTTTAACCTTTATAATTTTCTGATATGGTATTGATCGTTGATTTCGTATTGCAGATAGAAATGCACCAAAGGAGTTTTATGATTTTCTACAAGTGAATGCTGACTCTAACAGAAGTGAAGTGATAGACAACAATAACAATAATGCGAGAAAAGATGAGGAGGAAGAGGTTGAACAAATGTCAACGTTGGAGCATTCTCGTCTTCACGAGGCAAAAACAAGTGATGTGCCATTTATCGATTTCTTATCAAAGGGAGGTAATTAGTTCAGATTCTTCAAGTTATAAAGATCAACAAATGATCATCATGAAGAAGATGAAGATGTTACACAACAGCTATGTTTCTAATTTTTATTTCTACTACCTAACTAGGTTATATTGTAGTTGTAGCAAACCAGCATGCATCGATCCATGCATGCATGCAAAAACCAGTTTACAGCTGACACAAAGAAGAAAGAGAAATGAGAAAAAATGTTAGAAATTTAATCAGCGAAATTTGCTAAGATAGTACTACCTATCTCTCAAAATTATTGTTCAGTTTGAGATTTCACTCTTAATACAATTTAAACTAGAAATAAAAATTCAAACTGGACAATAATTACGGGACGGAGGGAGTATTAATTAGTTTAAACCAATATGACTTTTGTTGTATAAAGCAAGTGAAATTGTAACTCCTGGATTTCCATTTGTTTCATACTCATCCAACAGTTTCAATTCCATTTGTAAATTTATTTGCTTGCACATATGCATGGATGGATGATTATTGTTAATTTTGGAGAACAAGTCGTACATCAATTACTACTAAAACTAAGTTTTGTAACTTTTATTTTACTTGTTAAACTAGTTTTAGTTGATTTTTTTTTTCTTTCAAAAATGGTGGAAATATAGTTCGTTTTGCGAGATGTTAGATAGCTGTCATATATGCCATTGGCGAGAATATTAAATTTCCTTCTGGTCGACATTGCAATGAGAAAATAGAATAAAAGGTTGCCAGACCATCATGAACTAGATCGAAAGTGGCATTTCTTTTTGTTTACTTGGGGATGCATTAATTTTTGCTTTGATTTCTTTTTCTTTTTTTCCTAAAGAAAAACCAAAAGAATTCCTAATTATAAACAGGTTGGGATCCTTTCCAACCCCCAAACATATATAGCATTGCCTTCCTTCGACTTCATGCATGAAATTAGGGTTTTTCAGTCTCAAAAAATGTTTGTTAAAAACTCGACGGATCCGCATATATATGGATTAGAAGGAACTAGGAAGTCTCTCTTTCCGACATTGTATATATTTTTTAGACAATTTAATATTCAAGAGGTTATGTATTATGTATACTTTAGTTTTTTTTATGATTAATTATATGGAAATCCCAGCACTAATTGAAAGTGATAACTAAACTAATGCTCAAGGTAGTTATGCTCATGCACACGCACCAATTCACTCAAATGAGATAGATATCTTTTTTAAAAAAAAAAAAATCATAATCATGTCTCATTAGTTAAATACGTACTACGTATTCATTCCTTTGAAATGAAGATATAATAAATACATATAAATAAGACGATATTATCACATACTAATAAAAATACACGATATTTTGAACACAAAAAAAAAAAAATCGGGATAAAGGAACTCAATCGGAGTAGTAAAGTAATTTTGTTTTGCATAAGTAAGAAACTGAAGATGTAAAATATCGATCAGGGGTGGGATGGTTAAGGGATTAGGATAAGGGATAATTATTAACATGAGGTTCGATTCTTGCTGGGTCATCCAATTTTTATTTTATTTCTTTTATAAAAAAAGAGAGTAAAATATCCATCACTTTTTAACGTCCAAAAATTTGTTATCGGATCGTATAAGTACATCTCCATAACATATCAGTTTATGACAAAATCAGGATGATTCCCTACAAAACAGCACTCGAAGCTTCAAACCCATTAATAAGTTATTATTATTAGTTATTTGACCGAATACAAGAATTCCATATATATATATATATATATATATGCACATTTATAGCACTGAATATGCATGATAATGTTGGGATTGAATTCTGGTTAAAATTAACCCCACGATTTTGACATCGGCTATTAACCACAATATATGTTATCCTCACATATTCTTCCAAGTATTAAATTGGTGAAATCAAACAGTAAAAAGCTCCTTTCGTAAATTAGATTTGGTCGCCAGTACTAATTATGACATATCGTCAGTGACATGTTTAACAAAATGCATAAATTTTCTCATGGATTAGACAAATTTGTCAAAGTTTCAACCTCCAAATCATAAACCAGATTATGTTCAGATTCAATGAATTCATACGTAGTGACACGAGAGACAGAAATTAACGGAGAAAAACGATGTGTAAATGCAAAAACACACAGAATATAATCGAAACTTCTTTATACTCTTTGAGGAACCTCGATTGAACAAATGTCTTTTAAATTCATTTTCATCTCTTGGCTTGTAGAAGTATTAAAATTATTATGAAAATCAAATGTCATAATTTGAATTTAATCGGATAACCAAGTCAAAATTGTTAATACAATTGGAGTTTGAATATCCCAACACGAGATTGCTATTTGGGAAAATAATTTTCATGTGAAAAAGGAGGAGTCCAGAACTTACGAGTGATTGACCAAATCAAATTTCTGAAGGACATTTTATTCTCAAATAATGACTCTAGTTGCAATACAAGCTACTCATTTGAAGTATGATTTTTAGCAGACTGTCCTTTGATTCGAAAGAAATTAAATTCCTTCAACAAAAAAAAAAGAGAAAGAAATTAAAATTATTAACCCCAAAAAATGATTAAAAATTTGGGAGGTTTAGTTATTTTTTTCTCCCAAGGGACTAAAAACCATTATCAAGTTCAGAAAATGTGTTGGTGATTCACTCAAATCATTATAATATTAAAGGAAAGAAAGATAATCGACACGTGTCACTAATTGAGCCCATCAAGCATCACTTTTAACTTATTATCATTTTAGCCCTTAAAGTTCTATTTATGTGTTACTTTGTCTTCAATTTTATCTATTTTACATTTTCAAGGACGATTAATTATGTCTAATTCCCAAAGTCCCCTTACCTATAAATAAGTCATAGGCATCTAGACATAATTTACGTATTTTTTAATATATTTTTTAATCCAAACATAACATTAGTTAGTGGTGACAATTTTTATTATACAACTTTTTAAAATTTTTGTTGTAATATTCTTGGCCAGATCTTACAAATATACATCTCATAAATAATATCAATACCTCTCATTTTGATCTAAAATTGATTAATCAAAACAAATTTACGGTTTTAATAAATACTAGGCTTGTCTTTGTCGAGCGTTGCGCGACCAGTTTGTATTATATAATTATTATACTGTGTTCGTAACCAAAAAGTAATGCTACAGAGAAAGTATAAAAATAGTTTGTTTTATTGAATTCTATGTCAATAATTTGAATTACAATTGCTTAATCTTTTTATTATGAAATGTAGCTTGTTTTTTATCTTTTACTTTGCTTTGTATTATATTCGTTTCTTTAGTCGATAAGACTATTTGTATTCACCAAATCAGGAAGAAGTAAAAGGTAGTACTTGAGCTTTATGAATTTCTGTATTAGGAGCTCATAAATTAGGATCGGTTGCTACAAAAGAATCAAAGTAGTAGCCTTAGGAGGCGAAGAAGCCTTGTTTTCTCGGGTAAAGTGAGCTTGGAATAAACCACTTTCCTATTGTTTTGGGCTTGTCTTGACAACAATGGCGGTATTATTTTAAATGCAACAGTGCAAAGAATAACAATAATAGAACTATTTGTATAAATGCTAGATTTTAAGCCCGCACGAGATTGTCAAAGAATCACTTGTCAACACTACCATCAAACCAGGTTTGTGGGAAAAGGTTTGACATATGGAAACATTGGTGCAAAAAATAGAAATGGAGACCAGAAACTAATGTCTAATTAACAGTAAAAATAAAAGTATAGGGATGTACGCTAAAAAAATTCTAAACCTATTAGTTGATCATGACTCTACTGAGCAAGAGTCAAGTAGTTGCATATGATCAAACTCAATGAAATTATTTTTCGCCATACTATTTGTTGAGCAAATCTTAAGAATCAACTAAGTGCGTGTGAAGCATAGTTCATAGTTGTTTGGCAAGTAGCTGAAGAATATGCACCAATGAAAGTTGTTCCAGATAGATGAAGAAATTATGTAGTAAATGATAAAAAGAAAATTAAGGGTAAACAATAGAAACGTTTATGCGCAAAGTTATAGAAGTGTGTTTCTTTCTCTGAAAGGTCTTCTAGAATAACATAATATATTCCTGTTTTTGATATTTCGTGGGTAAAGAAGCTCAAAATACTTATCTTTTTTCTCACTATTGACAACCAAATGATTGTTGGCATAGATTGCAAGAAGCATAATAAGGCAGAGAAGCAAAAGCCACCAGAAAGTCTTACGAAACAAAGTTTTTTTAAATGATATAGAGACAGTGATTATCTTTTCCTAATGTACCTACACCTTTCAATTGCAAATTTTTCGCTAGTTTTATTTGTATTTGGTACAATCAATGAAGTTCTTGAACCTGAAGAACAACAAAAAGGCAATGAGCTTTACATATGAAGTAATGAAGTATGCTCTATGCTTAGTCAATCCAAAGCAGAAACGGGTAGCTCCTCCCCAAAGCATTCCCAATCATCAGGTACTAATATTAAGACGAGTAGCCAAGTGTCCAGCATTTTATTTGTCTGGTAAAGCAAAATTTATCACAAATAAACTATCATAATTAGGACATCAAGTTAGTGGCTCACTAATGCATGTAGCAAATCCGTATGCTATCATTTTTTTCCCTTACACCAAGAGCCTTATCATGCTACTAAAGTAGCTCATCATTATATACCAAAGTTTCAAATAATCCAGCATACATATCAAAGAGAGCCTAGGCATATTAATTAGAGAAAAATATTCAAATCTAGACATGGAGGTAATTTCTCAAGGCTAATCAACTTTTTTGAACCATAGACATATAAGGAGATGGTATTTTAGTTCTTTATTATAAAACAGTCAAATATTAGAAACATAAAGTCAGAAAAAGAGTACATTACAATATCACAAGTATATAAAATCAGTAAAAGAAGTACAAATTTTGGTGCAGATATCTAGTGGAGTGAGGATTTATGACAAATTTCAGTCCCAATTTGATGCAATGTTGTTGCGATCGTATACTAAACTAGATTTGATTAGTCTTCCACGTGATTTACTTTGTTGACAGTAAAGGAACCTCTGTAACCCAATAAATTTAAAGTGATTGATAATGTATTCTTATATAGATCACATTTAGGAAACAACAACAAAGAATGTCTACCAGTTCAATAAACTAAAATTTTATGTGTTCAAACCTAAGGCATAAAAAGACCTCCCTTCCACTTCAATTTTCACTTTGCAATTAAATAGGTTCAAAATAAATCAGGTTTGGTGGAGACAATATACAACACACCAATGTAAACATGATCATATCCCCAAAAATAGTAAGTCATGAGAACTTTTACCAAGGTTAAAAGTTCTGCACCTTTGTCCAACTAACATAAGATAAATTGACATGAAACTAATTGATCAGCAAATTTCCATATTCCATGTACATTTAAAATTGGTTTGAAACACAAAAGAAGAACAAAAATTTGGCTAATTCAATAGGATTCAAAAAAAGAAATTTTAAAAAGGAACTATCTTGCAAAGGTCCTAATAACATGGCTCAGGTTCCACAATTCTGCTATTTCTGCTGACAATATCTCTCTATTTCTCACTCTCCTTATAATTCTTCATATTCTGAAAGAGTTCAATTCGATGACTAACCGACAACAACCTAAACAAACACAGTTACATGAAATTCTGCTAGATTAAATATAATACAGCAACTCAAACATTCTCGTAAAATCCTACCTTTCCATCCAAAATAAAAACCATATGTGAATATTGAGATCAAAACTTCATATTCGTTTTAATACAAAAGATATGAAAGGGAAAAATAAAACCAGTATTACCTATGGTAGGAGAGAGATCTTCGAAGGTTTCTGGAGTAAAGCTGAGCAAAGGACTACTTTTTTCTACTCCAGAATCCCCAATTAACAATAACTTGAACAAATAATCAAATTCTTACGAGGAGGACAATGAAGACGATACCATCTCCATGAAGTTTAATTGGAACATCCATGAAAAAAACAACAGAGTAGGCAACCTGAAAAATAAGAAAAGATTAGGGCCAAGTGAAATTCAGTGAGCATAGACAAGATTAGATATCGTTCAAGATTTCATGATGCAGTAACTATTTCCCTATTGAATGGCAAAAGCAGAATTAAAACAAATCATAATAAAAAGAAAACTACACCAAAACAAACCTTTTGGAGAATAAAACAATTCAGGAACTGCGGAGAGCCCCAGCAAAAAAGTCCTTCTGATTGTCCTTGGCATTTGATGTGGTTTGGTGTCCTCTTTTTGCGCGGAGAGCTCTCAACAGAAACAAATAGCAGAAATTATACAATTCTGGTTTCTACCATATTATAAAGTTCTGCAATGTAAACACCAACAAAAATCAACAAAAAAAAGAAGAAGAAAAGATTAGGAGTAGACTCCAAGGAAAAAGAAGCAGCAGCAATAGTACATAAAGACCGAACTTTTTTTTTTTCCGGTGAGTGAGTTGGTGGCACAATCCACGGTAGTAGGGAGCGAAGAGGAAAAAACTCTCTGAAAAATCCGGTGAGCGACTCTTCGCAGCAATAGAATTAGAGCTCAAATAGAAAGAAAAAGAAAAGGTAGAAAAAGTAGTGTATATAGAACAATGTTCAAATCTTGTCTAGCACCACGATCTATGATCGATCAAGATTACAGCCCCTTTCTCTTCTCGTTACTGCTCTTTATCTTCGTCCCCAACAGTCTCACCGGTGAAGGTTGTAAAATCGAATCTATGGACTCAATCGACAAACGTTCCGACGATAAACTTCAACAACTCTGCACGGATGTTATGGTGATTAGCCGCGGCAATTCAATTTTGAAGGTGGTCTTTTGCGGCAGTTTGATATTTAGCCGCAGCTATAGTTTTAGTCGCGGCGGAGGAACTGCGGTTCCAATTCGTGTCTGTAACAATTTTTTATATATAATCCTTCGGTCCTAAAAACCGGTAGGGGTATCAGCGTAAATAGAGGTCTTAAAAAAAGAGGGAGGAGGCTAAAAAAACAAGAAGGAAAAAAGGAAAGATGAAGCGCAAGTATAATCTGTGGTCATTTTGTTTCGGGGATTCAACAAAATTTCTTTTTAAAAAGAAAACATTGATACAAAAAGGTCGTCGTTTTCACTGCTGGGAATAAAATAATGGTATAAACGACGTTGTTTGATATTTGGGGATTTTTTTTTACCAAAAATTCAGATTTTTTCTCATACATTAATTTGAAATTGAATTTATGCATTCTCCTTTTTGCCCCCAATAAGTCGCTGACGTCATATCAAGGTCATCCGACGTACGAGATCAATTTGAAGATGGCCCTGGATATTTCTTGCGTATTTAATTTCTTGTCTACTGTGCCTTTATATTAAGTATAAAGATTAATAACTACATTATTTAATTAATTTTTTTAGAAAATAAATTTTCAATATTGACAAACCCGCGCAGAGCGCAGGACACATACTAGTTGATTAGTAAAAGAAGAAATGAATTATGCTTCAAAGAACAATGGGGAAAAATTGCAATAACCGAGTATCTCTTGCTCGTATATATGTTGAAACAAGTCACCCAAAATGCATATACTCCCCGACCCAAAATAAGACTACAGTTTGTTATATATTGCTTTAATTTAATCAACAGTCTCAGGGCAGAACAACTTCACCCAGAATGAATACACCTTCTATACAAAAGTAGTTTTAGATTCATTGTATTATTTCAGTACAACAAATAAAACTATTATTTTAGAATTACGTCCATAATTTGTTCTGCCTATGGGATGAATTATTGAATTGATTATTGATATTTTTTTATTACTGCTAATTGGTAGTCCACTTACAGTCGCAAGCAAAGTTTTTGCTCAAGGAATCAGGGATTACAGTCGCACAAATAGCAAAATTGCAGAAAGGGAACGAAGCAAGTGGAGATTGAAATATCATTTACAAATAATAAAATAGAATTTCTGAAAGAAGCATTGTACGGGGTCGAAATTACATCGCACTCAGCAACAGATTACACGATTGCTACTTCTCAATTAGAGGAAATCACATCTCCATCTCATCTTGCAAAAGGATTTCATATATGTCTGTCCGCAGGTTGAGTTCTTTATCTCTCATGACTTCTTGGAGATCTGACAGCTCTTTCGCGGTTAGCACGGAACTAAGGCTGATAAAACCATCAAGCCACAATATTTTTGACCTGAGGAAATGATGAACATGTAATTAGACAGCAACAGAAAGACAAGGTACAAACTTAGCATGTTAAACAAAGGATTTCTACATTTATCAATTCTCTGACTTTAATGGGAGGTCTAATTTCTAGCCAATAGACAAAAACTAATTAGTCCACGGGCTTAGCTTATGGCAACAATAATTGTGAAGTTCGAACCACACTTACCATGGACAAGCGTGAATTGCTCTAAAAAACACTTTTCTTGCTGCAAACAAGTCGCCTGTTACATTGATTTCATAGGCAATGTACCAACGCCATAGTACCACCGAGTCGTGGAACTTGTCACTTTCCAATGCCCTTTCAAATACAGCACGTATTCTATGCTGTGAACTTCCTTTGCTCATCTCATATGCTAATGAGAAGAAGCATGCAACCACGGATGGAGTCCTGAAGAATGTGCACCATCAATAAACTAAAAAATAAAGAGAGTAAAATATAGGACTCCAATCTGCGTCCCATTAAAATTGCATAAAAAGATAATGGCCAACTCAAATGGAAATGTCAAACATTGGCACTTGCTTGATACCCTATTTATGCAAATGAAAATCTACCAAAGATATCCGTGTGTTATTAATAGGTGATTTCAAAAAAAAAAAAAAGAATAGAAAAGAAAAAGCTCGACAAACTTACTTGCCGCAATATTCATCAAGAATCCATCGCATCCTATTTGGTGACATATGAAGATTAGTGAATTCAACCAAGACAGTGTACAAGTAAGGACTAAGAGGATACATCTGCAGTCCTTTGACAATTGCCTCCCACGTATTCCCAATCTTTATAACGTGATGATATTGACAAAGTATCTTTACGTAGCAATTGAATAAAATTTCAAGTTGATGACTACGACGCCTCCTTTCTGCAATGAATGAATCCCTGCAGTTAATTTGAGGCACAAAAGGAAAGAATAGAAGGCAAAGAATTGCTAAAAACAACTACTGTAAGATTTAATTTTAGTTGATAACACGTGGATGGAGTGGGCTAGGATAGAAACCAGGAAAAGAAGCATAATATGCTCTGAACAAGGCTAACATGCCGGCAGAGTGAAAAAAGAAAAAAGTTGACACCTGGGAGAACTAATCACACAACATAGAAACACAATACATAATACCCAGCGAGATGTAGAGAACAAGGGAACAACTTAAAATGGAAATGCAGAGCATCTAAATCGATATGGTCAGAAACCATACATTGATGTTGGTACACAGGCTACCAAAGAAATTAAAAGTTTATTGTTCCTGGAGTTGTATGGAGATGCAAAGTCGGTACTGGGTATAGAGGACAGATTTCAGACTTTCAAATTTGTGGAAGAGTCCAAATCTCAATTTAGTAGTAGCCCTTGAAACATTTTATCAAGTCAAGCATTAGAAATTCAAGCCATCAATGTTTTCTAAATCAATCATCACCAAGAAGCTTGACATGCGATTATTACAATAAGCCAAGAAATCAGATTCAATTCAGCAATGCAAAAACAAGCACCTAAAGTACCTGGAAGCACCATAGAGAATGCCATGTCCAAAATTTCAATAGCAGCGGCTGGACCAGTCGTCAACTCTTCAAATAGAGCAGCAGAGCAAATGAGAGCATTAGAAAAATCATTTATTCTACCATGTGCCCACTCTGAACCCAAAATTTTTATTCGTTCTTTAAACCCCTGTCGTGCTCTGAGCTGCTGCAAACTGGACGGTAGACCTCTATAAGGACTATACTTAATCCCACAACCCAAACAAGAGAGAATGTGCACAGCCCGTGAAGATGATTCTGAATTTTCAACTGTTTTATTTGCAACCTCCATCTCAGCATACCAGAGATGCAGAAGAGAAGCATTGGACTGAACATCCTGACCAATCATATTCAGAGAAACGCATTACACCATATGCAAGGTTTAGGCACACTACACAAGCACGGCACAATCACAATAAAATTTCATTCAGATCTCCAACATCTTATATAGATGTGACATCACTAGCAGTGAATAAAAACAAACATAAAAGACATCAGCGAAGAAAACTATGAATGGCAACTCTCCAACTAGTGATGAAATTATATGTAGGGTAAGAGTCAAACTTGGCTAGAAGTTTTCAATATGATGTTTCTTGTTCAGCCGTACAATTGGGGTAGTTGCTACTTTGCTCTCGTCCAGGAAGAAAATTTCTAACTCTAGGGCTTTAACTCAATACAAACGAAAAAACATCTACTAAATATTTCCTAAATGGGAATGTCTGATTCTCAAATTGGGTGTTTAACTCACAAAAAAGCAGGGACATACTTGAAACCCGAACAGACAACAGCTTAGTCAAGAAAACTTATCACAAATAAAGATCACTGCTGTAGACTGAAAAATCATTGTTTCCCACCAAAATAATTGTACAAGTTAAACTACCATTACAACTGATTACCAACAAGTTCAATACATCAAGGCTGAATGACATCATAAATTCCTACCAGTGGAAGCTCCCCAATCGATGATAATGCCATGTCGAAGATCTTTCTAGCATGATCAATGTTTCCATAAGCGGCCTCCCGTCGTGCGTAAACACCACAAAGCAATATATCCTGAGAAGGTCAAAATTAATGGTTTTCGAAGACCGAGAAGATTTTGCAATCTCAATGAGCATTGTAACCACACCCCCCCCCCCAAAAAAAAAGAAAAGATAGAAAAACAAAATGAAGGTAAAGAAGGAATAAAGAAAAAGAAGGAAGCAAGGAATACAAGTAAACTATATACGACATCAACATCCCCAGTATATTCCCAACCAAATTGGGGTCTGGGTATGTTAGCAGAAAATCAACCAACCAGTTAACAGAAAACCAACATATATTATCAATGCCAACTGGCTCGTCTTCACAGTCCATATAATACTTCAGTAATGTAACTATTATGCACACTTGAATTTCATAGATTTCGCTTGCATATATATATATATATATATATATATATATATATATATTAAAAGAAAAAAGAAAAAAGAAAGCACAATATGATCTTTAAATTCATAGCTACTCAAATCACCAAAAAAGTGGAATTTTGTACAATGTGCAAAACACGGTATTAGATGGTTAAGAATAGAACCTGCCGATTCCTTTTTAAGAGACTTTTTGCCAAGGCTCTACATGGAGTAACAGACGTCAGGGATGAATTCATTTGTGTGTTTGAAAGCTCTTCGGCGATGAGAACAGCTTCTTCCAATACATAGTTTTGGGGAAAAGCTGTCAAACAGAGCAAGGCAGCATTCCGAACAAACTTCATCATATTTGTCCTAGTGGCGCTCTCATCCGAACTGCTTTGAAGACATTCTGCAGGTATTCCAATTGGGTAGCTTCCCTTCTGAGATAGTACATCATGCATTTTTCTCAGTTTCTCGAGTATATTGTGTGGAAATGCCTCTAAACTCCGTACACCCTCATACCAACTCATACTATTCGTGCAATCCCTGAAGCAAGTAATAATCACCAACAACTGTGTAAGGGTAGTCATCTTTTAAATAAGAACCCAACAATCAAATGCAACTTAACAATAGAAAGCAAAAGAGAAACAATGGAAAAAAGAAAAACGTTCAAGGGTAAAACTAAGCAGAATGGTTCTTGATCTTCCAGAGAGCAAAGCCCAAAGAGAAAACATTAGATAAACAAACATAATAGTTTAAATCTGCTAAGGACAATTTTGCTTAGAGGATGAAAATAATTTTTAAAAAAAACTTCTTTTGTGCTTGACTCAAGTGATACACAACATAAAAAAGACCCGGTTAAATTTGGTAAGGGAAATGTTCTTCACTGCTTTAAGTATAGACAAGCAATTCCTGTAAACCAGGGATATCTTTTATAGGATAGAGAGCAGGGGCAATAGATCATCTTCAACTAAGTAAAACTAACATCCCTAAGTAACTGTCAAGTACATTCACCAGGTAGAAATTTTATGTATTAGCATGCAACTCTTTCCTTCAACAGATATAACGGGTATAAATCCGTCAGGCAGATATGCTGGAGCTAGTCTTATTTTGTTTTTAGAAGTTGCCAGCCGTTAATCCTACATATTTTAGGGCGTTTTAATTTCACAAAGCTTCTGCAATTGTTAAAAAAGGAGGAACTGTGTGGGGTGGTGAGAAGAGAAGAAAAAGAGGAACAATCTTATGTACCATTGAGGTATTCTTCCACCAAAGAATTCAATAAACTGTGAGACAAGAGATAATTGTGCTTCCTCAGAAATTAACGAGAACACAAAATCAGCCACATCTTCATACACTATAACTCTAAGAAGTTGCTCATCACCGTCAGCGTCAGCATCATGCGCCATCTTTGCTGCATCTGCCATAATCATTCAACAAAGAAAGTTTATTCACATGTACATTATAACCAAGCACTCATACTCAAAGCTACCATAATAGCTGTAGCTTTACCATAACAACATCAAAGAAGCTAATCCAATATAGTGCGAAAAACCTTGGAAGTCAGATAGAAGGGTCATGCGAAAAACCTTGGAAGTCAGATAGAAGGGTCATGCGAAAAAAATGCGTGCTATCAACCAAACCATAACAATTAACCATGAAACACAAGGATAAGGTAGAAAGGAACTGATCATGAACTCTCAGAAAAATGCATTTACAGAGAACTGTAAAACATACAAGCGAACTTTTTCTATGGATATCCAATTTTTCACACACACACACACACACACACACACACACACACACACACACACACACATATATATATACAGTTTCCCTTCTTTTTGTTTCCTTTTGGCTCTAAATTTGATTGTCAAACTTCACTAGGAACTGCACCTTAGTATAATACGGGAATGAACTCAAACTATCAAATTGTGGAAAAGCCACTAGTCTTCCTTCACAAACAGCATATAAGCAGTCATTAATTCTCACTGACTACCATGTCAGCCACTTCAAAAGTTTCAATCATTCAAGAAGAAAACAAAAGGCAGAGCAGTTATTCATATTTCTAGTTTTAGGGTTCAAAAATTTTGATGATCCTCCATAAGCAGAAAGAAAGCACCAAGTGAAATATCTCATTGTTTCAACTTTCAAATGTGAGTTCCAACCCCCTTTGTGGACACAAACCAAAAGAATCTGTATTTAGACAGAAATATTTACATAAAATAAATGTGAGTGTGAGCGAGAGGGAGAGTTACCAATCTCAGCACGAACAGGCATCCACTGATCACAGTCCCTAGCTAATTCTTCTTTTGACCACTTAGACCACGTTTTAACATCCTTTATGTCAATATTAGCATCTGCTGTAGTGTCAATGCCTAGTTTTTTCAACAGAGTCTCAGTATCATCATTTGTTGGCAAAATATCATCAGAATCCTCAACAGCCATATCATTGGATGCATTATTCTCCAGTGTGTCTCTTTCTTCCTCAGTTTTTGATGGTATTTCTGACCAACCAGTCCAACCACCTTCCTCAGATTCATGAGATGATTCTTCACTTCTAACCTTCTCCCTTTGTTCTTCCTCTTTTGCAAGCCATGTGGCCCAGCCAAGAGCACCATCTTCTCCAATTCTTGCACCATTGCTGTTCCAGAAGTGTTCAAAAAGCCTTCGCTTACTTTGTTCACTTAGAAGTAAAGAAGGACAAAACAAAGTATACTCAATCTCAGCCTGGAACAAAGCAGTTGCCAACTCACGGAAGCCAGCCTGCCATTCAAATCGGCAAAGGCTCAAAAATATATCAACTAAACCAAGCTCTAGATCAATAAGGTATCGATCAACAGTACGCCCATTAGAAACATTTTGCTGAACCTGAAATGAAACAGAGAGTGGATTGGTAAGGCTTCACACAAGGGACTCAAATTCATAAGTAGATTTCAACTTCAGGAGAAACAGAAGAGCAAACTGTTTGGACCACTTATCCAGGAAGTGAATTAGAGGCAATATCAGTTAACTCCAAGGAGTACCTAAAACTCTATGGTTGACATCGCCAAAAGGTCTAAATGTGGATGTATGCTACCATAGCGAGAAAAAGTGAACACAAACACAGGTACTGCTAGACATTCCGAGGATAGGGCTAGCTTTTCTACTTATGAAACAGTAAAATTAAACTGTTAGTACCCACGGTCAGCATCAGTTGTTAGCGTATAAAAAAAAGAATGTCTCGTATCAAAGGAATAGCCAAGCTGAGAAGTAAACGGAGACTAAATTAGCAGTATTTCCATTTCAACAGTCAACACTTCACCACGAAATTATAAATCGATTTAACCTCTCCCTAAGCAATTTAGAGCTAAATTTCTACAGAAAATTGGGTGCTAAAATTCGTTTTAAACTATCTCAATTTATATATCGTTCCATAAGATAATCATTCTCTAATATAACACTACTTACATCACTGCTCCTCATCTTTCACTTACTCCTACACAAAGCTTATCATATTTCAAAATTTTATTGCAGAGCAGGATACCAAAGTATTCCGATTTCCTACGCAACTCTGTGAAAGCAGTTCTCTTTCTGTTCTGTTCAGGGAATCAAAGAATCAACCAGAATCTACAGCAATTATCACGATGAAAATTATGTCTTCAAATATGCCTTTTCAATTTTCAAGTAACCATATGAAAACAGGAAGATAATACGGAAACTTTGTCTCAAACACTAAGCTAATGTCCACACTGTGAATGCATATCGTATCCTCGTTCACTGACAAAACTGACATGAAAATTTAAAATTTTCATATAAGGACTAACCTAAAATTCTAAAAAGTAAATAAATGAAATAAGAGAGATGTAACGGATTGTAAACTAGAAACATCAAACCGAGATTAGAAAGGAAGCGATAACCTATTGGACTATCAAAATCAATGTACACAAAAGACAAGTCACAAACAGAATAAAATAAAAATATCATCACTAAAAAAGGTAAACAACATGAGATGTGTGAAAGAGAGAACCTGCCTATACATCTTGCTGCAAGCACCAGACAACGCCTGGACAGCATTAGCATAAAATTTTCTCATCTCGGATATCTTAAATCTAGAAAATTCACCCTGAACAACTCGCAGAAATTCCCTCCACAACCTGTAACTTCCAGAATTCTGGACAAGTATCTTCTCCCATCTACCAATCAGAACATCTGTGCTATCTCGGCTGTGATAAGCCTTCAAGAGAGAAAGTAACAAATCTTCATTATCTGGATTTAGTTCAGTTGCTTTCTCCAATATACTGATCTTCTTCTCAAGTGTTTGCAAACGAGCCCCCTTTTGTGGCTGCATACTGGCAACTTTGTCTTGGAAATCAGCAAAGGCTATCCAGACTTTCTCATCGTGTGGTTTTTCTCTAGTCAACTTGTTATATTCTTTGGTTCGGCGAAGTACCTCATCTTCCCATGACTCCTCAACCAAATTAGTCACCAGTTGAGACTTGCTCTCCAAATCTCCATCATCCAGGAAAGAGATGAAATCATCATAGGTACTTGATACATTCTTCTCAAGGGGAAGAACGCGGAATCGCTTTAAGTTTCTATGCCGCTCTAAAGCAGCATACTGGGCAGACCAATACCGTCCCCCCAATCTAAGTTTAGAATCCAGTCCCTCAAGGTCATCATCACCATCAAAGACAGAAATGTTCCGGCCAAATCTATAAAAGCTAAAAGCAGATGTTTTCTTGGAATTGTGAACCTTGTACCGAGCAACATCCATCCTGCATGTTGCAGATCAATAGTCCCATCAGCGCATCATCACAACTAAGCTGTCTCCCATACTTAATAGAAGTGCAACTGGGGAATTACAAGCTCAAGTACATTTCTGGAAGCAATATATCAAAATGTATTCTGTATTCTAAGCAAAACTCTTCAAAATAAAACTTAAAAAACTCAGTAACTGAAATGCAGTGCAATCAGCCCAATCTTTACATCAATATGTAAGCAGTAAAACATCGTCCGAATTTCCCTTGAAGCTAAAGAACCTTTTCTTTCCCCCGCTGAAACTAACTTCCACACCTAATTCCCGCCAAAACATTTCCCCACCTCCAAAAAAATATTCCTCCAAGGGGTTGAACTAAATGCACCCTAAGATCAATTAAACTCATTTTCTTCATATAAACAACTGAAATCTCAAACTACAAATAACCACTTACAAAATCCGATGCTCTAAATCAGTTAAACCAAACTATACACCTCAACAGGAAAAATCGAAAAAAGAGTATAATTGGAGGGTCAATGGATCATAATCTCTAAATTTAAAATGTAAAAAACTTAATTAAAAAAAAAAACAACAACAAAAACAATCAACAAAGATAATGTACCAAGTGATGTTCATTACCTATAAAGGCTTCCAAATTCCAGATTGTTGCGGTCACCGCGGGAATCAAAATAGTATTCTTTGGTACTAGCAGAGCTAGTTGAAGACGCCCAGGTTCGAACATCAGGCTTCCTAGAGCCAATTGCATAGTCAGGAAATGAGGGCGTCGTACTGGATGATTCCTTCTTCCTCCTCTTCCTTTTCTTCTTGTCTCTATGTCTCCTCCTCCCAGTCGTTTCTTCATCATCACTGTGAGAGCCTCGATCCGAAGCGGAAGAGTTCACCAGTTCGTACTGCGGACCAGAGACTTTCCGTTTGTCTTTCTCTGCCCGTTCATCTTCACCGGAAGATGATTCTTCGAGCTGAATTCGTTGGTACGAAGTAGGAACGGCGTTGTTTAAGGCGCCAGCGTCGAACTTAAAGCTCGAATTCTGTAGCCATGCTCCGGCAGCAGTGTCGTTAGTGCTGGACGAAGGTTGAAGGAGAACGGGAAAAAGCGACGTCGTTGGAGGAGGTTTCGCGGGGGTTCCGGCGTCTTCCGGCTCCATGGGTGGTTGTGGTTTTGAAGTTCTTTCCGGTCTGACGAGAAACAGCTCCGTTCTTATTTTGACTTTTTTAGTTTTATTTACGCTCTTGGGATATGTTAAATCACAATCAAGCCCCTCAAAGTTTGCCCATATATTGTGTTTAGCAAAAGCCTCTTCATTATTTATTTATTTATTTTTCTTCATAACCCTCTTCCCTATTTGATTTGGCCTATTTTTTCCCTCCATTATTAATGTGCCAAAATGTTTTTGCAAATCTCAATAAGAGGGTATTCAGCTATTGATACTATTCTTCTTGCCTTATTGGCATAAAAATATATATAAAAAGGACAAGTATATGATAGGAAAAATACACCATAAAAATCAGAAACCTAGACTCAACAAAAATAAAAAATAAAAATGTTACATTTTTCATAACAAAATAGTCTACATTGAGTTTTGAAATACGTACGAATTATTTTTTTGGACAAAAATAGAAGCATTGTAAGGTCTAACAAAGAACAATTATATAATTGTGACGGTAAGAATTTTATTATGCGATCCTCTGATAGAGTTCTAAATATTCTTTATCGAATAATAATTTACATTTCAAAAACTTACTATAATTTTTTTTACATGATAACTAAAAATGTTAGTTTATACTTTTTTTAAGTGATAACTAAAAATGTTGTTTATACTTTTTTTAAGTGATAACTAAAAATGTTAGTTTATACTTTCAACTTATAAACTCATAAGTAGTTTTTTTTTTTTTTTTCCCAATGGTCCTCTTTTGGTGATACAATATATGTGTACTAAATGTTAGTTTTTCATTATTAAATGTGCCACATTATAAAGTAATTGTGATTGGAAGTATAGATTTGTAAAATATATTCATCCTTAGTTGTGAATTTCAGATAAAATTTATAATTTCCCCTATTTGTCGAAATTCATCAATTTCAAACGAGATGAATAGGTCAGCCAAAATTGGTTTTGCCCACTCATCACCCATAATCTTAGCACCGATCTCCGACAGAATTCCCATCAAATTCGGTCATCACCTTCACGCCGTCGCCGGGTCTTTCTTTTTCTCCTTCAAATCCGGCCAACCGTGGTTTAGCCGGTGATATTTCGGCATGGTTTTGCGTTGCTGTCTTAGATTTGTTTCTTTCTCCAACAAATTTTTGTCCAAATCATCGGACTGTCTCTGTTTGTTTTGAAATAAGTTAAATCTCTGAATTTTTTTTTTTAGTTTGTCTTTGTTTTTGTAGAAGCCAGTAATGGAACCAATCGATGAAGAAGCTGCGTTTGATATCGGTTTTGGAACTCATCAAGACGCAAGTTCCTACTGATATTGAAGTTTGGGGGAGTTGAAGCTCTTGTGTTGGTCATGTCACCTAGTTTCCTCTCTTTGTTATTGTCTTAAATTTGATGGTTGTAATTTGGATTTTAACTTCGTAATATGAATGCACCATTTACTTACTTAGATTAAGGTTCCTGTAGTTTGGCAATTTGGATTTTAGGATTGTAATTTGTGATTTGGTAGCTGAAAATTTCAGACTTTCAGACTTTATTCAAACATTAGTTTTTTCAGAATTATAATTTTTTTTAATTCTGAGTTAGCAGATCGGGTCACGGGTGATTTGAATATTTTCAAGTCGGGTTAGAGTTGTAAAAGTCGACCTGTTTATTTATACAGGTCAGGTTCGGGTTGGCTGTATTTTATTTGGGTTCGGGTCCAACCGGACACGCGACCCCAGACCCGACACTGATTGCCAACCCTAAGTATCACCAATCTTTGTAGTACAAAAAATAGTTAATCTATTTGCACATATTTGTCACAATCTTTGTAGTACAATTATTATTTTTCATTATAAATGTATAATTATTATTTTAACTAAAAATTATCTTTAAAATAATGATTAAAGCAAAATTTATATTTTAATATCAATTCAAATAAATTAATTTAACAAATAATCTTAAATTTGTTTTCAAGTAAAAATTAATTACTTGTTTCTTTTCAAGTAAATATAAAATCGAGAGTTTAAGCACTAAAGTATAAATATTATTAATAATATTTAAAGTACGAGGTATTTAACGTGTAACGATATTGCGAATAAACTAACATTAAAATAAAAATTAATAATTTGTCTGTTCTCACGTGAATTGGACCGAATGACTTGCCCGGTTCGGTCCGAGTGACAGAGACAAAAGAAAAATTCTTCAAAATAGATGGGTTCAAGTACTAATTTGGATGGTTAGAAAAATCCACCCGCTAAAAGAATACGAATAATTAAGTTGTAACAAATATTTCAAGGGAGAGGAGGCGACTCCTCCTCCCTCCTCCACCGTTAATGGGTAGGCGCTCTCACTACATTAAGGTTTTTTTTTTTTTTTCCTTGTAAATTTATCATTTTCTTACCTACTAAATTTTGTTCATAAAATTTTGCCTCACCTCTTTATAATTATCAACACTACCACTGCCCACTTGTTTTCATTTTTTTCCACAACTTTGGAAAATAGGTTACAAGCATTTGATAAAAGGACAATTTAACATCGGATGAATGCACTGAAAATATTCAAACAACAACTGAAAATTGACAAACACTAGGACTTTAAATGGAGTAAGTACCAGGAAGCCCTTGTAAGGAAAACAAAAGAGATGAAGAGCAAAAAGATGATTAAATTTGCCTGTGTTTTATTGTTCATTTTCTGGACTTCGATTCTTACAAATAAACTACACACTCCCCCAAAACAACTCAGCTGTGTCTCTTATATAAAAGGAAAAGACTCAGCAAAACCCTCAAAAATATGTAGATATCAACAAAAAGAAGGATGAGGGTAGAGGGGGGATATAGGACATTGATCAAGATGTACAACTACAAAAACTTGCAGCAAAAAACAACGGATTCTTCAAGATCCTATACATCCAATAATGAGCTAAAAACACTGCCATGATCGATGACTAGCTAACTATGTTCTATTGCGTGGGATCAAATTGATCTGATGCATAACTGAGTTTTGAGTGATTTGCAGGTCTGTTATCAGTTAAGCTCAACTTGTTCCGAAACCTGCTGATTCTTCAAGACCCTTTCTTTTCCAAAGCATTGAGGCCATCTTTTCTTGCAGCATATTGCTTTAAGAACTTGTTAGGGTTAAGGCATGCATTTCCAAAGTACCAAAAGATAAATTGAGATGATTCACAAATCGGTACCGCCGGAAACATCTTGGATTTAGAAATGGAATGAAGATCCAAACATCTGGTCAAGAATGATAACCAGGGCCATAGCCACAGCAGAGTCGATCAATCCGGGCTCATGTAATATAAGACGGAACACATCCGCCCCAAAAACCACCTGCCCAACAGCCTCTTTCCGCTTGATCTCCGCCACACACCGCCTCTTATCGTCGTACACGGCGCAGCACCGCCGTGAATATGAGCCCTCAATCTCATACTTCACCTTCTTCACAGAAGCCATCCTACTATATTTATTGCCATTAATTCCATCATGATCCCCACAGATAGAGATGGCACTCACTTGAGCTATGGACGTCGAATTCAAGATATTCACAATCTTCCTAACTGAAAACCGAGGATTAACCGCTTCCTCGCCTTCAAACACCAGCCAATTCTCAGCCAAGCTCAACCTCTGCATGGCAAATTATTTATTCATTCATCAGATTAAGACCAAAAGTCTTAAAGAAACTATACCAAAAAAAAGAATCCCTAATGAAGTTCTAACCTTGCATAATTATAACAAAATGGCCTATGAAAAGACAGAACATCAATATTCACAGAGGAATTAATTCAAACGCGATATGTACCTTACGACGGATGGTTAACAGAGACTTGCCGGAAGCGTCCATCAGAAAGATCTCTCCTTTACCGCTGGCCAAATAGTTATCAACCCGAAACACTAAGTTCCCTTTTGAATCAAACACCGTAAAACCATCACAATTAAGGAGGAGGGATTTCTTCCACACTGTAAGAGCTACAGAACCCGAATCAGCACAAGGCTTGGAATACAATTGATGATGATCATGATGATGATCTGCAGAAGAAACTGCAGCTGCTGCATTTGGATGTACTTTTCTTGTCATTACTAAAATGGAATCAATTCAGAATGGAGAGGAAGAAGATCTGAAAAGGGTTTGCTCTGTTTTTCTCAACTTTCTTCTACTTTGAGCTTTGCAGATTTCGTGTTAAGAACTCCAACACTATATATATCAGTTTGCCAAATGGTCCATGAAAAAAGATTAGGATTGGCCTTTTTTTTTATTAATTGTCGGCCATCCCAAAGAAACGTCATAATTGGAAGATAAACAAAGCGGTCCACCCAATAATTTGTGTCCTGTTCTTCAGTTATTTTGGTTAACTAGATTATCTGTACAATTTGTTTAATTAGCGTTGGATTGTCTTTGTTAATACAAGGTTTAGATGGGTTTAAGTTGGTGAATAAATAAGGATTAAACAAATTTGACTTGGAGGAAATATGTGGTTGAGGATGAATTTGCGGTGAGATATTTGGTATTTGAAAAATAATTGATGTTTTGGACTTTTTTTTGGACGGTTTGTGCGGTGGCGGTGCAGTCCTGGCCCCAAAAAGGATTTGAAAAAATAAAACTCCAAGAACCAATTATGACTTTCCCACTTATATAATATACTATTTCTAGCAAATCATAATGATTATTTAGATTATCAGGTAACAATGATTAAGGTCATGCTTGCTTGTTTGTATCGATTTTCTCTCTGGCTACTAATGTTGACGATAATTGTTACTCTCTTTGCATTGAGTCATGGACGTCTCCATATTCTATATTGTACTACTACTAATTTAAAACATTTAAACACATATGATTCGGTTAAGGAGAAAGAACATTCATCATTGAATCATATTTCTTTTGGATAACTGTATATTTTTAAATAATTAATTCCACGAAAAAAAAGAAAGTAATCTGTGTTGGGAAATAAATTTCTGATCCTTCAAAATATAAAATGAATTAATTAAGCAACTTAACACGTTACCATATACTCCCTCCGTTAAATTTTCATTTCTAGTTCAAATTATACTAAAACATATACTCACTCCGTCTCATAATTATTGTCCAGTTTAAATTTTCATTTCTAGCTCAAATTGTACTAAAAGTGAAATCTCAAACTGGACAATAATTTTAGGACGGAGGGAGTAATATTTATTCCTGGAAGTCACCCACACTTTGAATATTTTCCTCTCCCTAGTATCGAAATAAATAGGGATGAAGCTATACTAAATTTAAGGCTTCTTTTTTTTTTTTTGTTTTTTTCTTTGAAAAGGGATTATTAGCATTGTTGAATCTGTAATGAAACTGGGAATTTTTATAATTTGAAGTAGATGATAGTGTACCTTGGTTTTTGTGAAGAAAAAAATAAAGAAATTGCAAAGTACGACGATTTACATTCCAGAGAGAGAAATTGTAGAATACTAATAAACCGAAATAACACTGAATTACATTCAGGATTTCTTCAAGAGTTGAAGATCTTCCGACTGTAAATCGAGATGGTGTTGTCAAAATTAGGGTTGAGCATATGTGATGCGATTCAGGAATTGATCGACGCCGCCGTCGTCGACGATAAAGCTCTCGCCGATTTCTTCGCCGGGATTTCCGCCGCCCTCTCCGCCGCCGGTGTGGAAACCTCCATCGTCGCTGACGTGAAAGTCAAAATCGGAAAACCCATCAATCTCGATAACCTGGCGAATCGAAGCGAAGTTCGTGATAAGCGCGAAATCATCTACCGAGCTGTGTTCGACGAGCTCTGCCGGATTTTCCATTCCGGTCCCAAACCTCCCTGCGTACCCGAAAAAGGCAAAACCAGTTTCGTATTTTTCGCGGGTCGGGAAGAATCGGGCAAAACGATGGCGTTTCTGAAGTACGCTTATTATCACCAGAAGAAAGGTTGGAAACCTGCAATTGTTTGTGCTGATAAATACAGTGTTCAAAATGTTGCACTTCTTCAGCAGATTGCTTCAAAAGAAGGTGAAATCCCTATCCATTGTCCGTCAACATACGAGAAAAGCGATGCAATTAAAAATGCAGCTGAAGGTGTGAAGAAATTCGTGACGGGAAATCATCATGACCTTATCATTGTTGATGTTTGTATGGATGATTTGCCTCAGTATTCATTAGATCCGATACAGAATCTTCTCATCTGGGTTACGAATAGTACTGTTGGTAGGGCGATTAAGATTCGTGCTGACTTCCATGGAGGTGTGATTCTTACTAGGATGAATAACCATCCCCTGGAAGGCGGTTGTCTTTCTAAACTCGCATCGGCAAAATGCCCTGTCTTGTTCATTGATACGGGCGAAAAGATGGATGAGTTTGAAGCTTATGATGTGAAAGCATTGGTGAATAGCGTGTTAGGCAATGGTTACTGGTCCGGTTTCATGAGAGAATTCGAGAAATTCGTTCCAAAGGATGAACAGCTCAAGCATTTCCAAAAGGTTAGAGATGAAGGGAAGTTCACATTAAGGACAATGCAGGATCAGTTCCTAACCATTCGTAAGTTTATGTCCATTACAGGGCGCTTACTGAAGCACCCCGCATTTCAGTTTAGAATGAAGCCTACAGAAGAAGCAGGGAGTGAACCAGAAAAGATAACCAGTTACTTGGAAATGATGAAGGTTATGAGTAGCCAAGAGTTGGATAGTTCGGATCCGATTAAGTGGATCAATGAAGATCGGATCAAGGAGATAGCAAATGGTTCTGGCTATGAAGTTGTTGATGTAAAGAAGATGTTGGAACAGCACAATCACATGGCGAACTTGTGGAGGGAAATGGAGGGAAGAAGGAAACAGGAAGATTAGGCCCCTTCTCGATTATGTTGATATAACATTTTGTAGTTGAGAATCTTGTGTTTACACCTTTTTATCTTTATTTGGTTGAAGAAAGTATTATAGACTTGTGTCCTGCTCTGTTATATCTATATTACATAAAGATTGGAAAAAGATGCCTTATCAACTTCCCTTTCCCAATCTTTGTCCAACACAGAATATATCATTCTAAACGTATTGTTGCAATCAAAGATAAACTTAGAAATATGACGGAAAGCGTATACCTTACATCTATTGACTAAACAACAATGCCTGCATCGCTATCTCAGCACCGGTGTTCCCCTTCCGAATTGCCTCCCTACGCTCAATACACATGGGTAGATGATCATGGATGGATTTGACCTTTTCGTGTGGGTCATCCCAAGGAAAGTTTCGAACATACTTGCGTATTAGACCTATGCGGACAGCGACATCCAAAATGAATCCAAACTTTGATTTGTGTGTGTGTGTGTGTGTGTGTGATTCATTTGACAAGCAACAGCAATTAGACTCTCTATTCATCGTGCTGAAATCATGTTTGTTGAACTAATATCTTTTCCCTTTTCAGAGAAGAAAATGCAACAATCCTTCAACAATCATAAAAGGGTAATACACAGAGCTTGAACCATTATGGACTTATCCTTTCAGAAATAACACTATATTCCAAACATCATAATACTGATGCATTCTCCCTCACTTGCAGATTTCAGTTTCCAGTCACAAGTCTCTGGATGAAATCGTCCAGAATAAATTCACTAGGTAGCATAACCCCTGAAGTTCCCGTGACTAAGAAACAGAGAAAGGGGATGGAGGGGACTGGGGAGCTGCATCGGATAACCAGGCCCCAAGTCCTAAGCTGTCGGGATTCAATTCCAACCCCATCAAGCTAATTAAAATTGTTGGAAACAATGGTCATCCTCAAACACTTAAAAAGTGAAGCATTCTACAGAGGCTGCTTTTGCACAAATACAGAGCGGCCAAGAAGTTATAGGCAAGCCAAAATTGGATAAGCCAGAGCCAGCTATCGCACAAGCTTTTTACTAGATAGCCTAAAAAAATGATCACACATCATGTACAACAAGATTTGGAGTTCCCTTCCACCAGTAAAGGTAAAACTAAAATGAAACCTACAGTTAACATATGGCTCATCCAATCTTACATCCTTTGGTTGAGTTCAGTCATAATACAAACTCAATTTTGAGGGAAGAAAATCTAGATACTACCTGTTCACACCTTCGATTGCGCAAGCATGGGGAGTTGGAATCCAGTAAGGATCAACTAAATCAACAAAATCCAGAACTTTCTTGGAGTTTCTCCCCCAGCAACACCAGCGCGTGAGCTCAGAAGCTCGGCGGATTGAATCAAGAAAGCAATTCCAATCCCGTTTAAGAAGATATCGGTTCATAAGGGTATGACAGCCATGGGTGTTTAAGAGCCTCTGACGCTGAAGGACGCTTCTTTGGATTCACTTCAAGTAGATGGGCCACAAAGTCAATGAACCCTTGATCACCCATAGGTAATCGATGCCTAAGTGACGTCTTTTTCGGGATCAAATATTCCAACCTATTGGTCTCCTGGAAAAAGTAATAAAAGCAAATAAATGCAGAGACCACAACCTAGCACAATATACTAGTTTATGGATCTTACATACTCCGCATAAAGCTGAAGATGGTAAACTTTACCTGATTCCGTTCATAAAGCATGTGATTTTTGGTAAAATATTTGTACGTATCCCGTCCCTTTGCAAGCATTCCTTGGTCAATCGATCCTATGATTCCAATAACACGAGCAAGTAAAGTCGCAGGAGAATCGTTTTGGAAGAGCACCTAAATCATCGCGGAAAGAGTTAAACATCAAGCAAATTGAGAATAAAATCAGCATCATGAAATATCACACAAATTAAGGCCTTAAGAGAATACAAGTAGAGTTTAGATGAGAAAAGATCCCAAAAACACATCTTCATCCTCTAAGTCAACATAGCAACTGCAAGAATCCATCACTCCGCTTAAATCTTTAGACACACAATGCAGACCCTCCACAAAATACGAACCAGAAACGAATTCGGCATCTGGCATTTCTTCAAGAAAATGGCTTTTGTTTTTCAAACATTTAATGCCAACTACCTCTTGAGCTTCATCAACACAAACCCCTTATCATTAAGGGTAGATTCATAAGACTTTGACAAAAACAAAAACAACCAGAGATAAGAAAAACACATACGTTACCCATTAACTTTTACAGTTTGATATGTTTGTAGCTCACAATTTCGAATGAAAAGTTTATTCTCCAACTACTGAAATATATCGCCTTATTAGGTCCCTTCACCAATTTTTGTCACAAATGACATAAAAAAAGATCAGATATGTATAATGTGAAGGTAATGGTGGTAAAAATGTGTCGATACACATTACAAGTACACATTTTCCATTTTATTAAATTCATAATCCTATGAAGTACATGAACTATCATTCTGATACTTTTACATTTCAAATAACTCAATGAGATGAACATGAAAATTCATGTTAACAGAATCAAGGACAATCCATTTCAAAAAGGGGGAAAAAAAAAAACAGAAAAAAAAGAAACATTATCGATTTTTCCAAGCTAGAAAGATTAGACAAAAAAATGAGACTATTTTTATAATTCAAGCCAATGTATTTTTTACTAATCAAGACTATAGAAATACTTCCCAAGAATATAATGTCGATAACTTACATTTCCAGTACAAAGTTCGGCCAAAATGCAGCCAAGCGACCAGATATCAATCTTTTTATCATACGGAAGACCCAAGATGACCTCAGGCGCTCGATATGACCTAGATTGCACATAGGAACAAAGATGATCTGTTTCAAAACAGCTGCTTCCCAAATCAATGACCTTCACCTCACACCGACTGTAGCTTTTGACAAGAATGTTCTCAGGCTTCAAGTCACAATGTATAAGGCCCAGACCGTGCAAAAATTGAAGTGCTTCCAAGCACTGAATAGTTATTGACTGCAACATTTATTCAGATATGCATGAGATAAAACTATTATCAACATGGTTTTAATCATCAAAAACATCATAATGCTACAAACCTGAAGTCTTGGCATAGTAAAGTAAACCTCCCCGCCAGATTCTCTATTGAATTTATGAAACTCGTACAAATTAGCCTTCAGGAGCTCACAAACAATCAATAAATGTTCCTGAAAATACAAACAGATGCTATCTGCCATTAATTTCACCATCCAACAATCTTTCGATAAAATACACATTTACTATGATTTAAATAAGGTACAGAAGAAACTGGGTTAGAAGAACGACCAAGAACTGAATAGGTCCACTTACTCTATAGTAAAAATAATCATACAAGCGAAGAAGATGGTATCTGTCACCAGGATCGTGCTTATTCACATACTTGAGAAGCTTTATCTCATCAAGGCTCTGATCAAAAAAATCCTTGTTGTTCTTAATAATTTTCACACACACATCCATGCCAGTGTGAAGGTCATGTGCTTGGATAGCTTTACTAAATGCCGCGGATCCAAGATACTCAGTTACATGATAACGCCCAGCAATGACTGAATTCAAAACAACATGAAAGTTTTTATCCTCCTCAAAGCCAGTCCTGAGCAACAAAAAAATTTGGTGTAAGAGAAACGAAAAAAAAATAAAAACATAAACGACTCCTATAAAGCAATCACACGAAGACCTACAATAGTTAAAATGCTAATGCAATTATTTCTAAAAAGAATATATAGGCATTCTCAGAGCACATAGTGAGAACACAATAAAACTCGAGTTTAAAGGAAAATGAACTTAGAAAACCCAAAACTGAACATTTCCTCATTAGCACTTATGAATTTTACAATCTCCAAAAATGTTTCACCGTAAAGGGAAGGATAAACCTCTGAACCATCACTATTCAAGCAAGATTTCGGCAGCAATTAAGTCCCAGGATTTGTAATACATAGAAATCATTCTCAATTTTCAGGCTCCCAATTATTTCGGCACATTTGATGACTGACAGAAGTTTTAAGGCTGACAAGGATAACAATACCCATGAGATCAGAGAGCAAGAATATACTGCTGTAGCAAGTTTCTTCTGTTCTTAACAAATTTTAAGCAGACTAGGATCAAAACCATCTTGAGGCAGTTCCATGTCTTTTTCTAATAACTTAATAAGAAGGCAGCATTGCTAGCCAAACACTCCTTTTTATTTCAATACATTAGTTGTCGGGACAGAGAGAAAATGTATCCACCCAAGGTAAATCCTTTAGATCTTACATCCTATCCTAGTATATATTGCATCCATTTTCAAGGAGAAACACACTCAAAGATTTCATTCTGATTAAGTGAATACCATGAAATAAACATTAATCTGAATAAAATTTATGGTTGTAGCACCTAATTCAGCAAATGAAAAGAAAAATCTTAGCTTAGGCATGCATCAACAATGCCAGGACTAAGTAAAGCCAGTAAGCTGTTTCTTTCTGCTTCATAAGTCAGAATTACCTTGCTGAATCTATCATGTAAATTCTCGTCTGGAACCAAGTTATTTTCATAAAAGTAGAACGACATAGGTGTAACAACGTTTGGTGTTTCATATAAAAACAGGGCCCCACAAGATGTTTAAGACAAAACTGACAACTTGACACATGCATGAAGTGTGCCCCGAAGCCAAAATACCTTGCATGGAAACCTGTACACAGTTGTCTTTATACAACTAGCCTGAAATTTTACAAAGATAAATACAATAGAAAGCCAACAGAAGATAAATGTGCAAAGTTTATGTATCCACAAAATGTGAAATCTCAACAAAGCAGATCTTTCAACAAGTATCAGGATTATTCATAGAGATTCAAGGACTCCTCAAAATAAACGAATTCCAAATCTTCAGGTACAACCCAGCGAAATGACAAGAAACTTCTAGCACATGAAACAGCTAAGACAAAGCTAGAAACAATACCTGTTTTTCCGATGCACGATTTTAAGATCAAAGGTTTCAAACTCTTCCTCCTGTGCCTTTATCTGTTTCACTTGCTCTTGCACAGCAATAGCCTCTTCGTCCTCTAGTAAGGCACCTGGATCTTCTTCTGTTGCTCTTGATCTGGCCAGTACAACATCTTCTTTCTTTGCATGCTCTGTCTCACCATATGCATAATTAGAAAATGATGAAGGGCTAGAATTTGCAGATCCCGCAATGTTAGCATTGCTTTCTTCCTTAGAACTCTTCACAGGTGATGATTCACTGCTTTTACGCCTCCAAGGAGCGAGCATGTCATCATTCGTCACCATATTATCCTCGGCTTCATCACTCACAATAGCATTCCCTTTCTTAGACCACGAAGGTTTTCCAGAGGTCTCCTGAACCAACTCTTTATCTCTAGGAGGAGGAAAGGAAAACCCACCATCCGGGTGATTTTTGGCCTGAGAATACACATCTTTATCAGTTGCAGCTATAAAGTTATCTACATTGCTTTTGCTTGACTTCCTTTTGTCAGTTCTTGGAAACTCACAGTAGTTCTTCTCTGAATCACGCTGTGTTCGTCTAGACAATCCAATACCAATTTCTGCATCAGGGTAGTACTCTAAATCCCCCTCACTGCTACCGCCAACCAAACTTTCCCTGACCTCACTGCCTATATCAGCAGCATCACTATTAATCCCTACTCCTATTGATCTTACTGAACCGTGCTGATCGTCATCCATTCCATCATCTAACCGAGGCCTTCCACAATCATTCACAACTTTCCCATCACCTAACATGATAAGTTCATTTGTCTGTGTGACAAAACCTTGCCAAACAGGCTCTGCCCGCATCAAATTCAGTTCCTCCTCATCCATCAATTGTCCATCATAATGTGCAATGAGATCATTCTCATCACCTCCTCGATACATTCCAGTCATCGACAGCCCTATAGGATCATCAGAAGGGCCAACGGGATCAACGTTTTTTGACTGGAAATACTGCTCCCCAGAGAAGTAGGAATCCTCTTCTGCAAATGACTGATCGTCCTCATCATTTTTGTTTTGTCCTCTATCTTGAGGATCTGGGACACTCCCATGTCCTGTCCCCTTCTCATTGTCACTTGGATAATCAATTTCATGGGCCAGAAACCAGGTCTCATCTTCAATAGGCTGTCTCATGTAGCCAACATCATCATCATCATCATATTCATCAGAGTCCCAATACTCATTTGGGTAGTCAATGGATTCACTCAATCCATCGCCAATAGTTGCAAAACCAGACACTAGATCAGAAGTATCCTCAGATATCCCCTGACTTACAGATAACCAGCTGCCTCCAACAGGCCGTTTATTACCTACATCATACAAAGAAGTTACTTTTCCAAAAAATATTGACAAACTAAACTCATTACCTACATCATACCAAAAAAATAGTCACTTTTCCAAATAAAATTGACACAAAACTAAACTTAACAAACCAAATTAACTGCACAACTTCTAAGATACATACAGTAACAAATCACTTTAAGAACAAATTATATACAGTTTTCAAAAACACATACAAATTGTTGAACTCCAATCATGACATTGATAAAGAAAAGAAAACAATATCCATCGTCCTACTCAGACTACTGTTTTCAGTACGCTAGCAAATGCCAGTTGGTTGAAACCGCATCTGTTCTGGAGTTTTTTCACTGTTAATATAATAGTCTTCAAAAGTTTCTTTTAATCTTTTGGGAACTGTTTGTGATCTCATCAGGCCAAGGTATATGCACCAAGACAATCTGGGGCAGTTTCTATTTCTTTCTTTCTCTTTTTGGCATTCTTTCCACAGAACTAAAAAGACTCTCCACTTAACGCTTGCAACCATGAAGGATAAGGCTAACGCTGACTCTTCTCATAGAAATTGCCAACTTTTTCTGCAATAAAATACCAACTTTTCTGCAACAAGTCAACCTAATACATAACCTAACAATCTAAAGATTAAATGAACTCAATGATAGAAGAATGACCTTTAAGAGTTACAGTTCTCCAAAAAACAAAAAAACTTCAGTCCAGAAACAACACTAAGTAAATATTGCACTTCAGACATTAAAACTTCTAAAACCCGGTTGTGGTGTCAGTTCAGAGAGGGAAATAGTGGATTAACATTTTAACTACCATGCAACTACAATAGATGCTGGCTGTCAAAGGGAAAAAGATTGTAAGCTCAAATGATATTAGCCCGAAAGAATATCACGCGGGCATACCTGAAGGGTTAATTTCTTGTCCAATTGAACCATCCAAAAATGACCCAATAAGGTAAGTATTATCTGAAGTCGTACACTTCGAGCCGATTCCATCAACTTCAATCTTCCCTTCCCAACTGTTGAAGGGTTTGTCTTCTGACTTCAGTTTGACAGGAGGCAGCCTAGGAAACTCTTCCTTCTGGTTTTCATTGGCATGAGTAAAGTAGCTGTTAAAATCTTTTGGCTCACTCCCATGAGTCCTTGCAAGGTATAAGGCTCTTCCAACCTCATCTACCTGCTCTTTTATTGCAGCCCGAATATCATTCATCTCAGTCTTTCTTTTGACTTCCTTTTTGTCACCAGTAGTGATGGTACTATCATAACTGGTTGATGTCTCACTTTTATAAAATGGGAGAATAGTTTTCACAGAACAGTCTTTCCAAACTTCAGAAGACGGGTGCGAGAGTTCCTCACTTCTGGGCCATGGATAGTCCCCAGAATCATCTTTAATGCTCCCTCCTGTTTGCCTGTGTGGTGGGTCAACTTCTTTAAGATCAGCATCTTGAATTCTCTCATGTTTCAGTTCCAGAGTTGACTTATTTGAACTTCCAGCCCATGTAATTCTCTTTTCACCAGAAGGGTTTTCATCTTCCCCACATTTAGCATTAGCCTTACCACTCTCCATAACCTCACCTAAACTAAGCTTTGATCTCCCAGAAACTTGAAACCCTGAAAAATTGTTCAGGCTAACATTTGAAACATCATTCTGACCAGATACAATTGGGCCATTACTGTGAGCATGTTTCCACGCATGCAAATCCAGCACCAAATCATCTGAACCCTTTGAAAATGTAACATTTTTGTCGCTTGCTCCAACTGATTCATTCATTTTGCTCTTCTCTCCAGAACTGGACATAGTCTTCCACTTCTTCTCAGACCCATTTTTATCTGTTCCGCATTCTATCTCTTTGACAATAAGCTCGTTAGAAACTTCACCACTGCTCCGTGAACTGGAGTCTTTCAAAAAATCCCCACTGCCCCGAGAACTATTTGCTACGTTTTCTAAAATCGGTTTTTCTCCATTTACTTCTTCAAATGGAGTGCTTATTCCCTTATCCTCAAGCATAAGCTTCTGAAAAAGACCATTTAAATCAGGACGGTTACTCAGCTCACTTCGTAATGCAGCCTCCGCCCTACTAAAATTGTTCCTCCTCAAAAATTCCAAGATAACATCAACTTTGCTCGAGTCAGCCATTCATGAAACTAATCAATACACAGCTCCTAAATCAAATAGGAAAAAAAAGCCCGCAACTAGAAGCAACTCCCACAAGTACCTGAAAACAAGAGTCGTAACGAATTAAACCTTACCTACTTAAAACCACAACCAAAATCAAAGAAATGCATATATTCATCATGCTCCCAATGTACATTACATCTGTGGTGGGGGTTTGATTGTAGGATATTAATCATACATACGTGGTAAACCAAAAAGGCAGCTCAACTCAAGATAACATTTTGATGGTCAGCCTAATAAAAGGTTAACTCGCAAGAAATGACCCGAAAGGAAACCAATAATCCCCATTCAATATAGCAGGATTTCAAGATATCCAGAAAGAGAAAATAGGGAAAAGACGATTAATTTCTTGGGATTCTCCCGCATTTCCTCGGGAACAGAGCGGGAAAACCCTAGCAAAAAATCACCCGCCCAATCATTTCAAGATCTGGGAACGGCCAATTAACTCAAACCCTAAACAACGCCCATTACATTTTACTCCGAAAACACAAGAACAAGATTCAGAGAATGAAAAACAAAAACTTCAGTGGGATTACTGGGAATCGAAACCATAGTAAAAACAAACTTACAGATCGAAACACAGGTCATATCCGCAACCAAACACACATCTTCTTTACACAATAGTGATGATATTGATTCCTTCGCCACCATTTCTAATGTGACAGGTGAATGAAAAAAAAAAAAAAAAAAAGGCTTTCCTTGTATTTTTTAGCAAAACATTGCTTTCTGTGGAGTGAGGAAGTGAAATATTTTCGAGCAGTTTTTGGGTTGTGAATCTTGTTTTTGATTTGATTTTTCTTTTTTCTTTTTTTTCTGGATTTTGCTTTTTCCTTTCTGGGGAAATTCTCACTTTTGCTAGGTGATCAGGAGAGAGATTTTGGTTAATACTTATTTTGGGGGGCTCAATGTCTGTCCTAAAATTTTCTAGGAATCTCATTTAAGTCCCTTTGAAGTTTGAACTCTTCGATTGAGATTTGAGAATATGCCCAAAATTCCCCCAACGTGTCACACTTACGTCTATGTTAATTAAAGCAAATGTATTCACTGTCCAATGTCCACCAATGACCAATCGTTAAATTCATTGGTCAAATTTCTCACCTATTTGAAATTTTATTACAAGATAAATCAATGTTACTGAGATTATTTCTCTGTCTTTAATCCTAGGTTGAGTGTTCGAACTTCTCTGCAAACATGAAGGAACCTTAAATTCTTTAGACAGCTATCACACCGATCAAGATGTCTACCATTAGTGAGTAGAATTAGTCATTATTGTTGATGGTGAACAATATTAAAAAAAAAAAAAAAGAAAGAAAAACAATACATTCTCTATTTAATAATATGGTCCACTATTGCATTAGTTAAAGGGTAAGACTGAAAGGAACATTTTGCTGGTTATCTGAATAGCCTTGATTTCCTTTCAGTTTTAGACTTTTAGTTTCAAAATACTTAAAATGAAAGACATGCAAGACAATGCGTTGAAAATAAGAAAATATCAATGCTGTTTTTTTCTAAAAAGAACACACTTTTTTTAATTCTGAATTGGAAATTGCCGTATTCTTGGTGGACAGTAGAAAAAATTGTCTAAAAATATTTTTTCAATTAAGATTTTTGCAATCTATAAATTATATTTTACCAAAAAACAACTTACTAAAAAAAGCCCACGAGTAACCATCATTTTTCTTAATGCGTTTACTCCAAAAAACCTAAAAGAGAGGATGAGAAAATTAGTGTCTATAGAAGTTGTCAAACACAATATCTAACCATGGAACAAGTGTTTGTGCAATATTTTATATTTTGTAAAATTAAACATATTTTGTTTACTGATGTGGTTACACGTATAATACTTATAATACTTAGATATTTAGTCAACGCTATAATAATAATACATAGTATTAAACAATACCTCTAGATAGAGATGAATGAAAGAATTTTAAAATGCTAAAAGAAATTGTTGAGACTCTAAAACAATTGATCATTCAGATCGTTAAACGAGTGTACAAAACTAAGAAGAAGCTATAAAGGATGCAATTGATGAAAGTAATAGGAATGGTAACTTAACATGTTATTTCTTCTTGAATGCAAACAATGTAAACAAGAGTAGGTGAAATGATGAAAGCAAAATTTTGGTTGGTAAAATTAATACAATATTTACATGTTTCCAGGAAGAAAAAACAGAACACACACACACAACAACAATATAAAAATAATAATGATGAAAAAGCCAAAGCCAGATCTTGTAAGGACTAAATTGGTAGTTTTCAAAAGGATTGATTCCTTAAATAATAATATTTCTGGCCAATACACTAAAACTAATTTCTTAAAATGTTTGAATATGACTTTCAGGGTGGTTTTGGCTCGATTTAATCTATTGAAGTTTAAATTAGAGATTCAAATAAGTAATGTGGGCCACTTGGCCTACTGGCTCCTGCTGTAAATGTTTCTCCTGGCCTGCAAAATTTTCAGGCCTGATGGGAAAAAAAAAAAAGAAGAAGAAATTATTAAACAAGGACAATAATTTAGCTAAATAATACTCCCTCCGTCCCATAATTATTGTTCACTTTGCCCAAAAAATTTTGTCCCAAAATTATTGTCCAATTTGACTTTTTATGGATCAAGTTACACATTTGTCCTTAGAAAAAATATTATCCATAAAATCGTAGTGGTTAAACAATTACTTATGTAGGGATATATCCGGTTGATTAAGGTAAAATATAGTTAAGTTTGACCAAAAATAAAATCTTTCATTTTAGTAAAATTGGACAAGAATTATGGGACGGAGGGAGTATAAAGACAATTTTATGGGTTTACCTTTGAGTTGGGGAGCTTCAACTTGTTGAACTTCCACAGTCGGACAGATTTAAATATCAATCGAATGGATAAATTAGATGGTTCTGATTAAGAGTTGTGTTAACGGTTAAACTGTACAGTATTCTTATGATTTAAGATCCATTTGAGTAAGATCATTATTATTCAAAATAGTTGAAACGAGTCTTTCATCGTTCAAATACCTTTCTCTTCGTCACAATTATTTCAAACTCATATGAATATAATATGAACATGCACATAGAGTTGTTTATACTACTATTAGGATCATGATACTTTCTCTTACCGTTGTATATGAAAATTCTAATTGGTTATTCGTAATATGAATAGAGAAAGTTAATACTGATTTTGTCCTAATAACGATACAAAGATGATCTTGTTATGGTGAGAGTGGAATTCCGCTCACAAGTATAGGATAGGAGATTGTAAGAATTTTTTTAGAATATATAATCACATCAAAGTCATGTAAAGTTGTGAAGTGTTCATACTGTCCTCGCCATTGCCTTATAATAATCCCAATCTATATTACAATTAGTGAAATACTCCCTCCGATCCTTAATATAAGGCATTTTCATTTGTTTTAGATTTCATCTGGTACGTATTTTTAATTGATAAAAAAATCCTTAAAAATATGTTTTCATAGCTATGTTCTCTCTGTTCTCTTGATTGTTATAAAATATTTTTAAGATTTTTTTGTCAATTAAAAATACATAATACGTAAAATCTATGACAAATCAAAATATTTTATATTAATGACCGGAGTAAGAAGTTTAACATTGGGTAATCCACGAGTGATTTAAACCCTTTAGCATCACCGAGTTATCATAAATTTTAATGTTGTGACGCAACTATTTGAACGTAACACTGAAGTAAGATCAATCATAATACTTTTGATCACTTGTGAACTGTGATATTAATAACAATATTATTCGTGTTAGTGAAACGGTAACGAGTAACCTTGATTGTCAGAAGAATATGTTTTTTCTATAACGTTTAGCAACTAATTGAATATTTTTACCTCTAACCTACACCTTTTTTTTTTACCCAATGCACTGTTCTGCATTTTTATAATTCAACAAACATTTTAGCCTAAAAAAATCTATGAAAATGAAAATGAAAAGGAATGAAAAGAAATTGTTAGCTGACCATTTGACTTCTTACATCAAAATTTCCAAAGAACATAGAAGAGCTGACGCCATTCTTTTGCCACCCATTGGATTGGCATTAAATACTCACAAAACTTCCCCATTCCCCCATTGATATAAGATTGCTTCTCCAGAGTCCCAATCCCGCGTCTCAATGTCTTGCATTTTCTTCATAGAATCAAATCAATCAATGGTCGTCTCTTTCTCCCCTTAAGTCTCCTCTTTTCCTTCTTTGAAAAAGAAAAAATCATCTGCACCGACACTTTCACTCAACAAGAAAGAGAAAAGATGGGATCTCTCCCGCCACTTCAATTCCCGCTTAATTCCGATCCAGATTGCAGCAATGGCAACCCAGATTTGATCGACCCTGAAAATTTAACGGAACTTTTCAAGACCCAACAGAAAATCATCAACTATTTCTTCGAAAACCTCGATCTTTCACAGACCCGTTTGTTCACTCAAACTCTCCTTAATTCCAAAGGCACCATTTTCTTCACGGGTGTGGGGAAGTCCGGATTTGTGGCTCAGAAGATCTCTCAGACCCTGGTTTCCCTCGGGATGAAGTCCGGGTTTTTGTCCCCTGTCGATGCGCTTCACGGGGACATTGGCATTTTGTCGTCTTCGGATGTTTTGGTTATGTTTAGCAAGAGTGGGAATTCGGAGGAGCTGGTAAAGTTGGCTCCTTGTGCTAAGGCTAAAGGGGCGTATTTGATCTCGCTTACGTCGGTGGAACCCAATGTGTTGATGGGTTTGTCTGATCTTAATGTGAAGTTGCCGCTGGAGAAAGAATTGTGCCCGCTTGGATTGGCGCCAGTGTCGTCGGCGGCGATTCAGATGGTTTTTGGAGATACTGTGGCGATTGCGTTGATGGGAGCCAGGAACTTTAGTAAAGAAATGTATGCTGCTAATCATCCAGCTGGGAGGATTGGAAAAAGCTTGATTTTTAAGGTACGGAAAATGATCACTTTTTTTGTAATGTTGGAATTCGTTGTTTACCTATTACAGTTCTTGGATTTCTGTAATTTAGTGAATTTCTTCTTCAAGATGTTTTGAAGGTGGCACTAGTGCATCTTTTGGGTTACACTTTCTGGGTTTCTTATCTTGGTTGGTTTTGTATTTTTGTTGGCTGGAATAGATAATCATCGATGCAGGCTGAGGCCTCTTCATTTAATTCTGTGCTCCCTGTTTATGATTTTGTCATTGCATTACTTGGATTCTGCAAATCTTCCTTCTATGACAATCAATGGTTAGACATGTTATATCTGGTGCTGGCGCAATCTAGTGAGAGTGCATTTATTGGTTATTTGATGCAGTTGGTGTTTTTTTTTACCTGATCTCTTTCGCTTATAGTATTATTAAATGACAGCATTCTTGGTGTCTGAATCCTTGCTGTTGGTTTAGGATGCAAATTTATGTGCTGAACCTACTGATAAACTACAGAAAATCTTCGGAATCTTGGGAGCTATTATTTTCAGTAGATAAAAGAAACCACTTTCAATGCTTTGGATAACTTTCCAGTGTAGGAGAAGGATGGGTGTTTTAATTGTATAAATGACTGTTCTTTCAGGTGAAGGATCTCATGAAGAAGAAAGAAGAACTTCCTGTCTGCAAGGAGAAGGATATGATCATGGATCAACTGGTAGAGCTAACTAGTAAGGGATGTGGTTGCTTGCTTGTTGTTGACAATGATTACCGATTGCTAGGCACATTCACCGATGGTGATCTTAGGCGGACTTTTTTAGCCAGTAGGGAAGGAATCTTCAAGCTCACTGTGGGAGACATATGTAACAGGTAAATTTAATAATGTGATCCATATCAGCTTTCTCTATTTAAATTACGTGTCTGATAGTGGGAATAAATGTTGAATTGAAAACATGGAGAAGACTTTCTAGATCCATGTGAATGTAGCTATTTCAGATTCTGCAATGGTGCTTCTTCTATCTATGTCAAGTTGCTCTGGAAAACAAATGAAGACTTTGAAGTTCACAGTTTGAATAACACGAGTCGCAAAATCTGAGAAAAAACTTTTAAATAGTTGCATTTGAATACTTCTCTTATACCATTTCTATGTCAGCATATTTACCATTATCCATTTTATGCAATGTGCCTGTCATCATGCTTACAACTTGGGTAGTAAACCTCTTACATAACATGAGTTAGAGAAACACTCCTCTGTATTTTATTTCCATGGAGTCTATGGATAGTATTTCTTTCTTGAATGTCCTTTTAAAGCCTGTAACAGAGTTTATACCATTTCAGTTCCTTTTCGAGATTAAGTCGCAGCGATAAATGACTTTACTATTTGCTTATATCCTGTGTTATTAGCTGCTATCATCAATTTCCTCACTGAAGACGGTTGAAACATGGTTGATCAATATTATGCCGAACTAGGTAGTCTTAGCATAGTAAGAGGTCCAACTTTTAGTGCAAATTTGAAGGCTAAATGCAGTTATTCTTCTGGGCACTTTGAGTCCCTCATACTTGATCCTGACAGAGGATTCTTAAGGGCAGTTTATGTTTCTTTCCTTAACAAATGTGCTCTTATTTCTGTTAATTCTCAATTTCACTGAAAAATTCTTTGAATTGAGGGACTTCTTAATCAGAAACCTTTGCCTTTCACTTCAAGTTCAAGTGATCTTTAGATTGAGGGCTTTATTGTATGTTTTCCACTATCTCATCCAAGTTGAAGTTCATGGTTTAAATGTGGAATTCGGCTTTCCCTAGGGTGTTTTGTTTCTTGCCATGTTTGTTTTCTTGATCTATTTATCCTTGGATATGCACTAAAACAAAATATTAAACTTACTCCTATGGATTTCTTCTGGATTTCAGGCAACCTAGGACAATTGGTCCTGATGAAATGGCAATTGAAGCAATGAAGAAGATGGAATCTCCGCCATCTCCGGTGCAATTCTTACCTGTTGTTGATAAAGATAACACCTTGATTGGTATTGTGACATTGCATGGACTGGTATCAGCGGGGTTGTAAATGTTGCTGTATAGGCTTGATTCTCTCCGTCGTAACCTGCATTTAGATATGATTGTCATTCTTTGTATTCTTTTTTATATCCTCCGGTGAGGCCTTACAGTTATACAGTCTGTCATTACAGTCTGCATGTTGGTCTGTGCCAAACTGCCAATCAAAAGCCAGTATTAATTTTGTGTAATTACAATATCCATGTTGGTCTGTACCAATTAAAGTGTTTTAGTACTGTTACTGTGCTACTGTTACCTGTTTTCTGAACCTAATTCAATCACCTAATCTATTTGAACAAAAGGTGCCCTATGAAGGTCAAGTGCAGCAGAATTTCTTCATAGCAGTTCTTCAGCATTGCTGAGGGTGAATTCCCAAAAACTGTGTTGTGAATAGAGATGGAAAAATAATTACTATCACTTATAAACTATTCTCACATGTTGAGATGGAAAAATTTAGCCCAGAAAAAATACCTGTTAGAAAAATATATCAGATAGTCATTTGAATAAAAAGGAATTGTTGGAAAAGAGATTTACACTATGGTTGCCCAATTTATTCCGTTGATACCAATTTTCACAGTGTTCCTACTCTTTCCTAGTAGAAGCGAATAGTTCATGGTCGTGAGTTAGTGACCTCAGTGGATGACCAATTAAATTATAGGCCAAGCAAAAGCTAAAGATCCTTGAAAAAGGATGATGGCAAACATGACAACAAAATTCTGGGGTCAGCTTCTTCTTCCTTCATATCCTATATTCCCAAAAAACTCTCTCTCAGTAATCAGCAGTTCTGGTTCTGCTGCAGATTCAAACCAATTAACGATAGAATCCCACCACCAAAACAACACAGATAAACCGTCTTTACTCTTATCCAATGTGCTCTCAGTCGCCATTGCTTTAACTCTATCCACTTCTCAGTCTCCATTACCAGCATTGGCAATTCCATCTGTCAGTGGTTCTCAAACTTCCAAGCCCCCTTTGCTTTCTCCAACCACCCCATTTTCTCAAGCGAAGAACTTGCCTACTGGGCTCGAAAATGGGTAAGTTTCTATTGAAGTTTGTTCTGTTTCTGATTCAATTCTGCGGACTTCTGGTAGTGTTTGCTCATTCTTACATAAGTTTAGTTTTATGGAAAGTTTAGGTGTTTCGAAATCGTTAAGTAGTTTGTTGGAGTAAGTGTTGCAGACCTTAAAAGCTCAGAATTGCATAGTTTTCTTAAAATTTTTTTCATGTAACTGACACCAGGATGAGAGCATTAGATATTCATTGCCATTGGTTTCTGGAGTAGCTTTCTGTGTTCAATAGGGATTTCCTTTTTCACTCATTCATAATTTCCATCTGTTCAATTTCCAAGCCATTTCCACTAGCTTTTCAGCTGATACTTGGGATTATTTATGTGCTCTTTTAATAGGAAAATCCGGCCATGCCCCTCAATTAATCCAGGTTGTGTGTCGACGAATCCAAATTCAGCTTCTTTTGCATTCCCATGGACGATCCCCGAAACCTCTGTAGAAGATGCCATTCAGGTAACACACTATAGATAGGGATTACCCTTGACCCTTTTGACTGCAATTTGCGGCCATTTGTACTTGTCTGCTTAAAAATTCTCCTTCATTGCAGCAATTACAGGATGCAATCACGAAAACTCAGAAGAATGTGACAATCCAAAGTGTGGAAGACACCTCCAATGGTAAGTTGAACCTGCTCATCAACTAATGTTGCTGTTTTTAAGTGATTAAAAAAAATGCATTAGGCAGTTCAATAAAGTAGACTTCTAACCTGGGACAGAGGGAGTTAAAAGTTTAAGATGCGAACAAATCAAACTTAGATGTAATCTTCGGGCATGTCCCTTGTACATTCTGTTGCAACTCTTTTGAAAAATTTAGCAAGAATGACACATAAATAAACTTCTGACAAAAGAACCAGCAATCATATCATCCTTTAAGCTGATACGAATCCCCTGAGCCTTAATATTGGTAATGATAACTTCTATAGTATAATCCCTATAAGTAACTAAAGGCATTTCTCATTGTTGCTGCTAGTTCATGCTTCTGTAACTCAGCCTTACACACCAACATCAAGAGATTTACATATTGCTTTCATATATGATACTCCCTTCGTGCCAAAATAAGAGTCCTGTTTGTTGAATTGTTAGGACGGAGGGAGTAGAATATTGAGCTGCTATTTAGTATTTATCCCTTTGAAGAATCTTCTTAGGCGAGAATGCGAAGTTGTAAACTGCTATACAACTTGTAGATATCAATCTACTTCTTGAAACGGATCTCTAGCTAGAAGTTTGCCGAGTATCTCTCTTTACTGTTTATTGTCGAATGTAAGCATGAACGGATCTCATTTGCCGATGGAAACAAATTCAGGTAAGTATCTGCAGGCTGAGGTTGATGGAGGATTTGGGCGAGACGTGCTGGAATTTTTAGTCAAAGGAGATACAGTCACATATCGAGCTATGGCAACAAAAGTGGTATATATCTACCCCTTCACCACAGCTTTTGGGAACTCAAAAGGGCAAGAAGAAAGAATGAACCAAATTGTGGAACATTTAGGATGGTATTCTCCAAGTCTTGATTTGTCAGAAGACTCATTAGAAAATTGAAGTCAGTCATCGAACTTATAATTGCAAGTGAACTTTGAGGTTGCTGTTACATTAGACCTGTAATTGCAAGCAGTGCCTTTTATCATACTAAAAATTTTTGCAGGCTGAATTCCATTATTGGCTTTGAGGAGACATGACAAAATGATTCCCCAAGTACCACAATCTTTTTGGGTAAACAAATCATATGGTAGTAATTAAAACTTGACAGCAGATAAAAACATCAACCGTTTAACTGTTTATTCTTACAAGTTACAAGTCTAAGATTATGACCAGAAGAAAAGAAGTGTGCTCTTGACCAAGTTTGGAGGCAATATGCATCAAATCTGACACCAGAAAATATACTGCAACCCTTAATATAGCAGAAGAATGCACTAAACACGCAGAAATTTGTGTAACCCTACTTCTTTACCAATCACAAGAAATGGTCTATGTGTATACCTCTGCCTACCTGCGCTTAATATAATTTTTGTGAAAATTAAATTCGACTAAGTGGAACCGAACTCTCCTTATAAATCACAGCTTGTAGAAGGTCTCCAACAATACCATATCTTTTCACTTGGGAGAGATCCGATATTGTAGTCTCCCGGATATCACATTCGTAAACTACTTCTCTGTCCGGGTAATCATCACCATTGCAATCGTCATCCAAGAACATAGTACTTTGAAACAGGAGCTTCTCATTATTCAAACACGCAATGCCGAAGATGTGTCTGTCCGTAAATGGTCCAATGGTACATTTCTTCATCCATGACGGATCAGTTCCGTATTCGGATGGTACATTTCTTCATGTAGTTTCTTCGATTCATGATTATTGACAGGAAACTATCTAAGATTGTAAAACATAGGGTTGAACGATAAAATCCAATCTCATCAGCATCAGGAGGGATTTTCGTCTCTCGGACGACTGTCTCAAGACTCGTGTCAAAAGAAACAATCAAGGGTTTTCCATGGTATGATGAGTACCAGTGGTATAACCCTTGGAAGAATACACCACCATGACAATCATCTGGTCGTACAAATTTCCAAGTACTGGATCGACTCCAAGAATTAGAGTTGAGATTGTAGACATCAATGAAGCATCGATATCTACCATACACATAATCATGCCCATTCGTCATAGTCTGGCACAGATAAACGCACAATCTTATATGTATTAGCAAGAGAATCAAAACCGAATCCCACTTGAGCAAAGTCGCAAGGATATCCTACAGGATACTCAGGAACGTTCCTTGTTTCACGAGTAGCCGGATTCAACAAATACATGTTCCCGCATCCTATATCATATGACACACAAACAATCCCGTCGCAAGCGTTAGAAATCAAGACATGATCAGGGCCGAAGTAAGTTAACAACATCATTAGGATCTCATACTGGTAAAAAATCAGGGGCAATCTTGCGGGGTGATCCGCTTTGATCATTGTCGTAAAGAACGGAATTCAAAAACATGGTACCATGGCCGCCAGTTGCTTGTCAAGTGCAAATTTAGGAGGATGGAATGCTGATTTTGATTTCTTGGACGGTTGGAATACCCATCAACAAAGTAAGGGCTTCTGATCAAACCACACCAGTATTTACATACACACACACACACACACACACACACTCGAATTTCATCAAACACTTGACAGGCAATCTAGCTAGAATATCAATGAGAAGGCCTTCTGTCAAATCCATGATTTTTTTAAACTAGTGATGAAAACTGGATCCGATCTTCTGTTTTCAGGATGATATGGATCTGGTTTGTGTGGTTTGGTTGCTTTAATAAACCTTTCTACAGAGATATCAACTTAAACCTTTTAACATTAGGAATAGGAAACTAAATTTTATTCCAATTCCGATACTAGAGTATTCCAATGGAAATTATAGTATTGGGGATAGACATCTCATCTTTAGAAATCTGCCTAAATTTTTAAGAGGAAGGAATTTACCATCCTTACACTAATCCTATATAAAAAAATATGTCAAAAGAATAACAAAAAGTGTTAAATTAAAGATCTTGAGTGAGATTTGATATTGAAGGATCAATTGATACGAAAAGTAATACCAAATCAGTTTGATAAACATAAATCAAGTTATAGAACCTAGATTTTATTTTTTTCCCTCCTAAAATAATTGTGTCAAATATCGTATTTCTCCTTTTAAATATGAAACTAGGAATTTGAGTCATGCTAATATTAGGGCGTTATATCTTTAACTACGAGGTTGATGGTTTGATTTTTACTACGAACGCGGGAAGCAAGCATATGAAGGAGGACTTAAGCAGGCAGGCCTAGTATTATCCCCTCCACCTGTAAGTTTTACTCCATTGTAAAAGTCTAATGCTTGTTTGGACGTCATCTTACATTTCATTTTACCACTTAAAAGTGGAAAGTGTTTCAAGTTGAAAACTAAATGGGAAATGAAAATATTGTTTGAATGGTATTTTGAGCAAAAAGTTGTTTGGACGTTGGTTTTGAAAAAAAATATTTTGAACTACATTTTGAAAATATCAAGTACGAGTCATCACTAAACAATTAAATATTGTCAATTATAGTCACTGCAAAAAAGAATTTTTTCAAAAACAGTCAATCCACAACGGAATCTTGCCAAATTTGTCAATGAACTATTTGTAGTTCTAAAATGGTTATTACACTAACAAAAAGTGTTTCAAGTTGGAATTTAAAATGTAAATCAGCAAGTTGTTTGGATGATGTTTTCTTTTCCATTGAGTTTTGTGTTTAAGAGGTAAAATGAGTTAAAATGTAAAAAATGAGTGCTTGTCCAAACAAAGAAACATCTCTAAAGCATCAGTAGCTGCGTCTTAAAAAATAAAAAAATAAAAAATGAAAGCGTGTTTTGTCCCATGTGAGCAGCTCACGCTTTTCCACGCACACAGATTTTTCGTTTCGTCTAGTTCTAGGAGACACCTGAGCTGAGTGACACTGGAGACTGGAGAGTTCCAGTCCACCGCCAGTGAGATTGGATTGGATAAACCAAACCACCGGCCGGCCGGCGTTTTCCACCGTCGTCCCAAACTGCTCTAACTCGCCGGGTTCAGCATGTCTCCTCCAATAGGCACCGCCACATCAATTCACCATAGTATCTCCTTAATTTTCGTCTCCCCTGAATTCCATAAGAAACCATGTTTTAAACCCTTATTTCCTCCTCACGCCGATCAGAATGTAAGTGTATTTTTTCTCCCTACCTGCTGAAACTTCCATTAATGGTGTTAAAAAAACTTGTTCAACATTGAATTATTTTCACAATGCCGCAGGTTGTTCTGAAGTCTCGGCTGAACCATCAATTTGTTTCCTCAAGAGCTTCGTCTGGCCGAGCTTACTACTCCATTTCAGCAAATTCCAGAGGTACCCTTATAATTAAGCACTTAAATTATGCACACATTTTACTAAATTTACACCTTTTCTTTTGAGTTTCTTAAAGCAGTCAGCTTTTAATTAGCTTTGTACCCATTGGTATATGCTATGTGATTTTCCGTATTGAAGTTTTGTTGAGATTTTGCAATAGGGTATCTGTTTATTTTACTGGTTTAAGTTTCATTAAATATTTCTAGTTGTCTCCTTTATTAGTGTGATCATTTGCTGATTACTTCAACGCTTGGAGACGTTTTTAAGTTTTGGGTGTGTTTGTTGAACAGGAATTAGTGACAGTAGGGATGATCTCTTACGTGATAAAGATTGGACAATTGACCCGGAGCTCCGAGCTGTGCTGGAGCTTGCTACTGATTCTGAATTATTTGAGCTTGAGCATATTTTATTTGGTCCAAGGTGATGTTTCTTTCTTTCTCTGTTTGTTCTTTTTACTTCTATTTTATATATGAGTAAAGTAAATGAGGACAGAAGGTGTGAATCTTTTTTGGGTTCTGATCTTGTTGAAGATTCGCAGCTATCTCAGCCCGTTATTGAAGTCAATGTCAAAAAGAGATGAAATTGATTACTTCATGATCGGAGTGGACCCTGAGGAGAGAGAGCATTATATATGCATGCTGGCTAAGAGATTCCTGTACCTTGCTGCTGATGCCTATTCCATACTGAGGTTAATCTTTGCCTTTGGTAGTTCAACGTATAAAGTCCATTAACTTTGTGTTTGCAATGGCTTAGATATGGGAAGGAAAATGGCTGATAATAATACTTAGGCTTCTATATATAATACCAATATTTCCTATCGACATTCTTCTACGTAGTTTATCTCAGATTCAGTTCAACAAAAAAGATTTCAAAAAGCGTTTACTGGTTAGAAAGATTTAGGACCAATGATTGTGCTTTTCTTCTGTCTTAAACTTGGAAAACGCTTGCAGATGAACAGACATTTCAACTTCTAGTTTTAGTTTTTAGTAGCATTTTCCTTGGGCCGATCTTCTCTCTACTGTGATGATTATGATAACTGCTCCTCCTTTTGTGGGCGGGTATTTGGGAGGACAATGCACCGCTGCCTGATTTTTGGATGAAGTATATATCGATAGAGAAAAGCTATTCATGTAGGGAAAACGTGTAACATATTTTGTACGTTATAAGCTATCTTCTCATCCAGTTGAAGAGATTTACGATCTCCCAGAAAATTCTCTTATGAGTTGTACAGCTTAAGGTGATATGCGCCATCATTCTGTAGTGCTATAGCATCGTGCCATGTATTTTCCATGCCTTGTCATTTTCTTGTTTGGCCAGTTCTTCAACTGTGTAGTTTACAGGTTTAAAGATTATTAGGGAAAAGATTGTTATCTAATATAATGGAGTGTGGAAGTTCATCTGTATCGGACATTTATAATGTTTATTGGATTTAGTTTTTTGGTGAATTCTGGATGTCGTTATAACGTAGTTAATACTACCTGAGGGAATTGTTGTGTTTTTTTCAAGAATACCATGCTGGATGTCATCTAAAGATCTTTATGATATTGTCTGTGCTTTTAGGTTTAGGAGACCTTCATACAGAGATGTACTACTTGGTGTAAGAAAGAAGCTACAGGTGCCTTGTTCATCTAAATTGTCTACGGAGGATCTTGAAGCTGAAATTTTCCTTCATTTGCTACAGGATTACACAAGGTTACTATCCAAGTGGATTCCTTCTTATCCCCCTATTTTCTTTTCTGTTTGTTGTTGTTGTTGTTTTTTTTGTTTTTGTTTTTGTTTTTGTTTTTGTTTCTGAGCATAAAGTACAAGTGATGGCTGACATGATTGCATCTTTCACTTGTATCTAAATCTTTATCCAGCCCATAAAATTAAGTTTTCTGGTTGATGATGTCTTTCACCAGTAATGATTGTACCTGACATTTTGCTAGCAGATTTAACCTCAGTCTTTAGTTCTTCACTGTCGATTCTGGAACCCTTTTTTCCATCAATCAACTACTTATCGTAGCCTGTGCTTCACAGATTATTGTCTGAATGAGATTGGTTGTTTGGTTAAACTCCTATTAGGTGAGGATGACGTGAAACATGTATGGACTTACAACAATCTGAAGTTCTGGTTTAGACTTGTAGGGCTGTCCAAAAAAGCTCTCCTGGTTGCTAGACTGCAACCTTCTCAGTTCGCAACCAGCTGAATGCTATGATGATGGCCCCCCCAACCCAAGCCATATCATTTTTGCGAGGCATTTAAGCACCCCCACCCCCCGTCCTCTCTCTCTTTCTCTCCCCCTCCCATTCCTGTCCCTATCCAACTTGTAAGCTGAAAGGTGATTCTTTATTTTGCACTTGGGCCTCAAAGTGTACTAAGCTTCAAATATAAAATGATATTTATTTAAGAAAATGAAAGAGCTAAGGTTAAAAATTCGGACGATGATTGTGGAAAGTTTTTGATAGTTCTCCATATTCTGCTTGTTCATTGGCATCAAATCATTAGGCAATGTCCTTAAAATTGTTTAAGGAACTACAACTATCAGTCTGATAATCACGCTTGTGATTGCATGCAGAGAAGACTTTCAAAGGTTCTACAGCTTAGAGGATGATGTCATGCTTTCTGATGGAAATGGTCCTTTGGAACGTGGACTCAGTCAGTGGAAGGTGCAAACAACTGCAGCTTTAAGGGGTGGGTTGGCAGAGATACGGTCTCTGATCTTGAAGGTTTTAGCTCCTAACATTAGACTTTAACTTGCTTGCTTGTTAACCTATTGCTACTATTTCTCTAATTTGGATTTTAATTTTAGGGAGGTGGAGTTCTTACTGTGGGAAAAATGTATGAAGTGGTGAGATATACTAGTTTGTTAACACTTTTTTTTTTTTTTTTTTTTTTTGCCTTTCGTTTCTCTAAATCCAGTTTTATTTTCTATAAAATTCTTCTGTTTTGTCTTAATAACTTTGAATCATCTGCTGTTGCAGCTAGGAAGGAAACTCTCTGGGGTAATGTTTCAGGAAGCTGCCAAGTATCAATTGAAAAAGGAAGTAATTAAAAAGGTATACCATCATGCTGGAACCAAAATTGGAAGCTATCTGTTATTCTGGTTTACAATTCTATTTGGTTGGAATGGCTTTCTGACTTCTGGAGATATGGCCAGTCTAGTTTCGTACATTTTAATAGCTTATTTAGGTTGTGCTAAATATTCATCTTTTCTCCATTCAGTTGCAGAATGTTGGTTTGCTGGGTAAACCATTATGCTTTACTTATGCTTCTTCTCTGAACGTATATTATCTTTGGGGTTTCTGATATTGATTTTGGGGTTAAAATGATTTTTCGTTCTTGGCCGGCTATACAAGAGCACCGAGTTTTGTGAGTTAGAATAATCAGTATGGATGTCATTTGACAAGCTTTGGTTGATTGAAGTATAATGTAGCTAGCTTTGGTTGACTGAAGATAACATGGCTATAATCATCATTGATTCACAGGGAGTGCAAGTGGCGGCTACGAGTCTAGAATCTAGAGTGGCTTTGCTTGCTGCCGAAGAGGTATTTATTTTTACCATCATCAAACTGTGATAAATTATTATTTTTTTTATATTTCAAACCATGAGCTGTGTTGGGTTGGTTATATCTCACCACAATAGATGGCTAGTAAGATTACGCAGAAGTTCCTGCTACAATTTTGAACTGTTCACGTGGAATCTGAAGTGAAATTCATGTTAGTGTCTGGCCGAGGCCCCAGTGGTGGGGTAGAAACTATAGAATCAAGAATTCAAATTAAGAGGGGTAGAGGTAGACGTAAGAAAACTTGGAAAGAGAATATCAAAAATGATTTGAAATATTTAAATTTGAGAGATTCTTTATGTAACAACCGAGCACGATGGCGACATATCATATAGCCAACCCCACCTAGTGGGAAAAAGGCTTCTTGTTTTAGCTGTTGTTGATGTCTGGTCGCTCCTTTTCTCTCCATTCTTTCATAATCAGCACCAATTGTATCATAACTTCTCATTGATCTGTCAACTAGGAACTAATAATTAGGGCAGATGTTCTAGAGATGCCATTGGAACAGGGACAGCTATGTAGCTTTTGCCTAAATGGAGTGACTTATATTGACTGAGACAAATTAGAACATAATCCATGAAATCTGCGAGAAAACACAGATTAAATCATTAATCAAAATCTAAATTATGCACTTGGATGAACTCTATGGATTCTTGTTACCTGTTGCTTCTTTGCTGAAGACATTTTGTGTGTTCTTGGCAGGGTCTTGCAGCTGCTGCCTTCAATTATCTTGGTCTTCGGGCTCTGATGACATTTTTTGGCTCAATGTAGTGGTTCTGTTTTAGAATTTATTGCATTTTTTTCTCACTTTCAGTCTTATTATTGATATCTAGCCAAGTCATCGTAAAAAACACTGGGCAGAGTTCGTTTTGATATCACAAGAACTCCTGCTCTATATATACATCCGTAAAATTACAAAATATAAAGCACTTGCTATCGCATTTGTGCTTTATATATTGATCGCCACATAAGAAAGCTCCTAAAATTGGAGTATTGTGAAAGTAAGATATAGAGCAATGCTTAGATAATTTAGGTGATGAAAGGTTGGACTTTTCAAGCGATTAAGTTTTGTGGTTTATTGTTCGTAGTTGTTTCTTTTGCTTTGTTGATTGTTTGTTATGGTTGGCTCACTGCTAGTTACATGCGTCATTTGCAGGCTTTGGGGATTTTTAGTTGCAGATGTTGTCAAGCAGATGGCTGGAACTGACTATGCCAGAATTTTGAGGGCCATCTATGCATTTGCACAGGTACAGTGAGATACATTAGCATAGTCAAGTCATTTGGTTTTTGTTTATGAATACATGACAGATCAAATGAACATCAGTAGGGGTACATCCGAGGATTAATTACTGTGTGTTGGTCTTGCATTTTGGGGGCTGGAGATTTTATTTTTTTAATTTAATTATGAGGGGGCTGGAGATTTTGCTAATATATTTGAAGGGTTTTCTTCTGTGTTCAGCCGAACAATACTTGTACAACAACGTAACTCGTCACCAGTCTGGGTGTTGGTTATTAAATGTAGATTGTGCAGTGTGGAGAGTGTTATTGGTAGACTTACATGCTGAGAAGGGAAGGGCGAAATTTTTACTCCACCATTGATTATTTGAGCTTTTCATGTCATTTGAGTCCTGTTGATACACTTGCGGATGTTTGTATAGTTTGGTTTAACACTAATATTTTTCCGTTCACTTCTTGTACAGATTCGTATACTGCGCACATATCGTTCACCATCTGATTCTGGCTGACAGTGGCATCGGAGATTATACAGTACCCATCTCTCAAGAAATAGGTAGTAGTCTGCTAACTTATGTGGGTCAAAGTAATACTCTGGTTGTTTTATAGGGGTAGACTTTTATTTTTTATTTTTTTTGGGGGGTAATATAGCTTGTTGTCGTGTGTGTACATAAAGGGCTCTTCTTTTTTCCGTGTCCAGACACTTTCTCTTTAGGTTGGGAAGTGTTTAGAAATTTCTAAATTTTAAAGTTTTGTCCAAATAATTGTAATTTTTATTAGATTAATTACAGTTGTGGAGGACGGTTAGTTTCGCGAGTTGGGGTTTTACTTGCTGATCTTGTATGTACGTCTACGAAGAGAAGTTTTGATAAAATGTTGGAGTTTATTTTTGTAAGATCGGTAGATGACCATGATTACTTCCTGATCATAAAAACACAAAATTGTATTTAATCATTGATCTTCATCATCTAATTGTTGGTTTTGGCTAGGACGATCCACCTATATAGAGTTATATAATTGTATTTCATCTAATTGTATTTCTGATTGTTGTTTTTGGCCAGGAAGAAACATGGACCAAAAACTGTTCCCAGATAAGTAGATGCCTTTTAAATTTGTCCAAAGCAATGAATGGATAATTTCCTTGCATGTAAAAGTTCTCTATGGCTTCGGCTTTAATTTCCTGCGACGGAGTCGAAGAAAAAACAGTAAAAACAGACCATAACATATTCACAAGTCTCCATCCCAAAATTCTTCCGCAGATTTGATTGGGCCATTTGGCTGGACATACCGATCTGCCCTAAATGTTCTCCGCTGAGGAATCTGAAAAATTTTCTGCTTCTCTTCCTCTGCCAATTCCCAGCCAAATATCTGCATATTTTGCTTCATTCTCTCGCTGTTGGAACTCTTCACAACGATACTTGCACCTTGTTCATATATCCATCTCAGCGCGACCTAGTTCATGGACATTATAATCGTCTTATAAATTACGATGTCATGTGCCAATTTAGTGCGCAAAATGCAAGTTCACATATTTTTGTAAACTGGAAGTCGACAGTGTAGAAATTAAGAGTGGTAAAAAACAAAAATTATAAAAATTGTATCACTAATTATCAAGTTCGAATCAAATTAATTTCACGAAGCAGGTAAACTATGTGTAAAGACAGGATCAAATTCCAAATTATTGAATTGTTTACTATACCTGAGGAACAGTCTTTCTTTTCGCAGCTGCAATATCTTGGAGCACTTGGTTCTCCAGTACTTCATTATTGCCCCAATAGTTACCATAAGCTCCGAGGGGAGACCATGCACATACCCGAATTCCTTTCTCTTTGCAAAATGGCAGCAATTTTCTTTGTTGCCAACAAACGTTCATCTCCACCTATTATATTTGTACAATAATGTGTCCTCAGGAGCTAATTCACACTACAAAATTTGGTTATACTCTAATATTCATTTCCAAAAATTAGTTTTATTTCATTTTTTTTATTAATTATTTATAATTTACTTCAAGAAGTATACTTCTTTAGTTAATATGATCTTACTAGGGAAGCATAAAAGTGGTGAGAAAAATATTTCAGCTTATTTATGTATAGTTACATCGATCTCTTACTTCAAACGTTATACTAGTACTATATTAATTTTTACCTATTTAATTAAGACAAAGATTATTATTTTGGGACGATCGTATGGACCTATCATGTAAGAAACAACCATACCTGATTAATTGCAGGTGGGATAGTGGCATTTTGTAGGAGTTTTGAGATTTTTTCACAAGTGAAGTTACTCAAACCTACGGATTTTGTCAATCCCAACTCGCAGCATTCTTCCATGGCTTTCCAAGTCCCTTGGATGTCAAATGGCAGAACGTCTCCTTCCACAAGATGTTTTATATTGGCATTTTGCTTCAACCTCACTGGCCAGTGAATCAAGTAAAGGTCCAAGTACTCTAGCCCTAGTTTACTGTTCCAGTGTGACAATAAAAAAGAAATTGGATAAAAAAATTCGGTTGTTTATTTATAAGATTTATACGATTATCCGATCCTACTAGTCCTTTTTTTTTTTTTTGGAAAAGGATTATCCTACTAGTCATTTGACCTTTGTTTGCTGGTGATATTCTTACTTTCTGCTTAAGAATAAGATGAAATTATGTTAATCAACACAATTTTGTTTGTAGAATTAAAACTAATCAACGAACGTAACTATTTCTCGGACGGAGAAGGCTAAGTAATGGGTTTATATAGTTGGAATTTCCAATATACTTTAGTCAATAAAAAAAATATGAGTGAATTTTATGACAAGTAACATCCTCCATTAAAATATCTAATTCAGTCAAGTAACTGAATAATCATTTTGGGACAGAGAGATTACCGAGAAATTAGTCATTTGATGATAATGATGGGCTAATTAAATATCAGTATGTGATGACAAACGATTGACGCGCAAGAAGCCAAGAAGGGTATTATTTTCTAGTCGGCCGGCCAAAGTTTATGGCAAGATACGAGAATTGTTAACATCAAACAGTCTGTCTTTAACGTTTCCGATCGCTAAGTCATTTGTCTTGATTTTCCTTTGAAAGAAGAAAAAGGGAGAGTAATTTCTAAGAATTAAGGTAGCTATAATAATTTCTAAGAATAATGATGGGAATTTAATGTTGGAATTTTAAGAGAAGAGAGTATTTAGACCAAAATTGCTAGCATGTTAAAGAGCCAGATCACCAAAATCTGGATCAGCAAATAAGAAATTGGAAGAATTCTCAATAAGGGCATTGTACCTTTCATAATTCCAGATAAAGGTGTAAAATTTTTAAAATTTCTATTAAGGGCGTAATAAATGCTAAATGCACTGACTATACTTCTGATGACATTTCTACCCTTTTACTAATAACTCACATTACCATACTTTTGGAATGAAAGGCATTTCACTAATTCTTGATTGAAATTGACTCCAAACTACCCTCAAAATAACCAAGAAAACAAATAATATTGAATGTAAAAAACTTGCATTTTTTAATTTTCATTTCATGATTTTTGTAAAATTGAATAAACGATACCTCTTTTAAAGAATTAAACTATCTGCGACTATTACAATCTATACGCATGAATTACAAACTTTTTATATGTATAAAAAAACTTTTCATCCTGATGAGGAAAAAAAAACATTGAACAGAAAATTCAAAGACTATGCATGGATTGCACAATCAACAACCGCTGGGAAAATTTATATAAAAATAATGTTGACGCGTAAAATTGAAAAGCAAGTACAGTAGGCCATAAAAGTTTTCCAAAATAAACATAATATACTAATCTCTCTCTCTTTTTTTTTTTTTTTACTGAGGATTGTTGTTATGAAAATTATAGCAATTCATGTGCGCCAAAGTAATATAAGTTGTACTATTAAGGTGGATATATTTTTCTAATTAAAAAAGTTTAAAAGAAGAATCCAATCTAACATGAATATTTTGATAAGGAAATAAATAAATATGTCATTAATAACCACATAAAAAGGTAGAGATGACAAGAAAGTATTATTAGTCTATTAAAGTATTTATTACGCCCTTATTAGGAATTTTAAAATTTTCACACCCTCACTTAGAATTGTAAAAGGTACAACGCCCTTGAAATTAACCATGAAGAAAGGAAATTAAAAAAAAACTTTGAAAATAATCTTCCTTTTTTTTCTTTTTTCTTTTTACTTTGAAACTAATATTCCGTTCCAAAATAAAAGTCTAATTTGTTAAGCGTAATGATAACGGGAATACGTACAAAAGTAACGAAGTAAGGTACGTACCTTAGAGTGGCTTTGATGGCAGGAAGAACAAGTTCATAATGAGCGTCACAAGGCCAGAGTTTAGAAGTGATGAACAATTCATCCCTACTTTCAATCAAACCAATTTCAAGAGCTTTAGCCACAGCTTTACCAACAGCTTCCTCTGTTCCATAGGCAGATGCTGTGTCAAATTGCCTATAACCATTCTCCATTGCTTGAATGAAAATGGTTACCAGTTCCTCTAATGGTGGAGGAGGTATAACAGCACATCCGAACCCTATCACCGGCATTTTGTGGCCTGAGTTCAGTACAATTTCTGGGATTTTCACTTCAAGATTGTTTTCCATATTTTCGAAAAGGAAGCTAAAAAGATTGTATGAAAAAAGGGTGAGATGACAATTGGGAAAATTAAAATAAATAGTGTATCACTGTATTGTGAAGAGCAGGCCTTCATTATTATATGGTGAGACTTTTTGTCTTTTGTTGGTTTAGTGAATATGTCACACACATGTTTTTCCGTCGGAAAAAAATAATCTATGGATGGAATAATATAGAGTGTGCATGATAAGGTCGGCCTCCCAACAAGGTATACAAATATCTTGGTTTTTTTTTTATTTTTTTTTAGAGATCAATAATAGTTCTCCACTTACCCCTTACTCCGGATGTTTCAAACTCGTACAAATATCTTAGATTATTTGGAGGTTTAATTTCAAGCAGAAATCTTTAGAATGCCTATTAATATTGAGTACTATATCGATTACTCCTTCATTCGATAAAAATAATTGAATATTAAATATTTTCTCTCTTATGTTTAACAAATTCACGTGTAATATTTAATATTTAGTTTTGTCTTAATTCTTTTTAATAAAAGGATTATGTGTAAGAAGTAAAGTATAAAAGTGAAGAAAAAAAAATGATAATTTCTTTTTAATAATTCTTGTCTATTTTGATATTTCAGTTTTAAATAAATTATACTAAATATGAGAATTCAAACTAAAAAATAATTTTGGAACAGACGGAGTAATTTTTTCAAACCGAAAACTTCCAGCTTAAGAGAGAGCTTAAGAAAATAGAAAAGGGAAAAACATTTCATCTCATGTGTCTCCATCCCGCAATTCTTCATCAGATTTGATTGGACCATTTGGTACAACGAACCAATCTGGTGTACCAAGTCTTCGTTGAGGAATCTGCAAAATTTTATCATTTTCTTCTTCATGCAATTCCCAATCAAATATTTGAAGGTTTGGCATCATCCTCTCTTTGTTGAAACTCTTCACAACAAAACTTGCTCCTTGTTCATATATCCATCTCAGCGCAACCTGTATAATTTACACCCCCGAAGTTGTAAATCACAAGGAAAATGTTACGATCGAGCCGGGAATTTGTAATTGATTTAATATCGAGATTTTGATTTCGAATATTTATAGATGGATGCAATGCATGCGATTAAAAGAAGTCTATAAAGTTGAAGGAATATTGAATAAATGGTTTAGAACCTGTGGAACAGTCTTGCTTTTTGAAGTTGCAATATCATGTAGCACTTCGTTCTCGATGACTTCGTTAGTGCCCCAAATGTTATTATAACCTCCAAGAGGAGACCATGCACAAACTTGGATCCCTTTCTCTTTGCAAAATGGTAACAATTTCCTTTGTTGCCAACAAACGTTCATCCCCACCTAGTTTGGCACAATATAGTTTGCTATTCATATACACTATAATTTGTCTCCACCTCTATTTATCTTAGGCACGTAGATTAATTATGATCGTCCTAAAAAAAAAAAAATTCTGTATTTTAAACTTGGTCTTAACATCACAGTTCTAGCTTGCATACCTGATTAACTGAAGGTGGGATGGTGGCGTTTTGTAGGAGTTGTGAGATTTCCTCACAAGTGAAATTGCTCAAACCTATCGATTTGGTCAACCCCTACTGGAAACATTCTTCCATGGCCTTCCAAGTTCCTTGCATGTCGAAAGGAAGAACATCCCCTTCAACTAGATGGGCGATATTGGCATTTTGCTTCAACCTCACTGGTCAGTGAACCAAGTAAAGGTCCAAATACTCCAACCTTAATTTACTGTTTTAAGTTAAGGTTACAACAAAGATAAATTAGATAGTAAAAACATGGCATATCTATAATATTATACTAAGAGAGAAACCAGAGAGAGAAAAGAAAAAAGAATTCTAAAGGTGCCACATAGGATAAAATTCTATGTGTCATTTTTCTAATGGTTGAGTCAAAAAATATTTACAACAATTATACTAATAGTCCTTCAAATTTATGTAAATAAAGTTTTATCAAATGGCATTTAAAACTATAATTTAAAATAGGAAAATAAAAATTAATTAAATTTAATGGATGGGATTAATAAACATTAATGCACCAGAATTATTCCCTCCCCAAAATAATCCCCAAAATTACTACTGGACTCATTTAATTAATCTCTCTCAAAAAAAAAAAAAAAATCTCCCTCCCAATCATGTAAATCTATAGACTACAATTCAAAAAAAAAAAAAAAACCTCATTCAACATTAATGTTATCTTTAAAATCTTCTCCAAAAAACATGACCCTGTATTTTTCGCCAATAAAAAAAAGGGTACAAAACTTGCCTTCAATTATTACTAAAAGGATGAGATTTAACTATAATTAAATGTTATCTTTTGAATTTCAAACAAATGCATTTATTTGTGTAATATCATATCTACCCAAATAAATATAATTTTTCTTTAATAATATCTCAAAAATTGTTATAAACTTTATCTTTATCACTGGAATTTTGGATAAGCAATTATCATCAATCCCAATTTATCTTTATTTATACATGCCACACAAACCATGAGTATGTTCTAGTGCTGCAAAAATTTTCCTCTCCCCAAAATAACCCGAAATCCGAAGATGAAAGGGCAACAACTTTAGCTCTACAGTTGGTTTGTTGTTCTGAAAGCCATGAACTAATAGTGGGTCGATCGTGTGGCATGGGAGGTAATGGTTAATTAAGGTTATGTATGATTTTTTTTTTCCGTATGTTCTTATGCAAAATGATGTTTTAGGGTCCTTTTTTAGATGCTACTAAATTTATGTTTTTTTTACCCATAATTTCATTAATTATTATTTTCTATTTTCATAGCAAAAAGGGATTAAAGGGCAAAAATTTTAACTCTACAGTTGGTTTGTTCCTCTAAAATATTAAGTATTGGACCAAACAATACTATAAAATCTTTAATTACAACAAAATAACCATAAAAATTTTAAACTTCATACTTCAGTCACACGTAATCTAACATCTACTATTGATAATTACTTCATTATGTATTTTACGCGTACAATCATTTTATCATTTCATTCAATATGTAACATTAATGCAATCTTATTTATTTTACTCTGCTTATGAGTGTTATTGTCCAGTTCTTCTCCTTCAATAAAAATCAAGTGAACACTTGCATTTCAAATAATATGCATTATTTTATCTTTACAATTACGCCTTTATTTAATTTTAGTTGTGTAATGTATCTTAATATGGACTCCAAATACATTTTACACTTTTTATATTTTTTTTTTGTTGATTTTTTATAATGTATATAAATAAATCCCGCGCATCACGCGGGTTTAACATCTAATATATAACAATAAAATTATCTACGAATTAGCGAAAACATTGTAATGTACATCTTACAAATTTCATTAATTTCACTTCCATTTCAAATTCTGCAGTATATAATCTGTTTAAGGTAGAAGCGAGTGAAACAAGAGGCAAAAGTGAGATACAGTATATATGTACCAACCTACGTGAGTTTTGCGAGTTAAATTTAACAATTACAAAAAATGAAAGAAAAGATAGCTACTTACATATGGATGCTTTTTTAATCCTTGTTCTTATTATGACCAACATATATCGTATTCCCTCCATTTCAAAATGTAGGTCGTTTTAGAATTTCTAGACAAATTAAAGATCAACTTTTCAACTTTACTCCTAATAAATAATACTCCCTCCGTTCCAAAATAAGTGTCATTCTAGAGTTTTCACACAGTTTAAGAAAACATTAAATATGGTAGCTAAATTACTAGAATATCCTCAACTAACCCCATTAAAATAAATGTTCACCAATAATATTATTTCTTTTGAGGCTATATTTGGAAATTTTTGAAAAAATACATTGGAATCTGAAAACGACACTTATTTTGAAACTTCTCCATTTTGCTAAAACGACACTTATTTTGGAATGGAGGGAGTGCTAACTATTTTTCATCTAGTCTTAATTATAATTTCAAAAACGATTAATGATGGGTAAAATAGATATTTAACACACAAATTAATTATTAAATTATTGTCTCCTTAATTTACGTGTAGAGTCTAAAGTGACTTACATTTTGAAATAGAGGGGAGTATTATTTAATATCAACAATCTATTCATTAAATGTATGAAGTTAGTGATGTAATACGAACTCATTATTAATGAATTAGTTTAATTTCTGTTTTTAAATTGAGTCGATTACCTCATCAACTTAATTACTCCCTCTATTTTGAAATATATGTCACCTTAAGATTTGGTGAATTTTTTTTTAAATATATGTCGTTCTCACAAATTGAGGTATATTTGACCATTTTTTACCAATATTATCCTTGCATTGGAAATGAAACAGTATTTATAATGAATTTCTTTTGGTTTGTGATAAATTGTATAGACAATAAATAAGAGCATTTTTGTATTTTAACTACATTATTAATTTTTTCTTAGTTTTGATGATTTCCTTAGAAAGACATATTAAAAAAATGGAGGGAGTATTTTTTACAAACAATAATAGCATGCATTAATTAATTTATCCTATTTTGACCCCTTTTTTTTTAATGCAATTTGGGCCGGGTAAAAAAATGATAAAAAGAGTACAACCCAGTGATCATTTGTTTAAAAATTTATTTAAAATACTTTTTGACCGATTATTGTATAACTAATTTAATAGTATTACATATACATCTTCCATGCTGAATCTTTTTTTATTAATTTTTTATTTTAAGTCATAAACCTACCATAAAAAGAAGTACAGTTATCTGATGTAGTCCTGTATAGATGGCTCTTACAATATACCCAAAAGACGCCATATAACGCGCGCGCGCACACACATACACACACACACACACACACACACATATATATATATATATATATATATATATCTTCTTCTAAAAAACTGTCAATTTTTAAAAATTTAAATAAAACCTCTCAAAAATTAATATCAAGAATTTTTATGAGTCATCACTAATAAATATTTATATACAAAAATGTTACTATAGAATATCATTCGTTTCATCTACCCGCGGAAACTTTCATGTAATCCAAACGTTACGACTAGATTTCACCCAAAAGTAAAATGTACAACGTCTTGGAAGATTAGAAATTCGTTTTTTGCAATATTTTTTGGGGTATGGTTTCAATATCCCAAAGGTCAAGATTAATGATAGCAAAATTATTAGCATCAGGGCAACATAGTTTTATTCTCAATCGCCTATAATGACCAAAAAGTTAACATCACGCAACAGTTTTATTCTCAATCCCCCAAAGTTAAGGATATCAATGTCAATAACCGAAAAAATTGTTAAACCTCAGACAACAAAAAAAAAAAAAAAATGATGTAGGAAGATATTTTTAAATAAAAACTTTATTTTTATTTTTTTATTTTTATTTTTTTATTTTTATTTTTAAGCTCCTACCATTTCCAAATAGATCAGATGAAGTTGAAGAGGGGGTTTATGTTCGACGGGTCATCATGTTTAAAAGACAATGACAAATATTTACACTGTTTCATCATCTTAAAAGGCACTACTATACTACAAGTGTATATGTAACAGTAATAATTAACTATAGTATTTGCAAATAATGTAGTTAATTACAAATGTACATAATGTACATATATATATATTTCAAGCAAAAAGACCATTGGCGGTAGAGATATATGATTTAGCTTAGGGGAAAGACGACTTTCCAAACCCTTCTAAGGATGGTCTGGCATGTGACATAATTTTGTTTCGAAAGACGTTCTCAAAATCAACAGAATAAAAATACTATGAAACACCACCATTAATATCGTATTCTAAGATCATCAAAACAAAACTAAGAAAGAAACTACGACTAAGAAGCACCGTCAATATTAATTGTATTTGAAGATGATCAGCTACACTAAAATTAGAACAAAAAAAGAAAAAGAAAAGAAGAAACGCATTTGAAAATTAAATCGAATTAGAACAGACAAAAAAAGAGTAAAGTAAAGAAGTAAGTACCGGAGAGTGGTTTTGATGGCCGGAAGAACAAGGTCATAGTAATTGTCGGTGACCCAAAGTTTAGAAGCGATGAACAATTCATCCCTAACCTTAATCAATCCAATCTCCAAGCCTTTAGCTATGGCTTCACCAAGAGCCTCCTCGGAGCCATAAAACGACGCAGAATCGAAGTGCCGGTAACCATTCTCCATGGCTTGAATGAATATTCTCACCTCTTCCTCTAGTGGTAAAGGCGGTAGAATCGCGCATCCAAACCCAATTACCGGCATTTTGTGACCTGAATTCAGCATTATTTCTGGGATTCCGACTTCAAGATGATTTTTAACTTCCATTTTTCTAGCCAGATTCTTAATTTATATATTATTAGGACAAGGTAGAAAAAGTTTGAAAAGACAGTGAGCTTAGAAGTAGGATTATGGAGTGTGGTGAGAGAAGGGAAGTAGTATGTATAGAGTTCTTATAATTAATTTAGGTCCTAACATTTTATTTCATGTTTTGGTTACATTTGGAAAATGGACCCTTCATTGTTCATCAGCATCTTTAACCTTTTTCTTAATACATTTCTTTTTTTAATATTTTGTTTCTTTATTCATGCACTCCAACTTATTCATGAAAATGGACAACTTGATTGTACCTACTCTTTTGGATTTTGGAATTACTACATGAATTGCTGTTTATATTTCATTATCAAACTCTGAAAATTTTAAATACTAGCTCCTGTTGGTAAAACAACTTGGCTTAAGAAAAAAAAAAAAAGAACAACTTGGCTTGAAAACTTTAAATTAATTGCAGGATTAATTATGTGTTTGGTTTACGGTTTAGAAAAAGTAAAATATAATACTCCCTCCGTCCCATAATTATTGTCCAGTTTTACTAAAATGAAAGATTTTATTTTTTGTCAAACTTAACTATATTTTACCTAAAACAACCGTATATACCCCTACATAAGTAATTGTTTAACCACGAAGATTTTTTAGATAATGTTTTTTACTAAGGACAAATGTGTAACTTGATCCATAAAAAGTCAAATTGGACAATAATTTTGGGACAAAATTTTTTGGACAAAGCGGACAATAATTATGGGACGGAGGGAGTAATACTTTGCAAGGAATAAAAAGTATTGCATTGTCCAAACTATCGCAGACCATTATAAAGGGACGGTGGGAGTTCTACAATAGATACAATGTGTAGGAAATTGTTGACCATAATACATTGGGCATAATAATTAAAATCAGTCTTGGTATTTTTGAAACTTCCCGATTTAACAGAGTCGAGAAATTGTGGGAAAGTGGAGTAACAGTCATAAGTCTCCGTCCCAAAATTCTTCAACGGATTTGATTGGACCATTTGGCACAATGAATCCATCTGCTTTACCTAGTCTCCTCTGAGTTATGTGAAGAATTTTCTCTTTTTCTTCCTCAGCTAATTCCCAATCGAATATTTTGAGGTTTTGCTTCATTCTCTCCTTGTTCGTGCTCTTCACAACGAGACTTGCCCCTTGTTCATATATCCATCTCAAAGCAACCTATTCACCCACCCAAAGTTTTAACAATATATATGTACTCAAATTATAATGTATGAAGTATTCTATCCATCTCGAAATAAGAATTTTAATTAAGAACAGATATACGAGAAACTAAAAGTTAAAAATACATGTAATATTTTTTTTTACAATGGAGGAGGCGAAAACCTAAAATATTAGAATACTAAACTATCGTATAATGTAGATGAAAAAACTTGACAAAATTATATTCCAACCCAATTCATATGCATAAACTATTCAGTGACTTGACAAAGTTTACGATATATATATACGTATATGTGCATGAAAAAGAAGTCTAAATTATTCAATGGTTGATTAGGAACCTGAGGAACAGTCTTGCTTTTAAAAGCGGCAATCTCTTGAAGCACTTTGTTCTCCATTATATCGTTGGTGCCCCAAAAGCAACCATAAGCTCCAAGAGGAGACCACGCACACACAACTATTCCTTTCTCTTTGCAAAATGGTAGCAATTTTCTTTGTTGCCAATAAATGTTCATTTCCACCTATTTGGTACAATAGTTACTTAGACACTTGACTGGACTGCTATTTGTCTCTAATATAAATTTGGTACCGTTACTGTAAACCATCGTCTCATAAAAAGAGTCATATTCTCGAATTCACTTTTTACCTGATTAATAGCTGGTTGGATGGTGGCATTTTGTAAGAGCTTTGAGATTTTTTCACAAGTGAAGTTGCTCAAACCTATGGATTTGGTCAATCCCAATTCGCAGCATTCTTCCATGGCCTTCCAAGTTCCATGCATATCAAAGGGCAGAACTTCGCCTTCTAAGAGATGGTTCACGTTGGCATCACGCTTCACTCGCACTGGCCAGTGAACCAAGTAAAGGTCCAAATAATCCAGCCTCAATTTACTGTTGAAACGTTATTAAAAAAAAAGAAGGAAAGAAAGGAAATTAGATTAGTTATAGGATTATGTCTACCATTAGTTTATATGAATTGTAGTATAATATTGTCGGCATTTAAAATAAGTTTTATTAAAATAAAAAAAGTAAGCGGTTACAATAACAATGTACGATTAGGATGACTAAGTCGTGACTCGTATTTGTTTAAATTATGAGCAATCAGTCATCTAATGTAGATCTCTCATTAGTTAGTTAAAGAGTATTTTAGATCAGAACGATCGTTACATTGGTTTTGGTCATGGAATGGTTGATTTAAATCTTTCTTATTTGTATAAAAAATGATGGAAAGTTGATACCCACTATTCAAGAATCTGTGCCGACGGGGATTGCGTCGAGTGGAGAAAAGTAAGTTGACGACGACTAACTAGACGAAAACAATATCATTTATTCAGTATTTCCTCATTTTGAGTTGGATTTTTTTTGATAATTTCATTTAATTACTTCGTTTATATACTGCCCCTAAGTTTCTTCAATATAAAATCATCAACAGAAAAAAAAAAATCCGCCAGAAATTAAAAATTGATAATATTGCGCTGCTGACTTATTAGTCGACTTATTTTTCTCGACGACTAGGTCGACGAATTCTCTTTTTCCTGAGGTTCTTTTAATTTGAGTTTTAACATTTTATAATTTTTGTTTACACAAAAAAAGATATTTAAATTTTAAACCAAGCACTCTATGGTTCAAAATCACTGTACTAAACATCATGATTTAGAATAATCCTTAACAACAGGTATACGATCAAAACCGTTGTTGAAAGAGCTCTGCTCCTTAGCCGCCTTTTCAGGACCCCATGTATAAGGTCTATTAACAACCACTGGATGAGAAAACCTAGCTTTTCTCCGAGTTGCAATTTGTAAATGAGTTAGAAATTTTTTATAACTATAACTCTCAAAACTAAATAACTACACATGTCACAATTATTTAATATATTAAAATACTATCTACGAAGGACATAAGGATATATGAATAAAAACTACTCAAATAAAATTATCAACAAAAGACCAGACTAGAAAAGGGAAATTGCTAAATATTAGCAATACTAACGTCGACTTTTTTGTCGAAATGATTGTCTCGACGAATACGTCGACCAACTGTTTTCTTTTTCTTTTTCTTTTTCTTTTTTTTTTCCCTCTGAAATTCGTCTAATTTGTCTTTCAACCTTCTATTATCTTCGATACAAGTAAACAGAGATTTAGACTAACCATTCTATCATCAAAACGAATATAAAAATATCATAATTGAGTAATATTGATTAGTCATCCACGACCACATCAACTATAATAATAATAATAATAATAATAATAATAATAATAATAATAATAATAATAATAATAATAATTTCTTCTAACTATACACAATTTTGAAGGAGGCCTAAGAAATAAATTAAGACTTAAGAGAGTACGAATCAGTGAGTTTTGAAATGTTACGTAAACATACGTTTTAGGCCAACGGATAACGATTAGAACGTCGCGTTTTAATGTTCTCAATCGCGCCAAGTCTATGCCAAAAAGTGAGTCATATAACCAACTGTTAACACGAGACGAATGGTTCTGTTTCTAATTTGTCGCCGTACTCATCAATTAAAAATGGCAAAGACTAATAATAGCATAATTGTTAAGTGCGAAATAGTTAGTCATAACAAGTTAACATCGGCGCAGCTTTTTTTATTTTTTTTTTTATTTTTTATAATATGTTTTGAATGGCCCGAAGTCAATATCGATCAAGATCAATAACCGCAAAAATGGTTCAACATAAGACGACACAAAAATGAAGCTGGACAAACAAGAACCTTTTGTTCCTTGAAAACAATGTTAGCTTTGGTGGTGACTAGGTAAGGCGGAATTCTAACCAAGAAAACCCTTTAGAGGTGGTTTCGTTAGGCTCGATCGTGCCAGACATTATTTTTATTTTTTCTTTTGAAAACCTCTAAAAGATGGGAAAAATAGGACTAGTTTCGTCACTATATATGAAAAATGGTATATATCATACTAGTAAATCGGCAAAATTAGATACTCCTGTTTTGTTTTCCCAAAATAATTGTTCTCTTTTGTTCGGTAAAAATTTTAACTAGATAATCATTTCTGGATGAAGCGAGTATATATCAGCAGATGTACAACATGAAATATGATATAAGAGGCTAGACAACATGAAAACAACAACAAGAAAGAAGCATGAATGGAAGTGAAAAACCTGAGAGTGGTTTTGATGGCCGGAAGAACAAGGTCATAGTGAGTGTCGGTAACCCAAAGTTTAGAGGTGATGAACAATTCATCCCTATCCTTAATCAATCCAATCTCCAAGGCTTTAGCTATGGCTTCACCAAGAGCCTCCTCCGAGCCATAATACGACGCAGTATCAAAGTGCCGGTAACCATTCTCCATGGCTTGTATGAATATTGTTACCTCTTCCTCTTGTGGTAGAGGAGGTAGAATAGCGCATCCAAACCCAATCACTGGCATTTTGTGACCAGAATTCAGCATTATTTCTGGGATTTTCACCTCAACTTGATGGTTTTCCATTGTGTAGGTTTGGAAATGAAACAAAAAATTTAATGGAAAGAGGGAGATGAGAAGTGGCCAAGATTATAGTGTATTGTAGGAGGAGTCTCATGTAATTTATAGAGAGAAAAAAATTCAATCTTTCGTCTTGTTTCTTTTTTATTTATTTATTATTTTTGTTTTAGTATGTATTGTGACGTTTTGATTTGTCATAGGTTTCACCTAGTACACATTTTTAATTGACAAAAAAACCTTAAAAAAAAATATTTAATAACAATCAAGAAAACATACAAATGTGAAAATATACTTTTAAGATTTTTCCGTCAACTAAAAATACATATTAGGTGAAACATAAGACGAATCAAAATGTCTTATATTAAGAACCGGGGGAGAATACTAATTTATGGTTACTTGCTAATGCTACTATGGAAAGATGGGGCTAATGACGAACCCTATTGTAAATATTATTTTACAAAAATAAAAAGAAATGAACATTTTAAAATTTGGTTGTTTTAGTATTAATTTGTGTTTAGGTTACAATTGAAAGGTGGAGCCCATGGAAGATGACTGAGAATCTTCAACCTTTTCAAAGTTGGTTGTTTATAAATTAGATTTCAATCCCAATTCGTTCGTAATTTACGCGCGTGATTATTCCTATTATATTACAATCTCGAATATATAATGTCCACTACTATGTTCTTATTCTATTACAATCTGAAATATATAATTTCTATTCCTTGGAAAATATAGCTTTTCAGCTGATTGAAATAACAGATCACGACGGTTATTTGTAGATGCAAATATTCAGTTGTAGTTCTTGATCATATCATGAAGAAAGAAAAAAATCCAATGCAATTAGTTTCAAATGTTCGGCCAAGACATTTTTCTGTTTCGCCAGAGGGTCATCACTAAAGACAAACGTGTTTATCCAATTTGAAATTTTATTTTTATTTTTTTTATAATTTATACTGAAAGTGAAAATATAAATTAGACAATTATAGAGTAATATTTTCAAAATAAGAGTGATTATTCTCATATTAAAAGAACACAATATCGAACATCACACTAATTTTGACAAGGAAGAAATCATAAATATTGAAAAACACATGCTCTATTTGATGAATGTCTTAAAACATGTTTTTCCCGATAAACATGGTATATATTTGTTTCCAATCAAATACTTGGAGATTTTGTTTCATCCTCTCATCATTGAAACTCTTAATAATTGGAGTTGCTCCTTGCTCATATATATATATATATATCCATCTCAGTGCCACCTACTCAAATTGCACCAACAATAATTTAGCTTACCGACTTATTTATGTTTAATAAGTAAAATACTTCATGTGTCCCCGTCCCATAATTCTTCAACCGACTTTATTGGCCCATTTTTCACTATAAAAACGTCTCCGCTACCAACTCTACGTTGTGGAATCTGCAGGATGCGATCGTTCTCTTCTGTGCTGAGTTCCCAATCAAATATTTGGAGGTTTTGCTTCATTCTTTCCTCATTGAAACTCTTCACGATTGGAGTTACTCCCTGCTCGTTTACCCATCTCAGTGCCACCTAGTTAAATTGCACAAACAATTTTTTCATTTACCAATCTAGCTATTAACGCAACTACTAGAAAATTATATTAAGAAAAGGTAACCACAAAAAAAAAAAAAAAAATAATTGAGAGTTAATTAACCTGAGAAATAGTCTTGCTCTTGGAATTTGCAATGTCTTTGAGGATTTGACTCTCCATGACGGCATTAGAGCCCCAAAAAGTACCGTACCCTCCGAGTGGAGACCAACCACATACATGTATTCCCCTCTCCTTGCAAAATGGTAGTAATTTTCGCTGTTGCCAATTCACATTCATCTCCACCTGAAATTAACAACATGATGATTTTTTTTTGTATTATCCAAAAAATCACTTTTCAAATTGATTAATTAAATTTGCTACAAATACTATATGTAGTTCAAGTAAAATGTCAGGTTATTGTATATATGTACCTGATTAACCGCAGGTGGGATGGTGGCGTTTTCAAGGAGTTGTGAGATTTTTTCACAAGAGAAATTGCTCAAACCAATAGATTTGGTTAATCCCGATTTGGAGCAATCTTCCATGGCCTTCCAAGTCCCATGAATATCAAATGGCAAAACTTCACTTTCCGCAAGATTGAACATATTAGCCCCTTCCTTTATCCTCACTGGCCAGTGAATCAGATACAGGTCCAAATACTCTAGCCCCATGGTCCTGTTATTAACATTAATTCCAAAAAAAAAAAACACAAAAAATGAATGATAGTGCAATTTTGTACCTAAAATAAATGAATGATAGTCTAAAGTTTTGTTACGCTGTTAAAGCACCTTTTTTTTTTTCCCCTGAATGATAGAAATCCCAAAAACAAAATCTTATTAATTGAGGAGACAAAGAATTGAATAATAGGAATAATATAAAACGTACTCGAGGGTTTTGTTCAAGGCCGGAAGAACGAGGTCATGATGAGTGTGTGTAATCCAGAGCTTAGAAGTGATGAACAATTCATCTCTATTTTGTATCACTCCAATTTCCAAAGCCTTAGCCACCGCTTTTCCGAGGGCTTCCTCCGAGCCGTAACATGCGGCGGTGTCAAAGTGCCGGTAGCCGATCTCCATTGCATGAACCAGAATTGATGTCAACTCCTCCACTGGTGGCAGTTTCTCGGCGACGCCTCCCATCCCTACCGCCGGCATCTTGTGGCCTGAATTCAACACGATTTCTGGGATTTGAAACTCCAATTTTTCTTGCACTTGTTTTTCTGCAGCCATGTTGAGCATAATGGAAGAAAATGAAAAACTCAAGAATTTCGTTCAATCTTCCGAATGGTTAAAATGAAAAAATAAAATTGTGAGATTTGATGGAGTATTCGAGGCTTCTTTTTATAGAGAGATAACTATATCTGTCTTTCATTGCAATTGATTTTTTTTTTCCCTACTTAGATTACTAAGATTTTTTTCCTTTTTCTGTTGTTACCTTTTTTTCCAATGTGATTTAGTTAGTTTAATTTGTTTTGCGAAACAATATTAAGTTGCCATTTTATAAAGTTTCGGTTATCTCATTTTGCAATTTTAAAATGAATGGTTCTTCTTTTAATTTTCTTTCGAATACAAAATTTTAGAAGTGATTTAAATATCAATTGCCCTAAAATCAAGAGTCATTCTTAATTTGTTCTTAAAATCACAGAAGTAATGGAAAGGAGTTCGTGGGCGCGAGTGGAAGGATATCTTTTTCTTAAATGCTCTTAAATGGTTTCATCATTAGCATTTTCTACTCTATTATTGCCTACATATATATCCAAAATGCATAATATAGTCTTAGATTAATAGCATTTACCGGAATAGATCCTCATAAAATATCACTAAAATTAGTGTAGTCAGCTACTAATTCAGAATGGTTATATTAATTATACGTATATGTTTTGTCAACTTCGGAATAAAACGTTCAGAAAAAAAAGAAAAAAAAAACTATAGTCTTAGATTGACCAAATTCATCTCCCTTTCTATAAGTTGAAATATAAGCAAAACGCAATGCGTAAAAAACGAAACATTATAAATTAGTTAATAATAATTTTTTAGCATATTTTGGATTCATGCTCAGACATTAATTAAATTTATTATATAAAACACTTGGCATACGTCTATACTGAGTTTCTTCACTGTACGGCTATACCCTTCGAGCTTATTAGAGTCATTAATTTATTATTATTATTATTATTATTATTATTATCATCATCATCATCATCTATTGTACTTAATTAAAACAACATACAAGAAGTACATGTGTTAGGTCCACGTCTAATATTTTCCCACCAAAGACTATTTTCAGTACAAAATCATTTTTGACACATGACACTCTAACTATTCAGAAAAAAAGATGGAATTATTAAAAAGAAACTAAATACTAATTTTCAACAAAAGCAAAAAAAATAAAAAACCACAAATTAATTCCAAAATCTCGAATTTGCGTTTTTCACGGCACAAATTTTCCACGTTCATAATCTCCTCCATTGAGTCAGCAAGATCAAATTTCAAAAGGATTCATATCCTAATCCTTCTGGCTCTCTCTCAATCCAAAGGAATATCCAACTGAAATATCCCAATTCTAAAAATTCAATCTCAAACATTAAAAAACGGATGATTCTCTTCTCCATCCTATTCTTCTTCCTCGGCTATATCGTCACTGATGGGTGTCAAGCCAACAAACAATTTCACCTACTTTCAAACTAGTAGCATAGGAAAGCAAGGTCGTCTCCTCAGGGAATGGTGGATTTGTTTCTTTCAAATAAGTAACCGAAAGGGGGGTTTTGAGTTTTTAAAACTAAAATGTAGTTAAAATAAAATTCAAATGATAGTTAAAAAAAAATGAAAGCAAATTATGAGAAAGTTTCTAGTCAAAAGATTTTATATCCACCTTGGTCTAGACAATTGATCATAGATGCAATGATGCTCAATCATTTATAGGCAAATTAGTTTTCGTTGTTGGAACCTCCTAACAACTCAATCTTGAACTAAGTTTAGTGATTAAGAAAACCTTCATTAAACACACTAGTCGAAATTCAATCTTGGAACCTCCTAAGATTAAGAAAACGACTGCATTAAGTACAAAGACCTAATTCTGGTCCCTATGAAACAAACCTTATTTAATAAAAAACCAGATTACTTGTTCTTATAACAAAATCACTTACCAAGTAATTTAATTATATCAGTCCCTTTTAAAACAACAAACCTTGCTGCCTTATTGGTTGTTAACTAACATGAAATAATGAATGCTACCAACTATTCATGAATCCACAATAATCATATCAATTATGCAATAGAACAAGCAAATACTCACAAGAAATTGAGAGAGAAACAACATTTAGATCTCACAACTATTCAAACCAAGGCTTCAATATCTTTCAGCTAGAAAAATAATTTAATTACACATAATAAAACCTTACTGAAACAAAACTATGGAGAATGGAGAAGAATAATGCCCAAAAGGGCTAGATAGACGGCTTAGGACCACTCCAGCCTCCTCTTCTTCTCTCACGTTCAGCCCCCTCCCCAAAAGAAAGAATAAAATCAATTTATATGGGGAACAAGTAGGTCAGCCGCAGCAGGAAATTATTTTTTCCGAGATTTGCAAATTGGTCTGTCAAGTTTGGCTAAATTATATTTTGACCCCAAAACTTTTTAAATTTTTCATTTTAGTCCCTGCTTCAGTTTGGTCAAACGGGAATGCAGCATCAATGCTGGAATTTCTTCCCTAAAGCTCAATTTTGGACTGAGATTCGTGTGCCCACACGAGAATGTGATGTCATTGCTCTCTTTTTGTGCTTCCTTGTCAAAATGCTCCAAAAATGTGTGTTTATGAAACATTTTTCTCAATCTCAGCTCCAATCACTCCTAAGAACCAAAAACATCAAAATACACAACATAAGTGCACAATCTAATTCAAAATTCTATACAAATACTCATAAATAACATGAAACTTCAAGACCTATCAGTCACCATCATCATCATCGTCAATAAAAATAGATAATTCTTTGGTTGTGGTCTCCATACAAAAAGGGCGAAGGAGAACGACGGGATTGAGACAGAAACCAATGAAGGACAAAAAGGAGCCCTTTAGATCCGTTGGCGTCAGATCTGACCGATTCAAAATTCGAAATCCACGGGCAGTTCCGGATTCAATGAATATGGTCCCTAAAAAACCTGATCGGCAGACAAGAATTCCGTCGACGGTTCCACAACTCTGCCTCTGCAAATTTATATCAATCTTGCCATGGTGGGTTCGATTTGATCCGGGTTCCCATTCACAGGAAGTCAATAGTATCGATTTGGACAATTGATCTAATCGATGACAACAACTATGGATGGCGCTAACAGAACTTCACTATGTTTACGATAATAGACACTATTTTCTCTTCTTTTTTTTGGTTTCAGAAAGAGGGTTTTGGGGATTGGTAAGTGTCTCCGACTACTCCTCTGTCCGATTGTTTTCTTATTTTCAATTTGCGCGTTTGTAGGCCGGCGATGATTTTTCTTTTTCAGTTTTGATCTAGAACTGAGATTACTCGACGATATGGATTTTCCCAATCTGGGCTAACAGTTCTTCCTATATGGGATATTTGGAGTATGCTGAATAACTGGCTAATTCTCCATCATCATGTTTTCATTCAACAAATAAAAAAAGGTTTAATTTTTACTTTTTTTTGTTAAAATTAATATAAATAAGCTACACCGTGATGAAAATTGATCATTTTATTTTTGATACAGAGTATGCATTTCGAAACATGAGATTACGGGTGATTATTTAGGATTGTTAAATAGGCATTGTTGTACCAAGTTCAATAACATTTTGTTTGATGATATTCTGGATATATTTTGATGTGTGTTTGCTTTATTATGGATTTTTCTTTATATTTTTTGACTTCGTAAAGTCATGCATGTATTATATTGTTTTAGTTCGAAGGACTCTTCTTTGAAATGCTAAATTGTAATAAAAATATAAAAATGATGATTTGTTGGATTACCCTTTTTATTTTCAAGAATGCATACAGGTTTTAAAGGGTTCCACATTCATATCGTCAATACGTAGAATGATTTTGCTAATTAAAAGTTCCCCTATTTTTTTTTTTGTTTACTGATTTTTGGAATCTCATGTAAGTATGATTTATTGGATAAGTTCTTTTTGTGAAATTTTGAAATAAGGAGGATGCTCGGGATTCTGGGAATAGGGAGCTTCTGTTGATGAATAATATTTACTGGAATAATTGGCAGACAAAGATTAATCAGAGAAAATAGGTGGGGCAAATGCAGAAGCATAGCCATGGTTGGCGAAATGGAGAAAATTATTGTGGCAAAAGCTGACTTTGAAGCCACTTTTTATTGGTTAATGCTCCAGATCCTGTGGTATGTCATTCAATTTTTGAATATTCTGCAATTTGATTTCGTTGTATTCTCCTTTTTCTGAATGAATCATTTGATAGTTTGTGTCTGTTTGTTAGATATATTTCTTTGATTTTCTGTAAAGGGACATCTATGAAGGGAAAACAAAATGCATCCCATACTTGATCTTCCAGATGGAGGACTAAGGAAAATACTTTGGCAGTTGCAGTTCCTAATTATGTTTAGCTTATGATGTGAATATATGTTATTCACGAAATATGTTTATTTTAAGAGTGTTTTGTATGAATATTAGCTTTCTTTGATGTTTGCTCTGTTTATTAGATTCACCAAAATTGTGCTTTGAAATGCTGCTATAAATCTCTTTAAAAGTCATAATAGAATCTCATTGTTGTGCAAGTATAGAAACTCATGATCACGGGTGAGTGCTTCTTGGCGTGTTTTCTTTAGAACGTGAACATGGTTATTTCAACACTTACCGGAAGTCGTAAAACTGCGCTTTTTGAATCATGCATCCTCGGGATTTTTTTTCCAAAGTTCATATCTAGAGATGGAAACTTCAATCCTATAAAGGGGATTATGAAAAGTGAAAACTGTAAGTTAGCATTTTGTTGTTGAAGGATATGATTGGCTCAGAGTCAGTACTAAGTTGAATAGTCTTAAACATTTGATATTGATTTGGAGTCACTGATTCAATAAGAGACTCACCATATCTATGTTGGAATTTGAGCTAGTGTGAATGAGAATTCTAGTTTCTCATTAGTTAGAAAATGAAATTAGAGACTATATGAAAGGTATGAAGCCTTTGTGTTCATGAGACGTCGGACGTGATCAACCCGAGTCATGAACCTATCTTGATTCATTTTCCAAGTAGATGA